TATTTGAGATATACCCTGGTAGTTTGATTCTTTAGCGCGCTTGGGCGACAGGGATGGCCCCTGTCCGTTGTGAAAAAAAATAAATAAATTAAAAGAAAATACGGGGCGGGTAAGTCCCCGAGAGGATGCCCCAGGCACACATGTTGTAATTTTCCCTCGACTCGGTATGAAAAGCTTGGCATTTGGAGATCAAGGAATCGAGACAGGCAGGTGGCTACTAACGTTGTACGTACCCTATGTATGTACTACTACAGTATGTATGCAATCCATGAAGGGATGGAAATTCGAAGAAATTAAAAAATAATCAATAAAAATAGAACTATCCCCTGAAATAATACCTGTAAGGTGTCAAGTGTCCCCCTCCGCAAGCACGTTTCGAGAGAACATGGATGTCATGAGCACCATTCGCAAAGCGTAAATAATTCCTCCCACGCTGGGTGCTGCTGTGTAACCACTGAAAAGGCAAAAGGGGGACGGTCGGCCAAGGATCTGGCTGCAGGATAGCATCCCTCCTGTGTTACCAGGTATGGGGGCAGTGAAGAGTGGAGCGAACGGCTCTCTCGCATCCGCCGCTGTTTCCTGACTGTCGGGCCTCTTTTTCTGCGAACCTCAGGAGGCCCGAGCACCCCGCTGTCAGTTAGGAGTTTGCCTGTCCTAACCAGGGAGGAATCGAAGCGTGGGAAAAAGCAAAAAATAAAAATAAGAATCAGAAAATCGGTGCCCACCCTGTATCTGTATATTCTACTGTGCATACTGTACATACGGTTTACATCGTGTACAAACCAGATACCTACTGTATGTCCAGAGTAAAAATCAACATATGCAATCCTCATACTATGGAATGTGGACATGGATTCTCGGCGTTACTACGGAGTAGGATCTACTGTCACTTGACGGGGTAATTAATTTACAATAAACACGGGCATCTCCATAGATTAATTAATGTGCAAGGTTCCGGGGGGAAGGTAAGAGTACTCCGTCGGCGGTAGCAGGTTGTCAAAATGCACAGCACCTGTAACGGGCATCTTAGGTATTCAGATTGATTAACTGTGCACCTGCATTTACAGGTAATGAAGTGTATGTATCCATGTACATTGTTATTTACATACATACATACAATAATACAAGTGGGTAAACCTCTATCTTGATATAATATCATCAATTATTATAATTGAATAAAAATCTTCCTACTGTGAAGGGTGAAGGTGAAAACCTATAATCCTTTAGGATAGCTATCGTGGGTCGATCGTTTTTTGTCAACCTTCTACTCAAAACGGTTAACCTTTTTTTTTTCTCAGGATCCATGGACAAGTCGTGGTACATACGTAACTCACTAGGCAAGGTAGGGAGTTGATCGAGATACCCGGATCTCCCGCGCTCTCAGTGCCGCATAATTACACCCGACGGTACTTCGATCGTTGGGACCATGACGTCGAGGTACCGTACTAGTAGGGGGGGTTGTAAGGAAAAAAGAAAAGGAAAATAAAAATGGTCCCCGCGGCGTTATTGGCCGCCCTCCTCGGTCGGGGTTCATATCTCCCCTATCGGGGACCATGTGGTTCCCGATTCGCCCAAGTGCCCGGCTTGGAAGGCAGCGCGCCAACCTCGTTAGGGCTTAGGGCCTTTTCGGCCTCTACCTGGTCTGTACGCCGACCGGAGTATAGGCCGCAGGTGACAAGGTTGAAGCCTTGAAGGTACAGCCAGCCCACTTGAAGAGGCGGTTTGCTGCAGCTCTAACCTCCACCGTCACCGCCAACATCAACTCCTCACCAAGAGTAACCCCCCCCGCCTTTCCAACATATTCATATTCATAGTCATTATAATAAATAATAATTTTCAAATAAAAAGAATTCAACATTCGAGCTGGACCTGATTACACTGAGCTCCTCTCGCTACCAGTCTGTGGCAACACAAAGCAATACGGTAAGCGCTAAGGCGCAAAAAGCCAGAAGTAAACATTAGGTACTGGTACGGTGGAATGAGACACAACCCGTAGCAAACATTAACCATAGGTAAACAACGTCGCCAATCGACGTTTCTCTATGCAGTTGTACATCCACACAGGCCTTCGACTCGGATACCTCTGTGCTGCCATAGGCTCGCAATTTTTACTGCGTCGTGTCGTAGTTTGTATGTACAATACAGAGACGACCGTATCACCGCATTAGTATGTACATGGAGTCGGGCTTCGCCTACGTCTCCAAAGGGCCGGTGTTGCCATGCAGAGTTGTAGCGAGAGTGTCTTGCGGTACGTCGCGTAACTCGGAGTACCTCCACGGGACTTGAAAGTTGGAAGACAACCAGGACGCCGAAGGAAGTCTTCTGAGCTCAACGGACCGCTCGATCGTTTGCGACAAGGCTGAAATGGGAGCAATAGTCTTCACTGCCCCTCGCTTAGACTTTTCTGGGAGACCCAGCACCTGCTAGATGCAGACTCTTATCGACAGCCTTCATGAAGAGGCATTTGGCCTAGCTGCAGATGACGAAGGTGGTGTTCTTGCCCCAGCATCCCTTTTCCCTTTGATCGATGATTGAGAGGACGTGGGCTTAGAAGCTAAACATCCGGGTTGGGTATCCCCGGCGCGCTTTGCCAAGTGACTCGGCTGAGCAGTCCAATAGATCTGACGCTCGATAGGGGATCATCCAGGCGCCATGCTTATAGCTCATTCTGGTCTTTGTCTCGACCCGACACCCCCGTTAAGCCACAAGTGGGCACAGAGCGAGCACGCGGCCGCCTTGCTACGCTCGTGACTTCTTTTGTATGACCGCGTGGAAACGACGACACCATTGGTGATGGTGGCAATGGGCCGTGCAAGCTGGCTGACGCTATCGATGGCCATGCCACCACGGAGGGACACTTGTGGGTAGGGTCAAGTTTTTGGAAACATGGGTGCATGCTTGTCGGTCTTGTTCGGTAAGAAGGGTCAGCACCTGAGGACATTCTGGGATTATGGGTGGCTAATGAGTGGCACAAGAGGACCAACCAACTTTCAAGGATCCTTACGGCTGAACGGTCTTTCTGGATGTATTTTAACGCTCTGTTCTCTCAGTCTAGGCCTTCCAGTTCACCGGCTAGTCTCGATCCTTTCAGAAAGCCATAAGCTTGGTGTTTGTGAGTGTAAAACTATTGGCAAACTGCAATGCCAATAACTCGACCATGCGCAAAGCCAGCAATCTTGAAAGAATAATTGTTTGCTGCTGGTTTGCAGGCCGTTATCTTACCACGTGGACGAAACTGTATTGATTTAAGCCTTTGGCATTGGGCACTGTCTCGCTATGTTCCTGTATGTCTGAGAACTTTTCGAGACTTGTTGAATCCAGCTGTGTAATATTGGCCTTCGGGAAAGTCCCAACTTGGGGCACCATATGAGGGTTCATGCACCGGCGAAGGGCATCATCCTTCGGTCTCTAAGGAAGAAAGATGAGAATCGTTCATTAAACACATATACTGGAGGCTTTTGTTGTCATCTTTACTAGATCTAAGTAAAGCTCATAGATTATCATGCGCGTGGTGAAAGGCATGGAGTAACGGCCTGAACGTGCTTGACTTATATGGGCGACGAAATGGTGACTCGGCACATGACTTTGTCTCGGCACCATCACGTTCTGTTTCTTCGCCGCTTCATCTTTCTGCTCCGATCGATCAATATCAGTGGGAGCATGCGGTAGCTACAAATACTTATTTATTGCTTCTATTTCCATGTATTCCTGTTCTTGTGCACCAGTTTCTTTCATGAGTACCGGAATGATCGAAGACTTGAACCTTTCCAGGTTGTTGACGACCTCGTCGAGATGAGTGCCGTGCCTTCAATAAGTGTTCACGTTGACATTATCTGAGTATCTGCGGCAATACGTCTATACCTCTCTGTCTATCTACGGTGTAGACTCTCTTTTCTTTTTGCTTTTTTTCAGGCGACTCCACTAAAAGGCGTCCTAATACCTGGTCCGATGAGGCTGGCACCACCACACTTCAACGCCTGTTATGATCCTGGTCGTCTGCGAATTTTGTGATCTACCAGTAGACTGCTGTCTGTTCCAAGAATGTGCCATGATCTTCAACGATGATTTCCGGTCAATACCCTGAAAATATTGAGGACAGCCCTGGTCTATTGCCTGGAAAGTTTCGTCCAACGGAACTTGATTGGCTCGTCGAAAATGAGCCCAACACTTACTGAGTACGATGGCACCCTCAGATACCCTAGCCTAATGTGTTTTCGTCGATCCTTGGGAAAATGTCACAATATGTACTAGCGAGTTGCTAGTATCCTCTACGACGTGATGGCTGAGAAGTGAGAACTCGACAACGAAGGTCAGTGCACTCCAATCTACCCGGGTGGTCGAAACTCAATCTGATGGACCCATTCTTTCAGTCCCAAGGACATGGACTTCCCGTCCATCAGCCGAACTAACCACCCACCAGGGAACGCGACCCGCCCTAAACAGCAATAATGGGCAATGGTTCTGGATCCATGGGGCCCGTGCCGGCTCGAGTTGGATCTGCCTACCCAGTGCCCAACTCCCTAGACTCCTGGCCCCATCTTCCTTTGGAGACTAACCGTGGATTGATTCTTCCTCGTTGGAACTTCACGGGATCGGATCAACTTGGTCGTCGCACCATTACCACCCGGTTTGGCGAAGTTCTACTTTGAAACCCCCAAGGGGAGACGATGGGGCATAAGGCGCCGCGCTACCAATGCTAAGACTCAGCACAGGCTCGGTAGGGATATGAGGACGGAATATCGACTGGAGCCCGCTCTTCCGTCCTTTTCCAAAAATAATCACGATCTTCTCCAACGCATAGAAAGTGGGAGCGAGAAGAGAGGGTCTGGAGCGGTAATCTACGAGTACGGTGTACTAATTCCGGCACAAAATATTTCAGCGGAGTATGACTAGGACTCCATAGCATCAAATCTCCACCATCCCCTCCCTCTCCAACCCTCCGCCGCGAATCGCTGTCCTCCAATAGATTCCCCCTCCTCCCCAAAAACTCACAGACCACGGCATCAGGAAGACGACAAGCGATGCACAGATTCTCCACTCATCGGGATCCATTATGGATACTGCACTGACCCCATTCGGCCATGTCCTCCATTCACACGGTCATGATCTCGACAAGGCTTGACCATACAGAGCAACGTATGCATGTAGACTGATCCGGATTGACCCTAGTCGACTCCGAAGGTGAGGCGGGTCGGCTTAGGTGCTGAGAAATCGAGAGCACATGCATGTCTAGGATTTGTCGCGGTGATCTTTCTTTTTTCTTCTTTCTTTTTCCGTCAGACATGGATGTGAGAAGGCAGATGCTATGCTCCGTGTCGCTGGACATCATTATGCGGTATGACCCATCGAAACCCATTTTTGTCCAGGGAAATCCGGGTCTCCTGACCAGGGAGGGCGATATCGACCGGGATGGAGTTGAGTCCAGTCAAGTCCGCCTGTAAGCGAACAACGATCTCGCCACCCAAAACAGACCAGGAAATATGGACGACGCCGGTGCTAATTCCGTCTGTCATCTTCAATGGAACCGTGGCTCTCAGCTGTCTAAAGAGCCCTAATCGAGGCCGAAACTGGGCCACTGCCCATCCCGACTGCGCAGGACGAAACCCAGCGACCTCGGCCATGAATTCATACAACGGCACGCTACCCCACGCATGGCAATCAGATCGTTTCGAGACGCTGTCTTCAACCCAGGTAGTAACATTTAGAGACAGTTGATCCTGCCACGGTTTCCAGAAATTATGAAAGTTCTCCTCGTACAGCTGCGCGCCGGCTAAGCTCAGAGCTCTCAGCGTGTAGAAGGACATGGAGACGGACTCCTCGGTGAATAAGCCAGCACTCCGTTTCTGCAGGCTTTTTCGCAGGAGACCTTGTGCCTCTGGCCCAGAAATTGTTCTGCTCAAGACTGCCCATACCTGGCAGTGCAAACTGTAGTCGACCGGCTTGGCCTCCGTCACCAAAGTGTCGGCAAAGAACTCGCCGTCATAGCAATGTACCTTCACGGCCTCGATAATTTCCTTGGCCCGGCTTTGATACTCTTGCGCCATAGATAATCTTCCAGCTGCAGTTACCAGTTGCGCTGCTGTGAACAACGTGTATGCGTATAGCTGGTTTGTGAAAGTCGATATGCCCACTCGCTCAATTGCTGGTGGCACCCCATGTGGCTTCCACCGATCAGTCCAGTCAACAAAGTTCCAGATCCCTGATCGCACCTCTGATGTGACCAGTCCATGGCTATCGATTCGAGAATGAAAGTAAAATAAGACAGCATCAACCACCGGTAGGAACCGCGAAACAAATTGGACGTCTCCAAAATACATCAAGTGATCTCCAATCATACAAATCCAATACAGTGAGAAATGCGGAATGAACTGCAGGCGATGGGCTGGAGCCCGGCTTGCTGTCAAGCCAATTTGAGGCCGGAAGGTATCGTGTAGTTGCATGATAGCCTGCCTTGCAAGGCGATCGTCGCCGGATATACTGTAAGTGAAAAGGGAAGAGCTGCGGGCGTCCATGGCATACTGAAGTTGCTCATAGAACGGACAATCCTCATAACCGTCATGCATGCAATTGGACAATGTTCGAAGGCTTGTATCCCACAGCTGTTGCCACATCTGATCCTCCGACGATGTACCGGATTCAACATTGAAACTAGCATGAGTCTCGAGAGGGTAGTTGACTGCTTCGATGTCAAGACCAAGAAGCACTAGATCTGCTGAGCCGGCATCGATTTGGATATTGAGGAACCGAAAGGTACGGAAGTGAAAGGGCATGAAGACTTCCTCGGTGGCCTCACGCTCGTTATATCCCAGACCATAAAGGCCACCGGCTCCTTGGAACTGGTATATATCCTGTGGACCATAGAGCGCCTTGCTCAAATCGCGTCGATCGCCTTTTCTCCTCACCCACGGTGTTGATTCGGGCTCATCTTCGTAACATTCCGAATATACGACCCGAAGCACACTGTCATTTGTCACAGGACGTTTGAAGCGAATCTGGAGAAAAGCCGTTGTATGGTTTGGCATTTCCACATTAACTTTATGCTTGGTCCCAGCTGGGAGCAGCAGACCACTTTTATCATCATAACTATCGGTCAGAACTGCCTCCCACCGCTGTGGTGCGATAATGCTTTCAACCTTGTGAATAGCTGAGCAATGGGCTCTTGTGACCTTATGGAAAGGCAACAGGCGTGGCGAGAGATTCCACGGTAGCGCATTTCCGGTGGAGTTCTTGAATTCTCGGATCATGGCTGCCTTCCAGATCAAGGCCGGTGCCTCGCTTCTTTGTCGCGAAGTTTTCTCATAAATGTGGAGGAAGTAGTCCTCCGGCTCATCAACTCGCAACGTGGTAGAAGGATCGATTGCCGTCTCCCATGAGGTACTGCTTTCCAGCTGACTTGCCCAGTGTCTATATTGTTCTGGAACCACGATTCGAAGCCCACCGAAATGTGACCGTGCAAAGGAGGGTGCAAAGGCTGTGGCATGAAAGAGACGGAGGACATGAACTGCGACGTGGTTGCGACCAGACCGAAGGAAAGGCGCGATATCAACATCGTCGTAAAACCATAGACTCTGGTCTCCCTTGATAGGGCCGAAGGCGACTCGTTGACTGTTCACGTACAGTTTGTACCGTGTATCGGCTGTGATTTGCAGAGTGAGAGAGGCAGGAATCTTTGATGAAATGTTCAGGTCTTTTCTGAAATGCACAAACAGGCCGGCCGTGTCGGTGCGGTCCTCCGTGAAACCCGGATGCCACATCCAGCTTCTGTCAAATTCAAGAGACATGATATCTGTCAGCCGATGCGTCGAAAATCCGGTTGGAAAAGTGGTTTTGGTGTTTAGCCAGCGGTATGATGGATGCCAACTGCTCTTTCTTCAAACAACAGCAGCTTACTCTACAATATGACAACGGGGTACCATCTCGATTTAGCCATCCTCTCGGTCATTTCGGTCCAGCTCGCCTCGATTATAGACCGATGCGGGCCTCATTCTATCGAAAGCCCGAGTTCGAAAGAGCCTTCGCCACGCTCGAAATGGACCCGGGCCTTGTATCAATAGGAAAAGCTCAAGGATTCCGGTTAGCGCATGCTACCTATCCAACTGTCTGTGGCATGATTGGTCGATTTCAAGCGTAACTTTCTCCGGTTTTGCTGGGGCTTACCGAGAATGGTGATGGATACGCGATACGAACCCTGTTGGCAGGTTATGGCTAGATCGGTGTCTGATACTCTGTCTATGGCTTGGTTTAGCTGGCACGGACGATTCTAGGCTCGGTTATTCTCATGTTGGGGCCCCGGATTTACACTCTCCAACATGCTTCCCCGCGCTTTCAACTCCATTCACCAAGCCACAATATAGGAAGAGACATCGGCATATGATAGTGTCGGCTTTTGAGGGCATGTCGGCATCCTGGAAGAGAAAGGGGTAAACACCGTGCTATAAGAGAGAGACGCGGTGAAAAGGAACAGGGCCCCTGACTGACTCTCCTACATAGGCCGCCTTACAGTTGCTATAACTGAGCAGGAGTTTCCCTTTACCAGACCCCTTTCACATAGGTGCACCATGGCAACACAGACAGACAGAATTGACGAGGATGAAGGAAAGAGCATTGGCCAGCATCTCGAGTCTACTGGCGAGAATACCAAGGCTGGAGAGGTCGCACTGAAGTCACAGGCTGATGACCTGGGCATCTGGGCAACAGTCAAAAGATTCCCGAAGGCTGTCTTGGTGTGCAACCTGCTGTGCATTGCTGCTGCTGCAGACGGTTACCAGATTAACCTAAATGGTTTGTCATTCCTGCTAGTACAGGCGTGCTATCTGTTCCACGTCAGCTAAACCTTCGGTTTAGGAAACATCATAGCAAATCAGGGCTTCATCAATCATGTTGGCTTCTTGGACCCCAGTGGCGAAAGGGCACTCAACGCCAACTACACAGCTTTATGGGGCGCCATGCAGTCGCTTGGTCAATTGATTGGCATGGTCCTGATGAACCCTATATCCGATCTCGTCGGCCGAAAAATGACACTATATGGTGTCTGGATCGTCCTTGCTGCGGTGAGGTTCCATGTATGCTCTTTGCGAGCGCCTTGTTCTAATGTTTGGTCACTTTAGTCACTTATAATTGAAACAATTGTTCGAGACTGGAGAGACTGGACCGGGGCAAAATTGTTAGCCGGTGTCGGAATAGGCGCTATTCAGGCCACGCTTCCTATCTATGTAATGGAATGGTCCCCTGTCAACATCCGCGGAGCCATGATCGTTACCTATGGGTTCTGGAATGTCATTGGAAAGTTTCTTGCTAATCTTGTCCTCATGCTGGTGCAAAGCACCAACCCTGAAAATTACAAGGTTCCTATCGTGACACAATGGGGGTTTCTGGGAATCATGTTGCCCATCTTCCTTTGGCTACCTGAAACACCTGGTGAGTTATTCTTCAAGTAGTTCTTTTTCGGCTGCTAATCGTACTGGTGATTTTCAAGCCTACTATGCCGAGCGAGACATGGACGAACTAGGTAAAAAGGCGCTCAAACGTGTCAATGGTTCGGTCAAGGATTACAACATAGAAACCGAGTATGCCATCATCAAGAATACTATTATCGAAGAGCGACACGCCCGCATGGAACTTGGCCAGACGGGCTTGACCTGGCAAGAGTTGATCAGATCCTACCTTGAATGCTTCCAGCGTGCCAATGTTCGTCGCACGATTGGGGCCGCCTTGCCGGGCTGTGCTCAGCAGTTGGCCGGTTTATCTTTTCTCAACACCTATGCAAGCCTGTTTTTCAAGCAGAGCGGATTCGATAATGCATTTCTCATTACCACTATCATGTGTACGTGCATTCGACGGCAGACCTATCCTCTCCCTCTGGGCACAGATGGGATATACTGACAATTTCCTCTCTTCAGGTTCGATCCAGCTTTTCACTGCCCTGTGCCTGATGCTTCTCACTGATAGATTTGGTCGCCGGAACATGGTTTTTGTCTCTGTCATCATCTGCACCGTCACGCTCTTGCTGGTTGGTATCCTGGCATTTGTTACCAAGACGGCTGCGGTCAAGGCGTTTCTCGTCTTTGTCGCGTGTGTCTGGGCTTTTGCTAACAGCACAGGTGAGTTTCATTTGCATTGCCTAGTATGTGACATTATTGACAGTTGGTTCTAGTTGGCAGTCTGGGATTCGCATTCGTTGGTGAGGTGTCCTCTCAGAAGCTACGAGCCAGAACCGCAGGTGTGGCTACCGGTTTATCGGTGCTCTTTGGACTGACCTTTAACACATCTCTGCCTATCATTCGTAAGCCATTCCACTCGTGACTATACGGGGTATATGCTCGTGGCTAACTGCAATGGGCTTTAGTGGATCCCAGTGGAGTGAATTGGGGGTACAAAACAGCCTGGCTTTTCTTCGGATGTGGAGTAGTGGTCTGCATTCTTCTCTACGTCTTTCTCCCTGAGTGCTCTCGCCGAAATGCTGCCGAGATCGATGAGATGTATCAAAAAGGTGTTCCTGCTTGGAAGATGAAGAAGTATGTTACCGAGGTGCAAACAATGCATCAGGTTCATTAAAAGGTCGTTTACCCAGGGTGGGGATTCATCATGGTTATCCCTCTCGTGGGCCTGTCTTCTTGATACCGATCATGTCCAAATTTTATGCTTTGTGTCTGTGTATGTGGTCATTTTGAACACCACGATCTATTGTGTTGGTCCTTCGATGTGGTTGTCAATCGACGTTCGGCAATATATACTCCACTCATTACCTGGACTTTATTTCATAATTAGCATTAGAGACGATAACACAACTAACTCTATATATGGTACTAAGCACATGCAAGATCCGACAATTCACATGGCCCATGATAGGGCTATACAAGGTTTCAGATGAGTGACCTGTCTTGTGCAACCAGACACAAGAACCTCAGTCTATCACGGCAGCATTTGAACATGTTTTGGCTCATAGACTAAAGTTTTGTCGCCTTTTTCAATAATTGGCTATTTTTAGTAGTTGGTTATCACGTATCGAACACCGATAAGGTCCTGGGATCGAGCCCCAGACTGGTCATACCTTTTTGCCATTTTTTGGCACCAGATTTATTTATCTGGTTTTCATCGTGAAAGTCTTGTTGATTTTTATTTTTATTTTCTTCTCGTTGCAATTGCAGTTGCCCGGGTTAATAGTCGGCAGCCTTGTAACGCGCCCCTATAGCACACTACTCAGTGTTTTTGATTATGCGGTTATGTATCCTGCGCGTCCTGTACTGTGGATAGTATATTGCATCTTTTCTTTGTTAGTAGCCAAGGGCATCAGGGGAGAGAAAACACAAGCATCTTCAAAATTCAAGATTGGTAGAAACAGACAATATGGTGCTTTCGAACGAGAGAGATGGTGTGGTGATGGAGGTTGATTGAGGTTGACCTTATGCCATGTGTCCGGTCTATATAAGGACCACACAAGGACGAAGAATAGTAAATCTACAAGTCAAAAGCATAAGAGAACAGTCGGTTCCTCAAATAATACTACATAGATTCAAATTCTACTATTTCATGAATGAGGTGACCGGTAGTATGAGAGATGAGAGTATAGCCATGGAATGACAGAAGAGGAGAAATGAGACATAAGCCACAAGTCCCTGCAAGCTAACCGAATAGCTCGCGCTCCTCCGCAAAGGCACCTTAAATTGCCAGTCTTTGCACCTTGTTCTTAAATTGGCGAATCTAGGCAGCCAAGTTACCTGCCTCGTTCGAGGTGATGCTAACGGCAATCAAACTGTAAAGCAAGTTAGTGTTCTTGAAAACCAGAAATAGAGGGCAGCTATCCTACCTGAATTTCCGGAGTCCATATCTTCTTGGAAATGGCTCGCCGGTTTAACGGTTCACGGCCTGTAGCTTTGTAGGTGGGAAGGAAATGGGATGGGATGGGATGAGTTGCATGATGGGTCGCGATAACAGAACTTCAGTGAGACCCGCATGGTGAGTGCCTTCTGATCACCTTTCTATTCTGCCCCATTTGTTTTTTGTTGGGTAAATACCCGGTGTTCGACACTATTCGTGATCCAATTGATGTACTCATTGCTGTCTACATTCTCAGAGCGTAGCCCAAAACAAAACAAAACTAACCTTCTAATTGCACAAAAAACAACCCAGCAATTCGCTGACAAGAACTAAGCCTTTGACTGTACATCGCATAGACCAACAACCTCCGGGTGATGCAAATAACCCTGAAGCTCACCAGGATAGCGATATCCGAATAAAACCATAACGATCCACATCAGAAGCGCATCGAAAACATAAAGAGTCCACTCATGACTCAACAAATACCCCTCATAACCCATGGCAAACTCCGCCACACGAAAGATCGATCGGACCATGATGAGCAGACTGATCATATAGAGCGTATAGAGGTGAGACTTCCAGGGTAGCTCAGCGTTGAAGGCCCCGGCCGTGGGCCTTTTATGCATGCGCGTCTGGAAGCAGATCGCGGTGACGATGAACAGGCCGAACATGATCACCTGGATGAGGAGACCGGCGATGACAATGTTCTTGCCCATGTCCGCCAGATCGCTACTCACCATCATACCCGCGGCTCCTCCCTGAACCAAGAAGGATAGGACGTCACCGAGGACAAAGATCTTGGTGAGCCAGTTGACACGAATCAGCGAATGGTGCTCCCCCCCGACTGCAGTGATGATTCGACCCAGCACCATGTAGACCGAAGCGGCGAAGAGGGCGGGTCCGAGCAGGATGAACACGTTTTGAATGCAGTACGGCATCATTTTCCCTGTCTTGTCATAGGCGGAAGCTCTGGCGCAGTAACCTATGAATTCGACTGGATCGGTCAGCTATGCCACCATCCAGCTGGCGAACATTCGACCTACAAAAACCACCAAGGGCAAAACAGATACAGAACCGAGTTTTCAGTTTCCATATTCTCCAGACATGGAATGCTGTTGCTGCGAGAAAGAGTATGATGAAGATAACCGCGGCCGCCCTCGAGGGCACATATTGCCAGAGGTAGAAGCCTTTGTATGTTTGCAACTCGGGCATTGTGAAACAGATTATATCTCCCTCAAATTCCGTCGAAATAGGTCAGAGTTAAAGGTGTATATGAAAGGGAGTGAACAATGATTAACCACGGTCAATTGGTGCGGTCTGCCTTGAGAAGTAATTGTACAGGACAGGCCTGAGTCTCCGCTCTTATAACTCTTGCCATGATGAGCTAACATGGATTTCTGGGAGGCAACAGCCATAGCAAGATCTGATGGCTTTTGAAGGGGGTTTATTCTTAGATAGTCTGCAAGTCTGTCAATTGGTCTGTGCATACGCGTATAGCAAAGGCGGGTCTATGGAGGCTACTCTGCGTACGGTGTAACTCCGGCACAAGGCAGGGTGACGGGCGTATTCCGAGTTGCATACCATCAATGCCTGGTTTTGTTTCAGGAAAATTTCTGCTCTCCTGTCCGAAGCATTTCTTAGGAACGAAGAAAAAAGCTTCAGATTGTTGATGGCACGTGCACGTGGAAGGTGATGCCGAATGACTAATCGACCAATGTACTCCTGACGTCTTTCCATCCTTCCATCTTTTCATGTCCATCTTCTAGAACACCGAGGCCTTTGCCACTTACTTTTGGCCCTATTGACCGATCTTCCGAATACGATAAGCTTAAATTGATTAGGATACAGGGCCAAACCCAGTGATCACCATGCCACGCCGAACCCACAAAAAGTCGCGAAACGGCTGCATCGAATGCAAGCGACGCCACGTGAAGGTACATACATAGAATCTATCACATAATCGTGCCGGGGTAACCCCTTTTATCATACAGTGCGATGAAAAACGTCCAATCTGTTCAAATTGTACCACGTCTGAGCGCCACTGTGAGTACGCGGGTTTGGCGATCATTTCTTCTCGACCCTCGAGAGCCTCTCGCTCAAGGAGCCGGGCATCGGCATCCGCATCGGCATCGCCATCAACGGTGGAATATGCCCAGGCATTGCCAGAGACGTCAAATAAAATCCGTTTGGACAGTTCTCCGGTGAACATGCTTCATGTCGAACTTCTCCATCACTTTACCACCGAGACATCGCAGTTAATGAGCACCGGCGAGGCCCAACTCACTGCTGTTGACATTTTGAAATATGGCTTGTCGGCGCCATACCTCATGAATCAGTTTCTGGCTCTGTCTGCCTTGCACCTGAGTCTTTTATGCCCCACTCAGCAGAAGCATTACCTGCATATGGCGTCCCAGCTCCAGGCACATGCGCTCTCTATATACAACGCCACTCGGCCTGAGATAAACCAGGAAACGTGTGTCACCACACTGCTCTTCTCCTCGATGATTGGAATACATACCCTTTGCGACAGCCTCAACTATCCAGAGGGGAGCCTCACATCGTTCCTTGATAAATTCACCGACTGCCTCCGTCTTCACAAAGGCGTGCGCACAGTGGCAAAAAGCTCATGGACGACACTGCGTGGATCGGACCTGGAGCCCTTCCTAGCGGCTGGAGAACAGCTGTCTGATTTAGGCACGAGCCTGAACCCCGAGTTCATGAGCCTCCTGGAGCGTATACGCGCCGCGAAACTGGGTGATACGCCCACCGCCACTTACCAGGAAGCAATTGAGGCGCTGCAGTCGGTAAGTACTGCGACGATATTATGCCCGAGCGAACACCTTTCAAGAAACCATCTTATTTCGTGGCCGGCTCTTATTCCGTCCGAGTACATTGATGCATTGGCGCTGGGTCGGCCAGAGGCTGTTGTTATCTTGGCGCACTACGCTGCTCTTCTGCATTATCAACGTAGCTTGTGGGTGTTTGGGGACTCGGGGAGGTTTATCATTCAGAGTATCAATGCATTTCTGGGTCCGTCTTGGGCGGAGTGGCTGGTTTGGCCCAACCAAGTCCTTGCCGATACTCCCCCGACGCCAGAAAGCAGTATGATGGAGCATTGAGCGCCCTTTGAACGAAAGAACCCGAGGGATTATATTCTACAACGCCGGAATTGAAGGCGCAATCATCGCAGCATTCTGATAAGCTGATATCTAAGGTACATTCCCCAGACAAGCAAGCTCATTCTTCTCATCGTAAAAGATGTCTGACAATATACAGAACATTACGACGGGCGAAAAAACCGACAGATATCTGCAAGCAGACCTCCATCTGGGACCTCACGAGGCATACACGCGAAGGAGCTAGCTTTCGAGGGATCTCCACCCACGTATGTCTGTTGGGAAGGATATGGACAGAGAGGCCTGACCGTTCCATCGGCGCTGCTGGCATTCAAAGTTTCCGGGACGACACCGTCCTCAACCCAGGCAATCAGTTCCTTGAACGTGTCACTGGGATATGGTCCCAAGCCACCCTGGCAGTGTCCGACTCCCGGGGCCTCGAACAACCGGTAGAACTCATCCGCCGAAGGATCAAGCTCCAGCACTTGCTGGTAGTATGCAATGGACCCGTTAGGAGGAATGACCTCGTCGGCGAGTCCGTGCCAGGAAATCATTTTCCCGCCGGCGTCCCGGAACCCAGAAAGGTCTGGACTTGCAGCGGCAAGCATGGAGTCGTATTCTCGGTCCGAGAGCTGGAGCGCGGCGAAGAATCCCGCAGTGGCCATGTTCGCTGTCGGAAAGTCGGGGTCTTTCGCAACGAAGTACGGGAACCAGCTGCTTAGGAGCTCGGTTGCTGCTGCTGAACATGTGCCGTTCGAGCATTCGGTGGCGACATATGCGGCTGTGAGCGAGGCGTCTTTGCTCAGACCGAACCAGCCAATGTTGCCTGTCGGGCTGCGTGGGCCGTCCCAGGCTGCTTCTACAATATAGGCACCTGCCCTTGATAAAGTCTGCGTTGCGGTATCATTGCAAGACACACTCTGACCCACGACGCTGTGCGGGTTAAAATGACACCGGTCCGGTGCCGAGATGACCCCGTCCTTTACTCCATCCAACACATCACAGGCCTCAACCGCCGCCTTGGTAAAGGCATCGATCTCGCACGGTGACGGATACACGCCAAGGTCTTTCATGACCTGCTGCGCCCAGTATCCAGCCGGGACGAAGTTTTCGAGATTGATCGCCGGCGCCAGAGACAAAATCCCATCATACAGATCGGGATATCTCTGCGCGATCATCAGGCCCTGGCGCCCACCCCCGGAACACCCATTGAAATACGAATATCTCGGAGTCCGGCCGAAATACGCCTCGGTGATGGCCTTCCCAATGATCGTCATATCATACAGCGATCTTGAGCCAAAATCCTCCACAAGATGCCAATCGACGTTCCCGGGGCTCGTAAGCACCCAGTCCCCCGGTTGTTGAGCAGCCGAAGTCCCTGGCTCATGACCTGCGTCTGTATCGATGGCCACATACCCATCCGCCACCGCCTGCGTCAGATACAGCGAGCCAAACCCGGCACTGTACCCCCCTCCTCCCAGGGCCTCGAGCCGCCCATTCCAGTCCGTAGGCTCCAGCGGCAGCCACACCTCCACGTTGACGGAATCGTTCCAGCCGGGATGGGTATACGTCACCGTGGTATTGCAGAAATTGATGGTATATGATTCAGCGTCGAGAGAGCCTGGAAGAACCGAACGTGCTGTGTAGTTGTGGACAGCGTTCGCACTGATACCGACCAGCTCGGCGCCCTTCAACTCCGGGAATGTAAACGAACTCGACGAACATAGCGGAGTGCCAGTGACAGAACTCAACAGGGCTTGGGCCATCGACCATTCAAGAGTGAACAGCTTCCGAGACGACATTTCCCACATATAGAAGATGAAACAAACAAGTCCTCCTCACCAATGGTAGATCATCAGCCTTCCTCTCCAACCTAGAAAAAAAAGAAGAGAGAAAGAAAAAAAAGCAAGCATAGAATGAAGCAGATTCAAGAACAAGAGCTTAACGAAAGCAAACAATATATACCAACCCTCCCCTCCCCTCCCCACCCACCTAGTCTAATTACCACACCCCTCTCTCCGCAGGCCTGTCAAAACCAATGATCCCGGTCTAGATCCCATCAACGACATCATTGGCTTTTCACCCGAAGTATACGGACCCGCGTATGCACGGACCAACCAAGTAGATTCGATCCCCCTCGTCGGGATATCCCTATCTGTATGAAAAACTTCCTCGAAACTTTCCATATCTCAGGTTCCGATTTGGGAAACTCGCAGATGCTCGAGGCACACGGATAAAAGGAAAGGAAGGGTGGGATATGTTGACGGACGGATTTGGTTCTAAGATCCCGTCAATCAATTGGGTTCTGAGTGTTTGTTTTTTTTTTCTTTTTTTCTTCTCTCTATACGCGTATTCGAAGCGATGACCCTCTCCAATTTCGGCGCTAAATCACGGGATTTTGTCCAAATCATTTTGTTTGGTCAGCTAGCGACGTAGAAAAAAAAAAAAGGGAGCAAGGAAAATATATGAACAAAGTATGAGGAGATGGTCTTCGAATGAATCCAAATGGAAGAAATACCCTAAATCACTGCCTCGTTATCGTTAATAATCATCATGGTCATCATCATCACAAACACGCTCTATTCAAAAACCAGACATATGCTATCACATATCACAGCATATCAATCCAAACAGAATAACCAGATCAATTGAACAACAGGTCTATAACCCCAATCGGAGCCACTACATCAGAATCTTCGATCCCATCTCTTTCGAGAGACAACGCATCCTCTCAACACCCGATCACTTCCAAGTTATGTAAGATGAAGATAAGAAACACCTAAATCATCCCAAAATCATGGGTAAAGTGCATGATAGCCCGAGATAAAAGTAAAAGGGGGAAAGAGAAAAAGAAAAGAAAAGAAAAGAAGATATCCAGCTTGGCCTGTTTGCATAAATCATCAAACCAGCTCGAAAAAAGTCAGTCATTGGATCCCGTTACCCTAAAGACACACTCACACATTCACTCACACAACCAACGCCAACATGCAAAACCTAAATAGACAGTATAAATAAATCCTTCCCATCCCCGGAAGTGAAAACTATCATGATGAACACACCATAAGAAGAGTACAAAGTATAGATCGAGATATGCGAGACGCACAGACCGTAGCCTTACATGCAAAGAAAAAAAGACAATAGACCGAAGAAATCAGACACCATCAGGACAATGTCCGTACATGTGAAGGAGACAGAAGATTAACAGAAAAAAGAGATAATAGGTGTAAGATAAAAGAAGATTAAGTCAAAGAACCACGAAATTAAAGAAAACACGCTCAAGGGGTATATTCCAAGACGCAACATCATAACCATATATCACCTTCTTCGCCATTCACCCACCCTTTCCAAACTTGTTCGTAAGCATCTTCTAAGTCATGGACCCAACGAGTGGTATCAAAGAGTTTGTTGGTCCATCTCCCATGGTATAACATTTTGCGGATGTCCGACAGCCTGCCTCGGGCACGGCCGTGTCCGCGGGACTCATATTGCAAGTCCAGACACAGGCGGACAGCCTTGCTTTCATAATCATCGTCTGACGTGGCGATCAGCTCCTCCCGGGCTTTTCGGCCATCATCCGAGTTGGGCAAGGCACTGTTCAAGATGCTGCTTGCCATGCGAGAACACATTTTGTATTTGTAACGAGGGAGCGTCAAGATTGGGGTCCCACTCCACAAGACATCCGTCGCTGTCGTGTGCGCATTGCACTCAGGGGTATCGAGGAAGAGATCTAGGATTTTGGCCCGAGAGATGTGGGTGTTCTTCGGTGCAACGTCCGTAAAGATGATCCGCGACGCGGTCTCTTCCCCGGCCCAAGCAATTGCCGTTTCTTTGAGATTCTGCTCACCAAGGTCCGGAAATCTCAGGAGCCAAAGAACGGCATTCGGAATCCTTGCCAATATACGCAGCCAGGTACGGAAAGTCGTGGGTTCAATCTGAAATCGGTCAGAACAGGCGTTTCGCAACAAAATCATTTCTTCGCATGCCAGAGGGGATAAGCCTTACCTTGTATAGTTGATTGAAGTTACCCAGAATGATCGCGTCGTCGCTCAGGTTGGGGAACAACTCCTTGCGCATGCGCCATCTTTTTTCTTGTTCCTGCTCCCAGGAGAGGGGCCCGTCTTGACTGTCGGGAGCACTTTGTCGATGATCGCAGCAGAAGAATGTCGAACGGGTGAAGACGATTTTCTCGCCGTAAACCCAATCCTCAAGATCCTCACCATGGTCTTCCTCTAACAGTCGGTCGTCGATGCGTGCGTGGCGTCGGCCGGGAGAAAGCGTCTCAGGCGGTATGGAGATACTGTCTGCAAGGATATAATCACACCATTCAGCACCGAGGGTCCCGGCGAAGCCCATGAACGACATATGAATTGGCGCAGGGCGTGCTGCGAAGACCTCATTTCGGGCGCCTCGAGTGTAACCGTTTAGATTGATGAGGATGTGGATTCCGTCTGCGACGATTTGCTTCACCAGTCGGTCGACCGGCCAACCGCTAGCATCGTAGAACACCGGCGCTTCCTTCTCGATCTGTTGGCGATGAATCGATTTGTCACTTGCGGTGGTGGCGTAACAGTATGCTTTGACTCTAGAAGGGTTGTGCAGCCCAAACACAGATTGCATCAAATGAGCAAGAGGGTGGTTGTTGAAATCCGAAGACACATATCCAACCTTGAGATACGGATTTGGCGGCGGCGGCGGCGGATAGACGGTGCCCGGTAGCCAGGGGGACCTCAAAGTTGAAGAGGATATACGGAGTCCGTTCCGCTGCGAGATTTGTCGAATCTGTTTGGCTGAAAGAGGACAGGTGAATGTGTGGAAAGGCAAGACGGTGGGAGCATTGGGAGCCGTTAGTCCCGGGGGCAGCTGAGGGCGTCTATACTTGGACAGAGGGTATTCCTTGCGGCTGACGTAGAGATCCTGGTACCACTGCCAAGTGATTGACCTGGTAGCGCGCTCCACCAGCTTAACAATTCTTGAACCTTCCCATTTCTCCCCAGCCCAGGACTGGAGGATAGAGGACATGGTCTCGGACGCGAACCGCCGACTCTCCAGCGCGGGTGTCAGCTGCGCACACAATTGCGCGATGGTACTGGGTGTAAGTAAGCCCCGGCCCCAGGTCTCGCCTTCTCCAAGTTGTCGGTCGACGATGTCAACGACACGCTTGATCCAACCTGTTTCGTTGCTGTACGCATCTCGGAGCATTCCTTGCTCGTCGACGTGCCACCGGTCTCGGAATCCATAGCTGTTAACAACGCCCCCTCGACCGGCCCAATTGCAGACCGAATTCAAAGCATTTGCCAGCCCACAGACGGCTTCGGCAAAATCGGGATTTACCTTGACCGCCCGCTTGTAGTATGAGATAGCATCATTGACCTTACCGGCATCCTTGACAGCATTTGCCAAGTTCGCCAGGGCAATGTCAAAGTTACCATCACATTGCACGGCCTGTTCGTACATTCGAATGGCGGCCTGAAGCTGGCCAATATCCTTGAGCAGACTACCAAGATTCGTATAAAGGTGAGCATGACGCGAGTCCAGGTGTAAACCATAATTGTAGTATGCCAATGCCAGTGAGATACCACTGCCAGGAATCACGCCAGGTATTTCAGGATGCTGCATCTCTCCGCTGGATCGAGAGAATCCTTTCTTTGCGGCATTGTTCTGGATACCAGCAAGCAATATACCGACATTGTTTGCGGTTGACGGGCTGGGCTGAAGAGAAAGAGAGAGGTAGTAGAGGGCGAGAATGTCCCGAACGCCCGGTGCCGTCCTAGGAGCACCCGAGGATGAAATGTTAGACATACCATCCTGATATATCTTGGCCAAGGAGAGCAGTGAGTTGCTCGTGGTGGATACGGCTGCCTTCCGTGCCAAGCCCTCTGCAACGTACTTTATGCCCGGAGGAGTCCCGCAAGGCACAAATACTAGCTTCGAAGTCTGCAAAGCCTTATCGGGATAGAGAAGGATGGTTTCGGAAGAATTGGGCTGCTCGGGTGCAGGATACCCTTGAGGCGAATCTTGGGAGAAAGCGGCAAAGATTTGTTTGATCAGACTTTGGATGCCATGGCGTCTTCGCCCGGCTGCAACTAGAATGGCATCTTCGAAAGCAGCCGCGGCCGCGGCATTATCTCCTAGTGCATAGAGCATGTTGCCCTTTGCATGAATAAGCGCAAGCATTCGACCGTTGTCGCAGCCAGGTATGGCGTAGCCGCTGGAGCCAAAGCCAGGGGATTTGGGCTCTGTCGAACGATGAGTGGCAGACGCCGAGTGACCTAAATCATCGTCGTAATCGAATGATGCTTTTTCGTAGGAGCCAAGATCCGAGGTGCTCGATGCTCTGCTATCTGCGTCGCTCTCGGTCTCGCTAGCATGTTCATCGGTGGTGAAACAATCTCCATTCTTAGGGCACCGCAGAGAGTTCTGCACGAACTCGATGATGTTGACAGCTTCTTTGCCACGATGGCTACCACATAAGAGGCCAATCAGGTGCTCGACAGCCTCAAAAAAGCTTGGGCGAAGTTTCACTGCACGGAGCCAATGTTGGAGTGCCTCCTCGCGACGATCCAATGCCAAAAGCGTGGCCGCTAGATTTGATATGGCCTCGACATGCCTAGTGGGGTCAGTCATATGCACATCAGTCACCTTTGGGGTGTTCACTTACGTTGAATCCCTGTTTATTATTCTAGTGTACCACCTCGTCGCCTTATGGTAATCGCCAAGGCCGTAGGCAAGACACCCTCCAAGCAGCATTCCATCGATCCATTCCCAATTACTCTCCATGCAAAGATGGGAAAGCATCTCCAAAGACGAGATGGCATTTGCTGTCGCGGAAGACTCATTCCCGAAGGGTGCGACGGGAAGGCGAGAAAACGACGTCGCAAACCTCCCCGTATGGCGAAGTCGGTCCAGCATCTGGGCGTCCGATGTTGCTGCTTGTTGGGTATTGGCGAGCGAGAGGCGACCGGGTTGACGATAGGTGTCATTACCCCCACCGTTCGAGAAGTTGGACTTTTGCACATGGTGAAGGTCGTACTGGCTCGAGGGGTAGCTGTTGTGACGAGTAACTTCCGGGGCACTGGAATGTGAGAAATCGAGTCCAGGCTGACGCGGTGGCTTGGGATAAATGCTAGGTTTTAGAAGGCGCTGGTTTTGGATATCACCGCCGGCTGACGACATGCTATTTCGTCGCGCCTGGTGGATAGATGCCAGAAGATCAACATAGACACTATGAGCCCATGACAAAACCTTTTCCTTGAATTCCACATTCGCCGCACGCGCATGAGGAGTAGGGCCTGCATTCTGAAACCCTTGCCCGGTCGAGCTGCCCTGCCATGAGGGGATTGTTTCGTGATTATGCTGGCGCGACGAGTATCCGGCGCTGATGGTATTCTGCCGCGTGTGTAAAGGAAGGATGCGCTGCGAGAGATCGAGAGGCTTGTGATCTGAGTGTCGAGGAGGAAAGTTGTTCTTCACCGGCGTGTCATGATTGAGCATTCCTAGCGGAGGTTGATTCCAAGCCACGCCCAAATCAGCATGGTTATTCGAGGGTATAGATGTTCGGTTAAATTGAGGTTGCCCCGCGTCGAAGAACTGGAGATTAGCAGGGGTGAGCTGTTTAGAGAATGGATTGGGTGAGTTATAGCGTGGCTCTCTGAAAGCCACAGGGCGATAGGGAATATAGACACCATCGGGCCAGTAGGGACCATATGGTCCGGTACCCGCCGAGGCCGTGGGACCACCGCATGGCTGGAGGGTTGCCGGAAGAACGGTGGGGACATAAGAGCCATTCTGCCAGTAGAACCGTTGCTGGGAGGGCTGCATTGGCAATGATTGATTGAGCATCGAGTCCACTCCGGGTGCATAGTTCAAAGAGCGAATCCAACTGGCCCCAGTCGGACCGTGAAGCATATCCGCAGGAGGAGCATTGGCCCGGTTCGAATCGTTCTTGTAGACCGGCGGGAAGTTCATGTGTTTCGCGGATGATGATTGATCCAATGAAGGTTGCCCCCAGGTGTCCATCGAAAACCCAGTCTGCGGGGGCACCAACTGAGCAGATTCCAAGGGCGACACTAGAATATGTTTGGTTGCCGGAGGCTGAATCGTTGTATCCCCGGGGGTTCCATCGTATCCAGCTGCAAGAGTTCCATTGGGTGTCTTTCTCCTCAAGGCATGCTCACCAGCGCTTTTAGAACCGGAGATCTGGGCCGCGGCATCGGGAACTCCGAGGCGTTGAACGGGATGGTACTGTAATCGACTTCGAGGTACCGACTGATAGGACGATAATGAGTTCGTATCGGTGCGGTTTAACGTTGCGGGGAAGGAGGTCGTGAGATTAAAGTCGTAAGGGACATCAACGGCGTCGGTACCGTGGTGGTGATTAAGGTGGTGATGTGGTTGAACAGGCGGAAACGGTGCTACCGAGGGCAACATCTTGAATCTAGAGTGACTGGAGCACTCTTTCTCTTCCGTCCCTCACCGTGTTCAACAGGTATTATGCAATGAGGACGATAGATGGCGGGGATATTTATAGAGGTCAAAACGAGAAGCAAAGCCGACCGAGAGTCAAGAGAGAAGAGTTTCGTCGATCAAATATCGATAGCGGTCAAAGATTCAAGACACGCACGTTTTCACTCTTGCTGGAATTTCAACAAGCATCCTCCTTGAAACGTTTCCTACACTTCATCCTGGACATGAGCCGGCTCACTTAACGCGACACTTCAGCGAAGCCCCCCACGGCTTGTCTCTGTGTTCGACATGAACGCAGATTGTAACGACGGTAGGATAAACGAAGGAGGACTTGAAGACGGAGAGGAGACGTCGGAGGTAGTGGTAGCAGTAACGAGGAAAGTCAGTCGGCTCGGGGATACCATCCAAGAAGAACCCGGATTCCTGGAGAATTAAAAAATAAAAAAAGTCAAAAAGAAAAAGAAAGCACGCAGGCGAGCAGCTTCGGCGGCACTATTTGCTGTTTGAGTCCGTTGAGAGGTGAAGAAGCGATGCAAGGGAGGAAAGGGATCGAAAGTCGCAGCCCTAGTCAGCTTTCAGAGCGCACCCACACTGACGCAGGTGTCCGCAAGACGCGATCAATCACCAGAAGATACCACGCTTGGCAGAAATGTTGTACTCGGCGCGAAGGGAAGGGGGGGCAGAAAAATAAAAAATAAAAAAATAAAAGAAAAGGTTATGAGAGACAGAGGGAAATAATAACTGGGTACTAATAATATAACAAAGACAAGACGCAATCCGAATCAGGGAAGCGATAGTGTAGCAGAGGTGTTGAGCATGGCACCACTGGTAGATCGGTTTAAGATTGTCCTTTGTTTCTTCCTTCGGATTTTGATTTTCTCCTTCTGAAGAACAGAGATTGAGTGACCGATGCGCCGTTGAACTGTTAAACCGGTAGGGGGGAGGAATATTGACAGGAGAGAGGCTTGAAGAAGAAGAAAGAAAAAATTATTAAAAAAAAAAGGATGCCTAAGGAGCAAGGCAGGAGCGGACGCAGGGCGTTTGAGGCGGAGATGATCCAACGGCCGGCGGAGAGTTACAGACAGGACAAATGAAGAGGGGAAAAGAAAGGATCACCAATGACGGTGTATAGCGCTGGACAAACCGATGAGTCCGGGGTAGGAAAAGAAAAATCGAGCCAGTCAAGATTGACCTCGAATACGCGCTGTACTCAGTCGTTTGAGGGAAGAATTATCAGGAAACAGGACGAGTGAGAGCGATGGAGCAATCGTCATTCAATTCAAACAGTGGGAGGAGAAGCGGGATGGGGCTATCATGACAAGAGCGGAGCTTCACAAACGGAATCAGTGGGCAACGAGCCAGCGACAAGTAGTCTGGAAGCCTAGAAGGGAGGAGGGAGGAGGAGGGGGGGCAGAGAAAGCGAAAATGGTGTGGATGGGGCAGCGGGAGTGGAACCAATGGTCGACGGATGGGCAAAAGGTGGGTGGGGGTGACCCAGTTCTTACTGCTTGGGCGCCTACACGGAGTAGACAGATTATGTGGCTTGTAAGTTGTGAGGTGCTCGGTGAATCACGGATCGGCCTGCGGTGTTGAATCATAGACAAATATATACGAATGTACTATGTAGACTACGGTGTAGGTATGAGAAAAAAAGAGTCTCAAAAATAAAGAAGAAGAAGAACAGAAAAAAAAAGAAGAAAAAACGAAAAATGAGAACCCGCCCAGGCCCCCTCCCAAAAAAAGAAAATAATTAAAAAGATACGAAAAAAATCGAAAATCCATCACATCCTTGGTCCCACCCATACGATCCAACGGCGAGGATGGACCAGACACTAAACCGCTTGGGCGCAGTAGCAAATTCGGAATCAGGCCTGTTCAACGTCAGTGGACCGCCTTTCCAGACCCCCCCGGCCCCAGTGGCGCCCGCAGTTGATCAAGCCTTGGGCCTTGAGAGGGTTTGTTTGGAGCGCGCGGATGGCCGATCTGGCACCTTCGGTGGATTGCAGTGGAGTCGCCCGCTGCAAGTTGGCCTTTGGCATGTTTTGTTTTGGAGGGGATAATTTTGAAAAGTCAGAGGGGGCTTTGGGTCTGTTGATTGAATTATTTGTTTGTTTTTAGGAATCTTTAATCTTGTGGTTGATATCGCGGCGCAACTTATAACTACCGCTGCCGATAATATCTAGGCGACGGAGTAGACGCGTTGGCAGGTGGATGAAGGTAATCAATTAATCCTATATTATTATGACACTATTGCAGTATTATGCCCGCTCATACGGAGTACGGAGCGTCCTCACCGGAAATAACATATATTGAGGAGCACATATTTCCATGGATGCGAATATGGAAAACCCAGACACGATAACACAATTTAAACTCCGGGGAAATTAATCCAAGACGGTCGATCCGGATGCGAGAGGAAAATGACGGAAGAGAGAGAGGCTCAGACAACTTGGCCACAACAGTCAGCGCGTTTACTTCTGCAGCCTCGATGCAGCCAGAGGCTGAAAAAAGCAATGCACATGCCAGCAAGAAATCAGGCGAGGGTATCAACGGGATCGAAAACTCTCCTCGCTCAGGGGGTGGGCGTTTCCCCTTGCTCGTCAACTATGCAGGAGATACCCATGGCTTTGATAGCGATCTTTGATAATGCAACAAGTCGCAGTCAGGTACGGAGTACATCTTGATGCCTCCCAGGCATACGGAGTAGAAATATTAAATCAGCGAATAATCAAAAACAGTAAGAAGAATAATCAGAACTAACTAGTCGGTCCAGCTCAAAATCGCATACCGGGAGTGGAGTTGAGTCCCAGACTTTTCCTTCAGCCCGTTTCTCATCGCCGTCCATTCACGCCCGTCCAATTCAGCCATCGTCCCCATCCAGCGCCTTTCTGCTGGTCAGTCAGAGTCTCATTATTTATTATCATTAATAAATATTGCTGATAGTTTGACCATGGTGTCTGCTTTGTTCTCCTGTCATCTCCATCTCCTCGCCTGCCTAGACCAGGGTCTACGAGGGCGGGAATACGGGGCCACTGGCACCGATCAGCCATGTCACGACTCAAGCCTCCCTCACGAGCGAGCGGTCTAGCGATGTGGTCGATCGGCAAACTCTGCCCATTCTTTTGCTGATTATCATTTATTCTTCTCCCCTGCCATCTACTTACTGTACGGAGAACTCCGTCGCCAGATGGAATTTATGCACTGGTTCCACGTTCCAGGGGAGCAGGGTAGGAAGCCGAGAAGGAATGACAGAATGGCAGGGCCGGACAAGGCAAGACAGGAATGGGACACTCCGTCAGGTAAGATCGTCGGGGGGATCTGACTCATCGCTTTGCCTGCTGCGTCACAGAACATGCGGGTTTATCATCTTATGTATGTACGACCGGGCGTCGCTCTGTTCGTGCTGATACCCACTCACGGTAGCCTGCCAACTACACCGTAGATACTACATATGTACAGTACATGGTGTATGGACAGCGTACTCCGATGGTCGAGGATGAAGTGTACTTACACACAGACCGACCGACATTGTTGACATGGAAGTGACGGTCTCCATTCATGCTGCATTGGCCTAAGACGCACATGCATCTCAGCGCGTATCAGGAACCCGACCGCAATGATCATCCCAGCCTGTGTGGGGAGCATGGAATCTTCGGTGTGTCCCCCCCGCCGCTTTCCTGATTATAATAATAGTAATGGAAAAAATGTACGGTGCGACCATCCTTTGCCTTTCTGTATCACTGGAGGGGGGTAAGTTCACAGGGATTACCCCTAGGAATTGTGATGTTATATTCCGGCAGAGACAAGAGGGGGCAAAGGGAGAAAAAAAATAAATAAAAATAAAAATAAAAGGTAGAGAGACAAGCAGGCTAGGCAGGACGTACTCCGTACGGGATTTAAAGAAGCCATGTTTCAGATCGTATCTCAGCATCCAGGCACAATATCTCCCAGACAATACGAGATATCGGTCCAAGATCGCTCGGAATACGGGGAACAAGTTCCTCTGGCACCAAAAAAGAAAGAAATAATAGACAGACATCCAAAAACCTAGAAAGCAGCTCGTCGATTTTACCGAATATTGAATATTTCACAGATAATCATCTTCATTGGATTTTTACGAGCTAGCTAGACTACTACGAATCCCTGAGACAAAAGCCAAAGTATGTATTTGTGATGTTGACCGGATAAATGGACCACTGTATCCACAGAAAGATGCACGAGACATCCTGCGAAGATACCGCGGTGAGTAGTAGGTCGATTTGATCTTCTTTGCTTAAAATAAGCCTATACCACGATGCACTCAGTCCAATCCAAGGCCAGAAGGCGGGAAAGGGACAGTACGGGCCAGAGTGTTGCAAAGGTTGTGTTGAGGGGGTTGTAGATTGCCCGTGTTCTGACTCGCATTGATACGGCAAGTAAAACACGGTAATCACGGAGGGAGAGGTAGTATACGTGAACCGGAACAAGCATCAATTTGCAGAACACAATTGGGAATCTTGTCATTACTTCGTAAGATAGGGTTGTCAAGAGATGATCATATTCTCCTAGCTAGCATGTCGACATGAAATCATGACCGCCGGGGTATATTGACCATTTACTCGGAGGGGACTAAGCAAACGTTAGTATCCGCGTGACGCACAATGAAATTGAGCTCGACTCACTGTCAATCTCGCCAGCCTTGATGTCGTCAGAGACATCCTTGGGGCTGCGGCCATCAACCTGGCAACCAACGGAGAAAGCGGTACCGAGGATCTCCAGGACGGTACCCTGGAGCTCCTTAGCAAGAGAGCGGAAGCGCATCTTGCGGGCGATCTCGATGATCTCGTCCAGAGGGATGGACTTGTTGTGCTTGATGTTCTTCTCCTTCTTACGGTCACGGGGGGGCTCCTTGAGGGCCTTGATGACCAGAGAAGAGGCGGAGGGCACGACGGAGACCTGAGCCTGACGGTTCTGGATGGTGAGACGCACGGTCACACGGAGACCTTTCTAATAACGGCAACATCGCATATTAGCTATCTAATCTGTGGCACACGATCCGTGTCGATAGGGGACAAAATCCTTACCCAGTCACCAGTGTTCTTGGCGATATCTTCACCGATCTTCTTGGGGGACAGACCGAGAGGACCAATCTTGGGAGCCAGGGCGGACTGGGCTCCGACCTCACCACCGGTCACACGCAGGTGGCTTCAGAAATTGTTAGTGTCATCGCGACAAATTTTGTGAATGTCGGAGCGACCTGGCATTTGCAGAACTTACATGATCTTCACCTCATTGGGATCGAACTTGGGAGCTACACCAAGTCAATCAGAGGTTAGTGCGCCATTAGACACAGCCAAGGAGATGATACTTACGCATGGCGAGTGCGAAAGGTCGTCAATCGTCCTTGGTGATGTTGTTGGTTGGGTTGGTAGGTACAAGGAAGGAAAGAAAAAAGTTGAGCGGAAGTCGGAGAGTATTTAGCTGGGTCCGCACCTCGGGCTAAGCGAGCCGTCCAGACTAAAAAAGCTCGCTAGGGCTCAAGCCCACTCTGATCACGTGATAAAACGGGTGACCGATGCGGGTTAGTGTAGTTACAGTTACAACTACAGAACGGATATTGTTGACAATTCACTCACTTGTGACTTGATCTAAAAGTTGCTATATTTCTGGGTAACTAATCGAATAAAAAGACAATAATAACCGCTAAACATACAAATGACCTGTGAGGGTCGATATGGGACCACTTCTTCTGCTCTTCATGGCCATTACCTCGTTAGACCTAGCTAGTTCCCGAAACAGCCAGCCTTGATGACAAGTTAGTTTTGTGTCCAGCAGCCTGCTAATAGGTTCAGTGAGTACTTACTTCATGAGGTGGTCCATGAATGTTTGCAGCGATACATCGTCGGTGAAGATAGTTTGCGATGTAACACCACCTCCATATCCACCCGTGGTATGCGTGGTCGAGGGGTTCAGCTTGGACAAGAGGAAACGGGCCTGAGAGCCACCGGCGTCGCAAACAATGAACCGGGGCAGTGGGAAACGGTCCGCAATAAGTTCCTGTTGTGGATAATTAGCCTAGGTCTGAAATAAACACTAATGGAGGGTAAACAAACCCTAGCGTCCTCCTTGGGCTGTTCGAGAAGAGCCTTGAGGTTTTCGTATCCCTCTTGTTCGTGGTAACCCGCCTTCCTCCATTCCGCGATGGTCTCTCCATGGAAGATAAGGATGTGGAAGAAGGTATCCAAAAGAAGGATATGAGCAGGTTGAATAGAAGCCGAATCGAGAAGAACGGGCTGGCTTCCTTCATGCTCCAGGGAGTAAGAGTCCAGCGTCGGCTGGATCATGACAAGCGAGTCGCCCACATCTTCGTGGTTCAGAACATGCCTGTAGAAAGCTGTCTCATCAGGGGAGTTGTTGAACACCTGCAAAAACTGGCTTCGGCGAAGATGGAACATGAACTGGGGGTAGAGGGTGAAGTTCTTTTCCAAGCGGAATGAAGTTGGGTCGTCCTTCCGGTAGTCGGCGAAGCGGGAGCAGAGTCGAATCAGCATCCGGTCAACCCATCTGAGCACATCGGGACCGTCATCAACTTCGGCCTTGAAAACCGCAATACGTGCCATGAGGACCGCAGCAGCTTCCTGGTCGAATGATTGCGCAAGTGTGGGATCGCCGGCAGGGCCGCTCAGAGTCCGCGCGACAGTCGTTACTCGGAGATGATAGGTTCCGGAAGAGTGCTGGTAGTAGGTAAGGAATTGCATCATTCCCCTTTGAGGGCCCGGCTGGACTGCAGCCGGTCCACCCTGGTTGGCGATCTCGAAGTAGACACCATAACTTGATGCGGGATCAATTCCACACATCTTCCACGCGCAGGTGTTGCCGATACCACACTCGGTCTCGCCGACGGAGCTGGATTTCTTATTCAGAGAGACTGCATGACCAATGAGGCCAGTGACCTTAAGCTCCTTGGTGGTGAGAACCTCAAGGGAAGCGTTGAAGCCCATCAACAAATTGTCATTTCCGTCCTTGTCAAACACTCTCACAAAAGACTGCTTGAACTGAGATGACGTGAAACTGTCTGTCAGAAGCATGTGTCCTCCAGTGTAATTCGATAGGTTCTTCATTTCCAGAAGACCAACTTGGTCAAGACACCCAGCGAAAACATCAACAACATGTCCGTTGTTTGCGGCACGCTTAGCCATGTTATCATAGAACTGTGTTTATTAGTATCAAGCTCGGCGCAAAATGCCCAGAATGTGCTTACCTTAATGGCCTTCTTGTAATACTTGATGTTATCACGGTCAATGTCGTGGTGAGAACGGATGGGTTCCTTCAACTCGGGTCCAACAACATGACCCGGTCCCTCGGTGGCTGCACCGCTCGTGAAAAGCATGATGCGCGCGCCAGCGTTCTGGAAGGATGTCTCGAGCAAACCGACCGCGACGCCCAAGGCAACACCAGTACATCTCAAGGGCCGCTTGTCATTGGCAACGGGCCATGGATCACGCTGCATCTGCTCAAGGACGTTGGTGATCTGGAACTCGGCCTGCTGGACAGGCAGGAGGAACCGGGCTGCCGGTCCAAGAGGAGGGCGGGCGGGTTGATGGGGCACGTTAGGACGCAGCCCCGTGGAGAGGCCCAGCATTTCCTGAACTTGCTTCGCAGCATATTCCTTGCTTCCACGAAAAACGTACGACTTGGCACACTCAGTGTAGCCGAGCTCGTGAACTTGTGCCTATATGCAAGTCAACAACGCAATTCCCGCCAACGGTGCAGCTGTTCTCCTTGTTCCATACCATTGTACCGAAAGTAATCAAGCCAACCAGAGCATTCGCGGGCAGCAGCGACAGACTCATGATCAGCGAATCCTTCAAAGCCTTCAAGCTGTCTTCTTCTTGGCAGGTATCGACGACATATAGGAAGATAGGGGGAGCGGGGGCGGGGCGCGCCAGTTGGTACTCGATAGTCGTACTCATGGGATGAAGCTCTGGAGGTATCGTGCTTTCGGTGATATCCTTGTAGTGAGGCGGCAAAGGATTGCGCATAAGACAGAAGGGACAGATCCAAATGCGGGCGCGCACGTCAACATTGCTATAGGATGTCAGCCACAGGGTTCGCATCAAATTACGGAGGATAGATCGTACGCGTAGGGGTTCAGAACGGCCCGGCAAGGCGGCTTGCAGGTCACCGGCTCATACTGCAACAACGGAGCATCGGTCTTCTCCTTCAGAGGGGTGTAAACAGCACCAATGGGGACCACGAGTCGGGACGCTTCCTGTAAACCGATCAGTCGGTCATGTCGAGAAATGCCAAAGCATAGAAACAAACCATCCGAGAGCTGGGAAACGTGTTCCAGCTGAGTCTGATTCCATCGCGTTCCTCGACATCGCTCCATTGGTCCTTCAACGCTTCGTAGTCCATGTTGTCGGGATGGAGAACGGGACTCGGAGGCTCGGGGGATAAGGGGGGTTATCGAGTGGGACTAAGGCTGGTGCAAAAGCGATTCTCTATCAAGTCACAAGTTATAAAGTAACGGGACACACTTGGATCATAACCCAGTCTCGAGATGGGCAACGCCGACAGCTGTTGTCCGGAGACTAATGCGGGGGAACAGGGAGTATGTTGTGTGAAGCTGTACTTGTTGGCATGAGGCCAGGTTGCAGCGTTTCGGGTTGTCCTCGACCGCCGTAGCCCGCGCTAGTGGCCTTTAAATTCCCGGCGCCGTCCACATTTTCTTTTTTCTTCTTCTTTCCTTCTTCATGAATTTCTTTTTTCACGCCGACGACCTTTACATTTAGCAACTTCTGTCTCTTAATGACGAAGATGTTTTTCGAGTCGAGCGAAGAATAACCCCGACCCGTTGCTGGGCACCTGGCTTTGAAAGGTCGTTATGATCCTTTTGGATAAACTAGGAATCAGCGGTGGTTACAAACCTATTCTTGCATTAATGGCGTGCAATTTTACTTCACCTATACCGGCGCGACTTGTAGTCCTCTTACGCCCAATGGTTTCTATCTTTGAAAAGCTTTGCAGATTAATGTCGTAGTATATTTACTCCTAATGCGCAATGAGAATATAAAAGGAAGAACGGGATAAGAAGAAATCCGCATGTCTCCATGACCCAACCCAAACGCCTCATAAAAACATCTTCGCAGGGGCAAAGTAATAATCAACATCACCCGTGTCTCTGCCATCGTGGACCTATCCCGCAGACCCTTTTCAAGCATTCTTGGGAGCTTTGCCTGCCTGCTTAAGGAGGTAGCTCCGTTTGAAGTAGGTGTTGGGGTGGACAATGGTGTCCAAATCCGTCTGGCTCCATGATCCGTCTTCTTTGACTCTCTTGATGTCCGATTTATGTGCCCACTCAAAGACTCGGTTACAAGCAATATGATACCGAGTCTTCTCGACGTCTTCACGTACACCCCGGAGCAAGTCTTTGTCATGGACACCTGTCGACTGAAGAAGCCCGATAAGGTTGTCGACAGAGAAGTGTCTGTACGGACAGCCATGAGTCTGGCCAGCACCGGGGTTGGAATCACCGAGGATCTTTTGGCACGAGTAGGGCGGATATCCTCGCCCCCTGCGGTTGACGTCGCCGCCGACATCTCCGTAAGCGTGGCGGACATTGTACTTGTATCGGGAATTAAATTCGTCGTCCGTAAAGCCCTTGAAGGATTGGCGCCAGAAGAGAATGCACTCCTCCAGCGATAACCCGATACCCTTGAGGAAAAGTGTGTACTGAAGACGGCCATAATGCTTGAGGTGGTTGTTCTTGCGCAGCGACATGTGCAAGCTGCGCATGCAGAGCGGGAAATGCTGAGATAGTTTGTCGACATTACCGGCCGTGATAGGAGCACCGTCGACAAAGCCTTCGCCTTCGGAGTATGTTGATTCTGCGCTCCCGAAATTCTTCGACAAATGATCAAGGATAGGCGTGAGTCGATCATCTTCGTCTAAGCGCGGTAAGGCTCGACTCGTAAGCTAGTTATCATTAGCTCCAAGGTTCGGTGGTCCGCGACCTGGAAGTTGCAACGCATACCTCAAGCGCACGCTCCAGTCGAGCGGTGAACTCTGCAATGATCATACTCAATTGTTCTTTGCCGGGAACGTATGCCTTTCCTTTCGACATGAACACTGAACGTTTTTCGACCAACTCGGGGACCCTCTCCCAGTCCACCTTGTACCACGCCTCTTCATCAACGTTGCGTAAACCGGGCGTCGCGCCTATGAGGTGTTCCGAGAGCGCATCCCTTTCCTCATCGCTAACAGGCTCCCAGTCGAGATTCAGACTTTCTATAAAAGCACGCTTCTCTTTCGTGTCATCTTGTAGGAACCGGAATCTGAAGAGCATCGTTTCTGCCCGCGCGAATCGCCGGCGGAGTTCTTCCGTGGAGGAGAATGCCAATCGCAGGATGAAATGCGAATAGTGATCTTTCTGACGTTCATTTTTCAGTCGCGGGTCGCCAGCACCGAGGGTAGAGGATGTGTTCGAGGAAAGGGGGAGGAATTTCTGAAGAAGAGGTGTAATGTGAGACGCAGTTTCGGCGGGCGATTTGTTTCGATAAGAGCAGGCCTCAATTTCAGCCAGGACTATTTTATACGGTGAGCATCCATAGAGACGTAATAAATCCATGGCGATGGGATCGCATACCTTTTAATCTATCAATAGCCCATTGTTCAAACTGTTCCAGCGTAATCTCTGCAGTCGGTGGGATTTCGTAGAAGTTCAACCGATGCGGATAGTCCTGCTGCTTGAACACCGGGACAGCGAATTGGGTCTTTTTGTGGTCGAGATTCGACCGTCGTTTCGGGTCGACCCTCTGGAAGTCCTGTCTGATCATTTTTGGGCGGCTGTGGTGCGACTCCTACCGCAACCAAGAACTCGTCTTTGGTGTTGAAATCATACCTCTGTTCTGCTGCGGCCCGCCCGTCGCGACTTCTCGCGCGCCGCGTGGGGGAGCGCGTCACAGTCACGTGAGCGTCGCCAACCGAGGACTAATTAATGCCAACCGGCTAAACCCGTTCCAGGTCGGTCCTTGCTTGTGATCGAAGCAGTATGAGCCGGGGCGTCCAGTACGGGGGATGTCGGCTATAAATGACAGTCTAAAGAAACATTCTTGACTTTTTATTCCTGTTCACTCCGCCCCAAAAATTCCATTCTCATTCTGATTGCTTGAGCCTTGAGCTTGGAGGCACCCGCGACATCGCCCACCGGAGATAAGTCCGATACGAGGCCCGCTCACCGACTGCCTAACCGGGAAGGCAACTATAACCCCACGGATTTTGCGCTTCCCCGGTTTGATACAACCATCCGAAACCTTGAGCTTTCAACTATAAACCTGGATACATCCACTCGCCAACTGCGCCATTCAATGCCAAGGCTGAGACAGTAATGTTCATTTCTCAGTGCCGTTAAGTCCCGAATCAGAATGGGAATATATTGACGTCCACTTCTACCGTGACCACTTCGCTTCCCTCAACGTCTCAACGGCCAACAGCCCGAAGACGCCATTGCGCTTCTATCCTCCAGGAACAACCCCCTCTTTTCCTCCATTGAAACAGTACCCTACACACAATTATAAAGGGTGAAATGACACCCACCACCAGGCAGCTCAAAAAGGCTGCCCGTATCATCCTTGTCGGAGCCCCAGGCGTCGGAAAGGGAACGCAGACGGAGAGACTTCTCGCCAGGTTTCCCGAGCTGGCTTCGATTAGCTCCGGAGATCTTTTGCGTGAAAATGTTCGAAACAAAACACCCTTGGGTAGGCCTGGGTTTGATCGTTGAATTTATGAGTCACCGGGCACCACGGCTAACCATTCCAATCCGCACAGGTCTCAAGGCAGAAGCTACGATGCAATCCGGAAATCTTGTCCCCGATTCGATGATCCTTGACCTTATCTCTTCCGAGTTCAGATCAAAGGGCTGGACGACTGCCTCGTCGCCGTCCTCGATATCCTCCTCGGCCTCTTTTATTCTCGACGGCTTCCCTCGCACCGCTACCCAGGCGACGAGCCTTGACTCCCTTGTCCCCGTGAACTTTGTCGTCCAGCTCGTCACGCCACCATCGGTCATTCTCTCGCGGATAGCGTCTCGCTGGATCCACGAGCCATCTGGCCGAGTATATAACATTGGGTTCAATACACCCAAGGTGGCTGGCAAGGACGATATCACCGGAGAGAAACTGACACAGAGAGAAGACGACTCGGTAGAGACATGGACTCAACGCCTTCGCAAGTTCGAAGAGACCAGCAAGGCTTTGCTCGATCATTACCAGCGCAAGGGCTGTCTATGGCGCGTTGAGGGCGACACCAGCGATGAAATCAGTCCGAAGCTGTTCGCGGAGATCGAGCGAAAGTTCTGCTAGCGTTATCAGCGCCCTCCGGATATACCTAACATTAATTCCTTCCTATGTATTATATATTACTACTGTCTGTTGGTTGGCGTTCTGCATTTTTTCATGTTTTCCTAACGGGATATTGTGGATGGATACTGGGTTTGTGTACCTTGACACAGGGATTGGGTACATTTCATGCTTTTTTATGTCTAATGGCTCTATGTATTCATTTACTAAATCGCAAAGCAAGCGCACCGCGAGCGATGCCGATCCTCGATCGGTCATATCAGAGTCATATCGCAGCATCATACCCTGGGGTATCAATCGTAAAATCATAAGAAACGGCCGGCCAAACATGGAGAGTAGAAAACAAGACGTAAGCAAGAGTATATATCGCCGCATCATTTCTTTCCCCCGTTTTCCTGCGACTGGTCCTGCGCGCCCATCCTAGTCTTATATTCTCTCGGACTTTCCCAGTCCTTATTACCCCGGAAGCCCTTCCAGAGCCCCGACCCTTTCTTCTTCGCCCACCATTCCGCTTTCCTATATTTCTGCTCCATCTTCGGACCGCCGAATTCCGACCCAGCCTTTGCCTCGTACACCGTCGCCAGTCCCCGTCTCAGCATCTCATACGACACGTCGCGACGGCGGAACGGGATCGGGAAGTCCAGCATCCGTCGCACATACACGGTCGCCACGACACGTTGGTACTGGTCCTGGCGATGTACGTAGGCGCGGACCCGACGATTGGTGAGATACGACGTCAGCCACTCGTGCGCGTCGCGAGCAAAAGGTTGTTCCGGGCGACCGAAATGCGCGAGTTCGGGGGCATCTATACCAGCCAAGCGCACGTGAACCTAGATAGACACAGCACAACATATTAGCCTCGTTAAACCCCAAACACTCCACATAGGGAAATATAAAGACACCATAGCATGCCACACCCTAGGGTGACAAAAGAATAAACGCACCGTTTTATCCCTCAAATCCTTCTTCGCCGTCGGAACCTTCTTCCACGGCAACCAACCCCACCCAAACAGCCTCCCGCCAGGAGTATGATAGATCCGAAAGTTATCACCATCACCGACATTCGTGACCTTGCCCAGGAGGCTCCTCTTCCGGAAGTACCATGGCGAGATACTCACGGCGTCGGGGAAGCGGCTTAGATAGCGGCGGTGGAGGCGCGCGGCGCCCAGGATCGCGGTCGTCAGGATAGCGGTGGAGAGGAGGGTTCGAGGCTCGGCGAAGGCGGCCCAGTCAAGCGCCAACAGCCATTTCTTGAGATCGGTAGCTTTGGAAGAGGCGGTGGAGGAGAGGGATGCGGTCAGCGATTTGGATTCATCGGTTGTTTGGGCTTGCGATTCCGAAGCCCATGGCGGCCAGCGCATGACGGCTCATGCCTTTGGTGATTGGGTTGTTCTATTACGTGCGTTGAGGGTGAGGTAATATCGTGAGGGCTATTGCATCCCTGAGGTGTGATCACGGACTCGGTCTAAATAGTTGGCCGTTTGGTTTGGTTTGGTTGAGGCCGCTTTGGTTGTTGCCGAGGGAATCGGTCATTCGGGGGGGCGGTCAAGGTTGGGTGGCTTGGGATAGGAGAAGTAGACCCAGTATATGTCTCAGAAGTATAGAAGCTCACTATTAACATTCATGATTAGATTATTCTTGGTTCAGAGAAATATTGTATGGGCGTTTATTTTTGGCTCACTGCATTTAAACAATTCATTTCAATTTAGAATTGTATGAAAGGTTCCAGCTTACAAAAGGACATGGATGTATATTTTTGCAATAGTGCTGGCGATCAATTGTAGTCCAACACAAAAACCTGAATTCTGTCGTTGCGAAAGTGATTTTTCTGGCACAATACACGCATTTAGTTGGCTGCGCGCCCATAACAAATCACTACTGTGTATGTACGATGAGTTGTATCATATGTCTATCTAGATGTTATTCTTCAGAATTACGGCAAGTCCTATACTCGATAATTGCCGGGAATTTACAGGAAAGTGCTGACTCTAGAGTGTCAAGAAACCATAAATCTACAAACCCACACGCCGTAAATCACAACCAGATAGTAACCAAAGAGATGCATCCCAAAGTCCAAAAGAAAACAATATAAGAAAGGGCAGTCAGTCGTTGAGCAAAGGGTAGAAGAAGGTTAAAGCGCCTATTTCAGGGTCGCGGGGAGACTGGTCTTGGCCTTGGATGCAGCGCTATCGACGGCCTTCTGGAGTTTCTCCTGCTTGATTTTCCGCAGGTAAGCGAAGAGAAGAACGAATGTGAGTTCCATCCTGGAAGTAATTAGCTTGACGTCATGCCCAACGGCTCACTAAGTAAGGTTCATACCTTTCCTTGGTCATCATTAGTAGACCTTGCACCAAGAGTCCCTTCAGGATCTGGGGTCCGATACCCTTGAACAGGGACAGGGGTCCTTCGTTCTTAATGATAAAGCGCATAACCTCGCCAAAGGTCTTGAAAGGCTTTCCCTCACGACCAGGAGGTGGCCGCGACTGCAGGCCGACCTTGGCAACAATCAGCGGCTGCGTGACAATGGTAGCCAGAGCCTTAGAAAGAGCCCCGAGAACTATGAAACACATTAGCCTGACAGAAGGAAATAGGACAATTAATCCTTTGACTTACGGAAAGCCTCCCAGGGCTTCAGGTTGTTCTTTCCGGCAAAAAGGACGTCCTTCAGGCGCTGGTAGGCGCCGTAGGTAATGGCCGGGTTGACGACCAGGATAAGACTAGCCTTAAGGCCTCTCCACAGACCAGACCAGCCGTCCTCGCTGTTGACAACCTCTTTACCCGTTTCGATCAAGCCCTTCTTGTCCTCCTTGGGCTGAGTCTGTTGTCTCGTCGTGATGACCGCGACGGGGATCGTGAAGATCTGAGCGACAGCACCCGCAACAGCTCCAAGCGAAAGCTCGATGGCGGTGCCGGGGGGTTTAGGTACTTTGTTCGATGCCATGTAGAGGGTTCTCACGACGCTGTACCAGTAGAAATAGGCGAAGTTGGTAGAGGCAACGCCAAGTAAAGATCCTGCGATTCCGGAATATAGACCCTCAATTCCCTCTCGCTCCATAATCTTATTGATGGCATCCAACGTCGACTTATATTGCTCTTCATTCGCTTGACCGTCTTTCGAATCGGCGGCTGATTTCACTTGGACTTGAAGTTTCGTCTTGACCCTTGATGGCAACAGAGTGTATGTTAGCGCACATCATCCCCGAAAGACTCGATACGGAGGGTATTTCAACGTACAAATCAAGAGGATATACAATGGCATTAGCGAGTACGGCGCCAGTTGCGCCTGCAACCGCACTGCCCCAAGGGGAGAGCGCGGGTTTCGATTGACCAGCCATATTTGTAAATCAGACGAAAGCTTTATAATTTTCGAGTATTATAGTATCGTCCAAGGACGAGCAAGTATATTCAAGCCCTAGTTGTTAAGAATTGGCTTGTTCTTTTGCTTGTTCGGTCTGAGAGAAATGCGGAATTAGATCGCAGCTAAATTCCGAGCGGGGGGGAAAAGTCCCTCGCATAAAAAAGACGTAAGAAGACGAGAGAAGAAAGAAAATAATTGTGAACTATTGTAGACAAGATCACTCTGCTCTAGAAGAAAGAGAAAGCAAAACACAGATCCCAGAAAGCGCAGATCTGGGAGAAAGAGAAGTTGGCGTTGGAATGGCAAGAAACCTAACTCCGTCCTCACGCTCAGTCTCGGCAGAAGCAGCGAGTCCGTGGGCACACCTCGGCCGCGCCCAAGAAAGCACCTGGACACGAGCCGAGGTCCATCGCCCGAACTTGTTCTTCACTCCCGTTCCTCCCCACCGAACACGCTAAGACGCTTCATCCACTCCCCCCAACCCGCTCCATGGTCACACTTGGAGATCTCCTTTAAGGTTAACGCGCAGAAAAGAGTGAGAAATCCTGCCCCCTCCAAGTTTCAACAGACCTGGTATATTATTTAGTAATCATCGGTCCCTTGCTGATTGGATCCTGAGAGCGCTGGCGTCATTGACCTCGGATGTCGCTTTCGGGCATTCCACGGGCTCCTTCGGCAGGGCTCACTGCAAGCCAAACTGCTTGCTCTGATAGGTCTCGGTCGATCTAGCCAGAGGGTTACGACGCGGCGGCTTATGAATGTGATCGAAGACTGACTTCTAAAGAACGACGGATCCTCCCCCTCGTGGGCCAGGATGTCTAGGCCTAACGCTACCTCGCAGAAGGCTTTAATTACCCAAGCTCTGGTACATACCTACTTGAATATTCACTGTTCTATACCAACGTGACAAAAAGAATATTAGTGTCGCAATTGACTAACCAGTAACCAGAAAGCCGAACAGGATGTATCTTCGGCCACTTCTCAAAGACAGGCACTGGAGGCTGCGATCGACGTGACTGAGAATTACATGAAGGCGTTAAAATTAGCAACGCTTCCAAGGGATAAACAGGCATTGGATGCAAAATGCAAAGACTGGCTCACCCGAGCTGAAAAGATCAAGGTATCGCAGGACTGGCAATCTGTTGCGCGTGGGCAGGAAACAACACTTCCGACATCCACCCGCAAACTCACCACGCGTGAAGAAATTATACTCCTAGAAGGGGCCAAGCTTAATGGATTCATCTTTCCGCCGTGGTCCAGGTCCCCAAGTCTGGACGAATTTGAACAGGAAGATGGGAAGCCTTTTACGTATGTTGTTGATTCCTTAGCGTGTATCTCTGAGCTATGTTTAAGAAACCTTGAACTGGCTGACCCGGAATAGCGACAAACCCGATCTTCATCTTTCGGATCTTCAGAAACACATATTTGGTGGCTGGAAACGACCCGCTGAGTTGCTAGCAGGGGATTTCGAGGACCCGAATAGCGTCGTAGAGCCCGTGATGTCTGTTACTGGAAAGACTGATCTTGTACAAGACGTCCTGACCGACTGTTCTGTTGTTGCCAGTCTCTGTGCCACCACTTCGAGACTGGAACGTGGTATGGGAAAGGTTGGCTTCCTTCGAATAGCAGCTTGCATCTTCGGTTGGACTGATCAGGGAGCAGCGTTTTCTACCCGTGGTTTACCCCTGTGAACACGTACAGGCAAATCCGGAACCGTCACCGTCAGGGAAATACATATTTCGCTTTTATTTTAATGGGTGTTTTCGCAAGGTAATCATTGACGATCGCCTGCCGTCATCCAAGACCTCAAGATCTCTTCATGTGATTGACCGAAACAACCCCACATTCTTGTGGCCGGCCCTTGTTGAAAAAGCATACCTCAAACTCCGCGGAGGCTACGACTTCCCTGGGAGCAATTCTGGGACAGACTTGTGGGTGTTGACGGGCTGGATCCCCGAGCAGGTCTTCCTTCACAGCGAGGATGTGACCGGTGACGACCTCTGGAGGCGCTTCGCCAAGGCCTTCCATCAAGGGGATGTCTTACTGACAATAGGCACCGGGGAATTAACCGAGCGGGAACAGGAAGAGCTGGGTCTTGTCAGCGAGCATGACTACGCAATTTTGGACATGAAGGAGTCCAAGGGCCGTCGACAGATGCTTGTGAAAAACCCCTGGGCCGGAGCAGATGCGGTAGATGGCGAAGGCGAATGCATTTCTAACCCGGCTGATCCACCGCACAATCCGCCGTCTTTTGCGCCGGGCACCTTCTGGATGGACTGCGAAAGGGTTCTCCAGAATTTCGAGAACCTATATTTGAACTGGAATCCGGAGATTTTCAAATATCGAGAAGATATCCACTTTACTTGGGATCTCTCTAGCGGTAGAGGAATAGCCGGCTGCTTTGTTAAGAACCCTCAGTTTGCAGTTACTTGTGCACTGGGTGGTACTGTCTGGATACTACTCGGAAAACATTTCAGGACGATTGCGCACGACCAAGAATATGACGAGTCGGGGTTTATAAGCATCTATGTCTTCAATGCTAGAGGGAAGAGAGTTTCCTTGAGTGACACAGCTTTGCATCGTGGTCCTTATGTTGACTCGCCCAACACTCTCATGAGACTGGAGATGCCCCCGAACACGACGTACACGGTTGTCGCCTCCGAACAGTCTTTACCTTCCTTGAGTCAGAGCTTCACACTCTCCGCACTTTCCACCTCACCGGTACAGATCGCACAGGCCCAAAATGAACACATGTGTGTCAGCAAGGTCCAAGGCGCCTGGACACCTCTTACTGCGGGTGGAAATGCAGAGTCAGCACGCTATCCTTTGAATCCTCAATTTAGTTTGGTAACATCAGATGTGACTGACGTGTCATTTCTGCTCGAGTCGTCAGATGTCGACCTTGCCACCCATGTTAAACTTTTCTGGTCCAAAGGCAATCGCATATCAAGAGTTCGAAGCCGCGATATAATTACCGACAGTGGTGACTATCGTCGGGCTGGATGCCTCGCAGAGAAGAGGTCTCTAGAGCCAGGTCCTTATACTATTGTGTGCTCTACATTTGCCCCTGATCAACTTGGCAAATTCACGCTCTGGGTTTCATCTTCAATTCCTTGCCAAGTGAAAGCGCTTGCTCCAGAGGCAGCGGGTCGACGTGCAGTCATTTCAGATATTGGCGTACTACCCCCGGGAAGGGATCGGATGTTAGCTCCTCTACACGTCCCGCGATTGACACGGATCAAACTCATCGCGCGAAGCCGAAAGTCGGTGATTGGCGACCATCCTGTTGGTCCTTCACCTGCCTTGATGACCGTAGAACTCGGCCAAGGACCTTACAAAGAGACCCTGGCGACCTCGGAAGACGGAAACCACAGCGATGCGATATCGGGGGTGCGTGTCGAGGATTTTGACATCAAGCCAGGACTCGAGGAGAAAGGCGGAGCTTGGATTGTCATCGAGAGAATCGGCGGTCCTGGAGGTCAGGTTGAAGATCATTTCGAGGTGGAAGCGTTGGCCGAAGAGAGAGTGGAAATTGGGGAGTGGATAGTGGAAGATGTTTGAAGAGCATACGGAGTACATAGCATGTGCATGTATTTTGGTCTTGACTTGTAAACACCATGTTAGAGTTGTACATACAGTGGAATGATAATGTGAATACCCAGTTACTGTGAATGGAAACTAATTGTCGCCTAAGCAATACACAAATTATTTCCGATATCGCTATTAAGATTGCACTTATGCGTACTGAGGTACTCCTTACGGAGGAGATTGCAGCCTTGTCCAGCCAAGCGCATCTCCACAGTCTCGGAGCGGGCGCCGATGAAAGCCCACTCGGAGTCCAACGTCATCCCGCTTGACACCTTCCCTTCGCTTTGTCCTTTCGCCTCCGCCCACTGAACCATACATCTTCGCTCCTAACCTCCTATCGCTGTCGCACAGATGGCGAGCAACATTCCTGCCGGTCTGAAATCTGCAGACATTGGGCGCTTTGCCGTCAGGGCCGCTCAGCTGGAACGCGTGAAGCCCGTGATCGCCTACTGGTGTGAGTGATGTGCCACTATTGCATGATTGAAAAGGGGCAACTGACTAACAAGGGACAATTGTTCTTTCATGGCAGGTAATTTCTGGATCGTCAACCAAATTATCGAAAAGGGCCTTCATTCCGATGACGAAGTCAAGCTGTACACGACAAACCTTGTGGACAAGTTGGAAACCGTACGTCTGGCGCAGAACCCGGCCTTGAGGGGGATCGAGGAGGCCGATCGTGGAAACTGACATGCCGCTACGTGAAGTTCAAGGAAGAGAACCCCGATAATGATACCGTGACGGATGCAGTGGCCGCCAATGCCTACGTGGAGGAGTTCGGTCTGGAGGTCTTCGCTCGAGCAGAGGCAACCATGAGGGCCAACAAGGTGACGAAGTACGTTGCAAGGGTGTCCAGCCACACGGGGGTTCACAACTAAAATGTTCCAGACAAACTGCAGATACGTTCCAGGCGGCTGCTACATTTCTCGAACTTTGCCAGATTTGGCACGCCCCAGAGCCCGAACTCGCCGTCAAGATCAAATTCGCCAAGTACCATGCGCTGAGGATTGCGAAGGCTATCAAGGCTGGTGAAGACCCCAATGCGACGAATCCAGTGATTGAAGAGGATAATCTCGAGCCGAAGGAAGATGATCCGGAAGTGCAGGCGATTGTTCAGTCCCTTCCTCCAGCCGACCCTGAAAACCTACCAGGACAGCAGCAGCCGTCTGTGGAAGAAGTTCCCGATGAATCTTCCGCGCAACCTTCAGGATCGACTCCTACCCTACCACAAGTTCCAACCGCTTTTGCCGATAGCCGGCCTATCCAGCATAATGCGCCGTCTCCGGGCACGGATGTCGATAACGACCAAGGCGCGCCCTTGAATCTTCCATCGGCGCCGGACACATTCGCATCGTCCGCATCTGCGCCGACTCTACCTGATACCCCGACTCAGATTGGCAGGCACCACTCGTCTGGGGATCCTAATGCATTCCAATCTTTCCCGCCCCCGTCGTCCAGTCCCGATAGAAGCCCAACAGGAACGTCTTTTGATGCCAAAGCTTTTTACAGCTCTAACAGATCGCCTCCCCCTCCCGCGCAGCCATCGCCTGGGCCACTGCCTGTGGTGTCACGTCCCGCACCCCAGTTTATGCCCTCAGCAGCCCGTATACCTGTAGCCTCTACACCCAGCTCAGCGAACGCATCGGCAGTGGATGACAACGCTATTGCACAGGCTCAGAAACATGCTCGCTGGGCCGTCTCTGCTCTGGCCTTTGACGACGTGGACACTGCTATTAAAGAGCTCAAGAACTCGCTCAAACAGCTCGGAGTTGAGTAAATGCATGCCCTAGTTTGACAACTGAATGAGGAACGTTAAGACTTTCATTTCTCCCATTAAGAGCTCTTTTATTTCTCAGTCTCTGGACGATGATGACGATATGTAATATTCCCCTTGCTGAATGATTGCTGAATGAATCTCTTTGACCCACGAGTGCCACTACATTTCACTGGAATAGAATTTACCGTGAGGATAAACATGCAATACCAAGCTATCAGTCCCTTCTTAGTTCTTTTACCTATGCGTTTAGACATCTATTTGTTAAACTACTAGATCGTTCGCCCGTCTTGGGGAGTCTGGTACCTCTTCTCAATGATCGTTTGTTCACAGATCTGCCAGGAGGGGAGGCTGCTGTGAAAATTCGCGTCACCTGATTCTATTCATGGCAGTTGCCATTAACTCGTCGTTGACTAGTCATCGTTGACTGTCAGACCTAGCTAGTAGAGACTCTCACTTTTCTCACTTCTCTCACCTCACATTCTCATCTTCCTACCTCCCACTACCATCTCCCCTCCGCCGCTTTCCTATCAACTCAGACAGACTTGTCCTTCTACTTTAGACCCTTTCTCAAGGGAATGGGACCATCTGTTAGCACACTAACAACCAGCCACACCACGACCCGTCAACCATCCCAGGAATCCAATATGGTCCATCCTATGCGAGAGCTCTTGGACGAGGGCGGCCTCACCCCCAAAAGTCGTGACCGTATGTTCACCACTTTCCTTGACTTGAAACTGGATCACCACCACGACTTCATCACCCAAGTTCGTGATCATGTGCAAAAATACGGATACAAATGGGCCGACCTGGAGAAGTCCAAGACCGAGCGACAGCTTTGCGCGACCAGCTTTGTGGAAGACTGGGGAAAGCTGTATTGGGGCACCGAGACTAATCGCAAAGAGCATCTGCTGGAAGAGTCTTTGGATGACCCTGGCTGTCTCTGTGTGTACCCTGATCGGAAGGACGAGTAAGTCATACCCTCCACGAGTACATACTCATGACTGCTTCGATGCAATCTTCCGGAGACTAATACTCGGTAGAATTGTGCGGGCTGTGGCTATTCTGTTAGAGCGAAAGGCGAGAAGCCACATGAAAACTGCTAGACAGTCGATGGAGGTAAGTCGGAACCTTGGACTCGTGGATCTCTAAAACGTTGAGACTAACGCATCAATCACAACAACATAGGCAGTTGCCGCTCCCTCTACGCCCAAACCACCTGTCCAGCCCTGCAACAGTTCTCAGCCCGTCTCTCAGCCCGCCCTTCGCAAGGAAAACAAAGCGAAAAGAAAGAGAGACGAATGTCTCAGTCAATCCCCATCTCCATCTTCATCTCCATCCCAAGACGAATCGAGACGCCACATCGCTCGAAAGTCCAGCGGTAGCCTGTCGATTCGGCCCTTCCGTGACATCGCCAGCCCCGACGAGGACATTATTGCTGATCGGGACAAGTCGATGCCCCGAGGGACCCAGGAGCTTGTCACCACCCTTTCTCACACTGATACTGGTAGAGACACTGATATGGCAGGAATGACTCACTTTCTGGTTAGCATCTCCAACCAGCAGGGCCTGGCACCCACCTGGATTCCATTCCAAAGGTTCACCTCGACCGTATCCTTTCTGTCCCACATGTTGAGCGAATGTACCCTTCAGTACTGGGACAGTCACGCGCAGGCGCTCACCAACGTGCAGCTCGAGCATCCGCCGGTCGTGGTGGCGGCTTCGGTGAAGTTTACCTGGTCGGATTTCGAAATGCGCCTTCGTCAGGGCCGGGATGAGGACTGGAAACTAGTTATGACACAGTTGGAAAAAGCGTGGAAGGAGAGTGAGCTCAGCAAGGACAGTTTTTTCTACGATGGATTCAAGGTTCTTGTGAGGCTTCATGTTATGGGATGAGCATCTTTTGTGTTCCTTGTGTCCTGGATAACTGGATAACTGTTTGGCTGAGGGGTCTACTCGGAAGTTTTGATTTTTGACTGGGATGTCAACTTTGCTAGATGATGAACGGAAATGTCTTGGATCCAGCGGAGCAAAGAAAATGGATTGAGCAGAAACGATCGAGAGGACATTGAATAAATATCAAATACCGATCAATAGCTTGCACCTGCAGACCCAAACCCAGTTTTCATGGGAAAACTAGTAGAGCTCTTCCAAATTGTCGCACGAACCATGGGTGGATCAGGACGATATTCCATGGAACAGCCAGTCGATCCTTGTCTGGGGATCTTGGGAAGTCCGAGTCTTCTGTGGGATCGGGGAATTTCATTTCCTTGGGTGATCCAAAGACTTGACTTGACGTCAACACAAGCTCGAGGCAGCCCTCGACCCCCTTGCAGGTCTGCATTGCGTTTGCGGCAGGCCATCTCGTATCTCCTATCTACATATACTCTGTAGTCTGTACCAACTAGCTACTGACTACGATCCCAGTCAGCGAATACTAATTAGATAGCAGATTAATACCGAATCCCAATAGCCAACCACAGGCCCTAAACAAATAAATCGAAAAGATAGCGTCGGTTCTACGGAAACCATCTGCCGAACTCGGGAAATACAGTGTGGACTTCGGTCGGGAATGGGGAACTCGATTGATTCCTTGGGTGCTTGACTTCCTTTAGTCCTGGCCAATGGATTCAAGTCAACTATCAGATCCAAATCCCAATGACAAATTTCCCTCGGAGCTGGGAGCTTGTTCAGTGCTAGACTGTCTAGTTCGTCTAATGAAACTCGGGATTGGGAGATAAAGAGAAAGAGAGAGGATACTCAGACAGGAAGGACTCAACTCAGCAACGGAGTCGATAAATGGAAACGCGTCTCCACCACGATGATCCTGACTCGGTCGGAGATCATCCAGTTCCTTGAGACGATCCGTTTTGACCTGTCTCTCGTCCAGGAGGGAAGGCGTCGGAGGGAGGTTTTCTGTCCATGAGAACCCATATCCTTATCTCGACGAAGAATGGGATACCTATGATGAAAAGGTCCCAAGGGCTTGCAAAGGCTCATCCCCTATTTCCCAAGCCTCAAGCTCGCCCAATTCCCATTAAAATGAACACCCCCCTCTCGTTTCCACTTGGAGGCGGAACTATGATCGGACGGTGTCCCTGAAGAACGGAAAGCGTCCCACAACGCGCGCTTGGCAGGGGAAGAAATGATGAATCAAGTCGGACGGAGTTGGGGACACTAAACCCGGCGAAATTTCTAGATGCAGCGCTAACGGACTTTGTTCGGTTGGAAGTTGGCAAAGTTGGTGGGAAAGTTTGGTACCCTAGGTTTTAAGGACCCGTTTGTTGGAGTTGGAGGTGTGGGATTTGGATTCATTTGGTGATTTCGATTTGTTTCTGGTGTATCCTTTTTAGGCCTTTGAGGATTTGGGGATGGGATGTTTGGATGGAGGGAGATTGTTGGAGGGAAGGTCTTTCTCTGAAAAAGTTGTGCAGGAGGAAAGCACCCAGAGGAGTTGAAATGAAGAAAAAAGACAAGTAGAAATGTAATCACGGAATACTAAATAGATAGAGGCGAAACACGCGCAATCAACAGGAATCGCTAGCGGTAGTTAATTCGATACTAGAGGATTTAATATTGACTTGGAAAAGGATGCTTGGGCAGCTGATCGCCTGGCGTTAACTCGTTTAGTCCCCAATTCTTGCCTTCGCTCGCTTTCTTTATCCTTTCCCTTTTCTTTCATCTCCCTTTCCCCTCGGCCTCGTTTCTTAATTAATTCACTCTCCAATCCAATCCAACCCAATTCAATCGACTATCTTCTCCCCCTCATTTTCGGTGCTCCGAAGAATCTCATCCTATCTCGGCCTCTTCTTTCCCGGCTTCATCCTTGTCTTTGTCCCACCGTCTGCCCCTTTTCCTCCCCGCATTGTTTCTTTGGGTGCGGGGCGCCAACAACCAGGTCACCACGCTGCAAGCTCGAGATCCCCTCGTCTTGTCGACTGTTGAATTTTTCTTCTTTTTCTTCTTTATCATTGTCGTCTCTCTCCATCATGGCTGACGACAAGAAGCCGTCCGTGTTGATCGTTGGAGGGTTGGGTACGAACTGACCCCTGCCCGCACCATCTTCAGCAGTCTCAACTAACCCGCATACTCGTTAAATCTAGGATTTATCGGTCGTCATCTGGCTCTTTATATTCATGAAAATAACCTCGCCTCGGAAGTTCGACTGGTAGACAAGGTCTTGCCGCAACTCGCGTGGCTGGCGCCCGAATTCGAACAGGCTTGCTCCAAGGATAAATTCGTTCAGGCAGACGCGAGTCGGGAACGTAAGTTGCAGTTGGAAAATTCCGTGCTGATAGGAAAACGCATGGCTGACCTTGATTTGTTTCCCCTGGCTTTCTAGAACATTTCCCGCGTATCTTCGATCGGAGTAATGGCGAACAATTCGACTACGTGATCAACTGCGGCGGCGAGACGAGGCATTCCCAGCCCGACGACGTCTACGAGCTCCGCAGCTACAACTTGACAGTGGCGTTGGCCCGCGAGGTCGCTCGCCGTGGCATCCGCTCGTATGTCGAGTGCTCCACCGCCCACGTCTACAAGGGGGGTTCGACGCCGCGAAAAGAGGATGACAAGATCCAGCCGTGGAACAAACTCGCCAAGTGGAAGTTGAAGGCTAGCGAGGAGATCCAGAAAATTCCCGGGTTCAACTACTGCGTGCTGCGCCTACCGCACGTCTACGGAGAATACGACCCCGGCTACTTCGCGACGGGCATCTGTTTGGCGCGCGTCCACCAGGATATTGAGAAGGATCTGGAGCTGTTGTACACCAAGGATCTGAAGATCAACACCGTCTACGTCAAGGACGCTGCCGACGCCCTGTGGAAGGCCGCCGAGTGGAGGGCGAACACCACTCCCGGAGAGAACCAGCCCATCGCCTTCAACGTGGTGGATCACGGAGACACCCGCCAGGAGCACATCGCCGAAGCGCTGTTGGACGTGCTCGGCATCAAGACCTCCTTCCTCGGTTCCCTGGCTTCCCAGCTGGCCAAGATGAATCTCGACGACGTGCTGGACGACATGAACGAGGAGTGCCTGCAGGTCTGGGCTGAACTGATCGAGCAAGCGAAGATTGAGCGACCCGGCCCCATCAGTCCCTTCTTGGAGAGGGATGTGCTCAAGGACCAGGACATGTCGATTGATGGTACATTGTTTGAAACGACAACCGGGTGGAAGCCCACTCGGGAGAGATTCAATGCGGACTCGGTACGGGAGATGGTAGAAAGCTACAAACGCATGGGCTGGTGGCCCTAACGCTTTCTCTTCCAATAATTTCTATGCACCTTAATCCTTATGACTCGATCAACCATGGAAAAAGCTTGGATGGAAATGCCACAAGAAAGTGAAAAGAAGAAAACAGTTGACAACAGAGTATGAGAGCGACCAATCACGACTACCCATTGACGAGCGCTGTTTATACCTCGACCGGACTCGATTATTTCAATTTCTCGTTGAAAGAAAGGGAGAAGAAACGCAACATCCCAAAAATTTATAGATCGATTGATTGATCTCGACCTTTACCTGAGCACATAGACTGCACTGCATTCAACCCATGATCTCCTACCCTCTCATCGCTCGACACTGCCATACCCATATCCCTCAACGGCCAATTCTCTCTCTCTCTCTCCCCTGCCTGTAATCTATAATTTTCTGGCTTTCAACTTTCACATCCCGTTCTCTCTTCCCTATATTTGTGGTTGTCCATGAGCAACTGGTTTGTTCTAGAACACCATCTATCTTCAGCTTTTGGATTTGATATCATTTGAAATAGCATTTTCGTTTTCGTTCTCATCGACTTTCGTTTCTTTTTTATCATGAACAACACCTCATTCTATATCATTTCATGTCCTTTCCATTAGACACTTAGCTTTGGTTGTTGATATGCGTTCCCCACCTTTATACCTATACCTCAATATGTATGAATGAGGTGGATGAGCCTATTGCTGGATCTTCTGGTCTCCTGGTCGACTGTCGACTACATATATACATATGCGCAATTTTCCTGACCTTACTTACCTATCTCCATATGCAGCGTGCATCATTACTTCCCCGGCTCATATCTACAACGATCCTGTTGTCTATTGAACTATTCCTTCCTGGTTGTCCTGCTTGATACGCTAGGACAATTATGTACATGCATACGTATATAAGCCTGTTATTTTCTCCCTTCGCATCCTTTCCTATTTCTGGTTCCTCTTCTCTGCTCTTTTGCATTTTGCATGGACGAGGATTGACAGGACTCGTTCGTTTCATCAAGCAATGGGTTTTATCTTATTCCGATTTATTTTACGCTATTTTTTGGTCAATTGTAATTGCTACGCACACCTGTTAATCGATTCTAAACCCCCAGAGACACGATTCATTTGTAGGTTGTGTACATAAAAAAAGATTTTGCTCTCAATACAGTAAGAAGATTTTCGGTCACGGTCATGCTAGAAAAAAAGTTCTATATAATCTCAAGAGGGCCGCCACTAGCTAGAGGTTATATCTAGACTGAACCAGTTAAGGTGAATAAGATCAGATCAGGCGGTTGTAGACCTTAAACCATTAGCCTTCTGTTTTTGATCCTCCTTTTTATGTCTTTTCGTTCTTTCAATTCAAAATTTTTTCTCCTCCTGGCTTGAGCTTTCAATAAATATAGCAAACCCGCAGTATTTAAAACGTGAAAAAAAGTTGAAATGGTCTTGGGCCAAAGAGGAAGAACAAAATGAAGCAAATGAACACCGTGGAAATGCTCTTTTCGAAGACCAAATGGTGCGCCAGTCATACTGTATAGGTATGCTCTAAGCGTCTTTCATATTTAACTTTCCAATGTCAAGGGATAAGCGAGGGTAGCACTGGTTGCGCTTATGCAAGAAAGTGCTTGTTGAACGATGAAAAACCCAAACTTTGAGGGGAAAAAAAGGAAATAAGAATATATAACAGTCCGTCTACCATCTCCCAAGATAAGAATCAAAAAAGACCAAAAAAAAGCAAAGGAAATATATAAGAACAGATCATGCAATAGTACAATTTCGAGCTGATTCCAGTCGTTTTCATTGGTTTGGTGCGTTTAGAATTCCCAATCCCCTTCAACGGACTTAATAGCCCAATCGAACTTCTCCCGCAAGGCCTTAGAGAAGAACTTCTCGATGGGGACATCGAATTTCTTGCTGAACACGACCGTAAGACGAGGATCAATGTAGTTCTGCTCTGTATTAGTTCATCATTCATCGACTATGCATGGGCATAACTCACGATCTTGGAAGTTCCAAGGGCAACTTCCTTGTTGTCTTCCTTGTCCTGAGCCTGGAGCTCCATGGTTTCAATACGCTGTTCCAGTTTCTGGATGGCGTTCTCCAATTTATCAACGGTGGGGCCCTTGCCCTCAGCTTCTACCTTACCCGTCTTGTTCTCTTTGCTGAATTTCTTCTCCAGCTCTTTCGCGGCATCCAGACGGTTTTCGAGTTCGCTGGCCTTCATTTCCTTCTCACCCTCGGCAGCTAGTTTCTCGTTATCCTTTTCAAATTTCTTGGTGATTTTCTGTCGTTGTTCTTCAACCAAGAAGGCCTGGTGTTCTTTGACCCATTCCTTGTCAATGTCCTCGTCCATCTCGAAGAACTTAGCACCCTTCTTTTTCTTGAGATTGGGTTCCAAGTCGAGCATCTGCTGCTTAAGACGCCATCTTTGGTAACGAAGACCCTTGATCTTTGAGCGAAGAGAAACAAGTCAGCGATGAATGTTAGCTTCGGATAAGGCCAAATAGGGCTTACTCTTTCACTCATTTTTTCCATTTGCCCGGCGTGGTTTGCCCCCACAGTCCTCTTGTGGTTGCAAAGAATGGCAACTTTGCGGTTTGCATCATTGTACGCCTTGACCTTCTCGGCATTGTTACCGGTTGCCTTCATGTCCTTGAGTAGAGTCGACATGGTATGAGAAGCGTTGTAGGTACGAAAGACCTTGGCAGTCAGTCCTTGCATGTAGACCGACAAATGCTTGTTAAGGGCGGAGGTCTTGGGAATAGTCAGCGTTCTGTGAGGTCAACGAGGGGAGAGTGTGAGTTGATTGATCCTTACCGTCAATCGATCGAAAATTTCATCACCCTCCTTCTTGGGTGCCTTCTTGAAGATTTTCAGGTTCTTGAACACCTGCGGGTCGACTTCGACTTCATCGTAAAATCGGATACTGTCTTTACCCAGAAAATCGAAAACGACCTTGTTTGGCGGCTTGAGAGTAACGTTCTCGTACTTCAGGGAACAGCAACCGACAGTTTCGGCCTCGTCCTCGCCCTTTTCATTACCAGCTCGCAGGGCAAATTGATCAATGAGGTAGACAGCAGTCGCCTTCTGTCGCTCCACCATCAATTCGTGCTTGAGGTTCTTCTTGTAATCCTTGCGGATGCGATCAATGTGATGCTTCAGCTCACGGGCTTTCTCGAACTTCTTGAAATCACTTTGGCCCTTCACATCGGAATTGGCTGCAAGCATGACGTATTTGTAATTGCCGTTGATGTTTTCTTGCCACATGGCAAGCCACGTTCCTTCTTGATCATGCTTGACTTCCTTCCACTGGTGACCTTCGGGAGGTGGAGGAACCGGCGCATTCTTTCCGATATTGATGGTGATCTGCTCGGGCTGAACTCGAGACTTTACGCGACCAGTCTTGGGGTGCTCACCGCGCCCACGGAAAAGCGAAGGGGGTTCGACGCGGAAGTTGCCCACTTTTTGCTTGCGGCCATCCCACATGCAGTACATGTAGGGTGCCTCTTCGGCATCCTTCTCTGCTTTCAATCGCTTTTTCTCGGCTGGAGGAAGAGCCTTCTTCTCGGCACGCTTCGCATCGTAGTAGGCAAAGATCGGTTGGAAGTCACACTTGGCGAATTCCTTAATATCGACCTTGTTACCCTTGGGATCCTTCGCACCGCCAGTTTTTTTGAGAATGTCTTTGAAATCCATGAAGAAGTTCTTCTGGAAGGTGGGGTTTTCGACATTCTGAGTCGAGTTCAGCATGGTTCCAAAGAAACCAGCCACCTCTTCCGCATCTGGATGGAGAGTGACTGGAATGCCGTCGTATTTCAACTTGACGTCTTTGGGAAGAGGCTCGTAGGGAGGAGGGAACACAACGCCGTTGTGCTCAAGGGTGGTCCACTTGACAGTGCCGTCACCCTTGGTGGGATCCTCCCACCAACGGTATTCCTCTTCCTCGCCCTCCTCAGCTTCTTCACTCTCCTCTTTTTTCACGACCTTCGCGGGCTTGGCAGCAGTGCTCTTCTTCGCAGGAGTAGACTGCGCAGATTTGGGCTCGGCTTTGACTGGCTTTGCTGCTGCCTTTTTCGCGGCGGGCTTCTTTTCCTCGCTAGCAGGCTCCCGCTTAACGCCGTTCGCCTGCTTCTTGGTGGCGGCCGCCGTCTTCGGAGTGGCCTTCGGGGTGGCCGGTTTGCGGCTGGCCTGGGCGGCCTTCTCGCCCTTCTGCTGAATGCGTTTCTTTTCCGATGCGAGCTTTCTCTCGATGGGAACATCAGAATCGGATTCTTCGCCGATAGCGGTCTCCGAGGCCTTGGGGAGTTTTCGTCCATTCAGGGCCAGGGGGACATCGTCGTCCGATTCGGGATCTTCATGTTTCACGGAGGTGCGACGGCGCTTGCTCTGTCGAATTGTCAGCCGCTGAAACAAAATAGCGACGGCGAGAAAGTCGCAAACAATTGGGGTAAAAAGGGAAGAACTAGCGCGGCGGGAGTTGGCGTACCAAGGGCTGATCCTCCTCGCTGCTTTCTGGTTCTGCGTATGACTTCCTCTGGCCAACACTCGATCGGGACTTTCGCTTGCCGGCGTCGGCCTGAGAGTCGGCATCTTTCATGGCTACGTCGCCATCGTTCTGCACCGGTCCAAATCGAATGGACACGCCGGGGTCGACATGGCCATTTGTCTCCGTCGCGTCGCCCATCGTGACGTCTTTAGAGGGACCTATAGTTGCAACAAGAGGAGGGTGTAAGTAGAGATGGTATGTTTAGAGTGATGTGGCGAGTGAAATAATCAAAGAAACGGAGAATGTGAGAAGAAAAGTGAGAGAAAGAAGAGCTCAAAGTTGCTGTAAGGTAGGTGGGTTGAGTATGCTGGATCGAGAGGCGAGGTTGAGTGGAAGGAAAGCGATGCGAAAAGGCTGGGAAAAGCAACGCACGAATGGGAGGAAATAGTCAGGAACGGGGAACTCACCAGAAGATCGACCATTCGCTTTCACAAGCGGGGTATCGTCTTCTGAAGAACTCATGGTTTGAGGGCGGTAGTGATTAGGGACGCGACGGACCAAAGAATGGGAGTGCAGGTAAGCCCGAGGTAACAGGAAGGGACTCGAGATTGACCTGCCAAGTCTGAGGGAGAACAGAGCTGGCGCTTTCCGAATCGATGAGGTCAATGACAAGCTGACCAATGAGGAGGCTGAGAGGATGGCAGATGTCAAGGGAGACGCCGATGCATTGAGTGGAAGACGGAGGAAGAGGGGAGACAAAATTGGAGGGAAGGAGGGTTGGAAGGGTGGGAAGTGGTGGAGTGAGCAAGAAGAAAACAAAGACGGAGGAAGAGGGAGAGAGAGAGAGAAGAGGAAAGAGAGAAAAGAGAAGGAATGGAATGGAAAACGAGGCCGTCGGGGTTGGGGCCTGAGGCGATCTTCACGTTTCTCCGGACCGTCAGTCAGCCACTCGTATCGCTGCCTGAGGCCGCGGCTGTGTAGTTTTTTTCTTTCTTTCTTTTTTTTTTTTTTTTTTTTTCTCATTGCTGGATGTTGCTTGCTGCCTGCATGCCTGGAGGAGGTGGCCGGGGACGGGGAATTTCGGCCTTGGGGCCTTGATTTGTGCGTGTGTTGCATAGTTGGTCGCCTCGTCCGGCCGGAGCCAAGAGCCACCCGATTAGGCCTAGCGTGGCTGGGAATCCCGTGCAGCCGGGAGTCGGAAGAACAGAAACAGGAGAGTTCGAACTCAACGTCTGTCTTCTCTTCGTAGAGCAGAGCACCGAGTGTTTGCCGCGGCCCCCCTCCCCTCTTCCGCTCCAATATCGTCATTTTCTACCTTCACCTCCCTCGACCTTCCGATTCATCTTCACTATGTTCTCTCGTGCTGTTCGTCCGGCCGTGAGGGCCGGCAGTGCTGCTGTGACCCGGTAAGTTCGTGATCCTCCGGTCGTCACCGTCCACACCGGATATCGCCTTTTCCACCCTCCCCCTCTCCCACACAGACGGCCAGCTCGACTCGCGACATCCGCAAAGCATCTCGATCGATGATGAGAGTTTGGAAGGAGCGGCATGGTCAATTGCTAATTTTCTTGAAGCGCTGCGCCTCCCAATGCCGCCAACTTCGCGACCCTGCGTGAAATCGAGGGCCGTCTCAAGTCCATCAAGAACATTGAAAAGATCACCAACACCATGAAGGTCATTGCCTCGACCCGTCTCACCCGCGCCCAGAAGGCTATGGGTGACTCCCGGAACTACGGTCAGACCTCCAACACCGTTTTCGAGCAGGCCGAGACCAAGCCTCTTGACGACAAGAAGACTCTGCTCGTTGTCGCCAGCTCCGACAAGGGGCTTTGCGGTGGTATCCACTCCGGTCTGAGCAAGGCCACCCGCCGTGTCCTCCAGGAGTACCCCAACTCCGACATCGTCGTTCTCGGCGAGAAGGCCAAGGCCCAGCTGTCCCGTACCAACGCCAGCTCTCTGGTTCTGAGCTTCGCCAACGTCTGCAAGGACATCCCTACCTTCGCTGATGCCCAGGCTGTTGCCGACCAGATCGCTCTGCTGCCCACCGACTACGCCAGCGTTAAGATCATCTACAACAAGTTCCTCAACGCTCAGAGCTACGAGCCTACCACCGTCGAGGCCTACTCCGAGGAGGCTATCACCAGCTCCGGTTAGTGTCTGCATGGTGTAATATCATTGGGTTCTTCGGATACTAAACATCACAATTAGCCAACATCTCTGCTTTCGAGGTTGACGATCAGGCCCTGACCAACCTCCGCGAATACTCCCTCGCCAACAACCTCTTCTGGGCTATGGCTGAGGGCCACGCTTGTGAGATCTCGGTAAGTTTTATATATACCCACGTCCAATCACCATGGTTAAGAAGAGACCGCTAACCCAATGACAGGCTCGTCGTAACGCTATGGAGGCAAGTAACTGTGTTTTGATTTTGATGGAGAGAACTCCCGACTAACCCTAGTGATCTTTCTAATACAGAACGCCTCCAAGAACGCCGGAGAGATGATCAACAAGTAAGAGCCCTATCCTTCGAATTGTCATGTTCAATTCTAACCCCTTCCTCAGGTTCCAGATTCTGTACAACCGTCAGCGTCAAGCCGCCATTACCGGTGAACTGGTTGAAATTATCACTGGTGCCACCGCCAGTGCGGACATGTAAAAGCAGTTCCGATGCTTTTGTGGGAAGGAGTCACCATCTGTGTAGACTTACTTTTAAATACCTAGATTACCATCAGCCTGTAAATCAGTCTCTATATTTTTCTTTGTCTCAGTTTTTCTTTATCTTATTTGGGTTCCAAGTAATGGACAATGTTGCAATGTTGTATGTCGTTGTTCCTCTTCCTTTGTTATGGCCGCAGATAGTATTCAATTCACCAGCTGAAATGGCAGGCGCTTCACTGCATTGGTTTGAATGCTGACCCAGATATCCTACCTATGTTTCACTTCTGGAAGTGACTACTGGCTGTCTTAATCATTTCATTACCTTAAAATCGTCACCTGAGCCTTCACTGCAAACCCCGTGGGCTTACGAGCGCGATGTTGACCTCCACTGAACCTGAACTAGGTAGTGGCCATGATTACCAAATTGGGAATCAACAATAGCACCCCCAAACCTTTCTCTCCTTTCCTTCTCAGTCTTTTCTTCAAATACATCCCTCTTCCCTCCTCGCTCCTTCCCCTCTCCCTAAACCTCTACTCCAGGGCTGGATTACACCCGAAAATCGCTGTCTGCTGGCAAACGCTCCGTTTGTTTTCTCAGCCAACCACAAAATCCTTGCAAACAGACTCGTCGCTGCACCACCCAGCAACACCCACCATGGCGACGGCATTTAGAAAACCCATCCAAGACTGTTACGCGACCCTCGGCGTTGCTACAAACGCAAATTCCAAGGACATCAACAGCGCGTACAAGAGATTAGCTCTGAAGTACCACCCCGATAAAGCAGGTGGAAATGATGCCTCGTACGATGAATTCCAGAAGGCAAGTGCATCCTGATCCTCGTCTCTACTGTAGCTCACTGAACACCTTCAACCCCGCTTCGCCTCTCCTGTTCCTTACCACCCACCTCATCCTCATACATATACCGATGATGGCCGAACACATCGATTCATCACCTCCACCTCACGTTACTTACCACACTATGTCACAGATCCAAGAAGCCATCGAGATCCTTCGCGACCCAACCCGTCGCTTGAAACATGACCAGGAGCTCTCCCGGTTCAAGCGTGTCTCCATTGAGGAGTACTTCGAGTTTGATGCGCCCTACACCGGCTGGAGACCCCATGGTCCCATGTGGGATGGCGTACACTCCGCGAGTGACCGGTACATGTACAGCTATGGCAACAGTGTACACATGAATCCGAACTGTCAGGAGTCCCAGGAGGAGAAGGAACGAGTGGAACATGAGATGAGGTTTGATGAGAATGTCAGAATGAGGGAGGAAGAGGAGCGCCTCATGGCAAAGCAGAGATCTGAGGAGGAGGTGCTGAAGGAAGAGAGACGTCGAAGGGCGATGAGGGCGAGAATAATAAGGGATGAAGAGTTCATGGCAGAGGGACACGCGCTGGATGATGATTCCAAGGAGGGCCGTTCTGAAGGAGCGGCTCGTCCGGGTTACGGAGGCGAGGAATCTGACTTCTACCGGGGACAAGAGTATGTCCAAGAGGGAGAGTATTACCGTTATTACCACTGGAAATGCGACGAGGGCTTTGCTGCGCATAACAATGCCCAAGACGACCTGCTCAACTTCCAAGACAGTGCATACGAAGGTGCCGGCCAAGCCAGTGGAAGCGAGTATGAAGACCATGAGTATTATGAGAACGAAGAATCCTACGAAGACCACGGTGTCAATGAAGACGCATCCTCCAACCATTCCACCCAACCCACTGCTACTGAATACAACACTGCACATCGTGAGCGCACCATATTCAGCTCCATCAATCTTGCTACGGACGAAAGCAAGCTCTCAGATTCTCAATATGAAACCAGCAGGGAAGATGCTTCAGAAGATGATGCATTCTACTACTCCTTCAGCGAGCATACCCAGTCCGTCAACAGCACAGACACCTCCAGTATGGGTCAAGAGCAGCCCGCTGTTGCAGAAGACAACTACATCAGAGTCGACACGGATCTACACTCCAAACTTGCCCCGTTCCTGCCACTATTCGAGTCAAAATTAAACCACCCGAGTGGCCTGTACACCCGTGCCGATATGCACAGCGAGCTGCGTGGCATTGTGATGGAGACATTCTGCGGTTGGCTTGAGAACCTGCGCCTGGGATTCTCGGAAGTCGACACTCAGAGCACCTTCAGCCATAGCGCCTTCGATGATCTGTATGATACCTCGGATACCTGTGATCATCTTGGATACTGGACCAAAGAATATGGACGTGACGAGTGCGAGGTGTGTCATCGATGGAAGCCCATCTTTACGCTGACCTGCCCCAGTTGCGGTCTCAAGGCGTGTGTAGTCTGCAAATTTCGGTGCTGAAACAGCTTGATCTGGCATTTTGCTCGATGAGGGGATGGGGAGATCGCGGATTGTGGGTTCTTTCTTGTTTATGAGGGGGAAATTGGGGGTTTGCTGATTACGACCTGATGTTACTGGTTACTTTGGTCTTTACTGCGAACTTGTTAAATGGCATCACGAGGATAATATGGTATCAGCGATTTCGGTAGCTTACATGAACCAGCGGTTGACATGAAACTCCTTTTCCTACGTAGTAACGTACTGAACGATCTGCTGCGGACGTCAATAAGAGTGAAATAACGTTCTACCTCCAAAAGAAATGGATAGTGCACTTTGGAATAACTTCCATGTGACCTCGCAGTGAGTCGATTATTCTAAAGGGAGGAGAAGAGAAACCCCAATACATAGAACACGACCCAAGTTCGAAAGCTACTGATAAAGAGGAGAATTAAAGGTAAAAGTGAAAGTAATATAAATAGAAGAGGGGATCCACCCGAAATAATCGATCTGAACAGAGTGCATACATACCTAGGACTTGCTATAACTGGTCTTCTCGATAGACGTCCTTGAGCAGGTCTGAAGGTATTGAAAAAAATGAACGGCAAAACTGATAGCCAGGTGAAGAATGTGATGGTACTCCCTTTTCTCACTAAGACGCGCGTGCGGAACATGCAAAAAGGAAAGGGTGATGGGGTCACCGAAGGGTTTGTTGACTAGGTATGTATGTACCTAAGCCTCCTTCAAGTAACTACTAGTTATACCTCAAACTCAACAGCGAAATAATCCACCTACGGACCCACCTCATGTCACTAACCCTTCGTCTCATCATGCTTCACATCAATACCCTCAGATATATTCATATTCGAACCCGCCAGCCGCGCCAAGGCATCATCTAGACCAATCTCGCGAGAGATCTCTGCCTGGCGCTCATAGTCCGAGATGGCGGTGCCCTCGGAGCCGAATATGACGTCCATTTCCTCGAGCGAGAGCTGCTTTGTCTCCGGGACAAGGAAGGCGATGAACAGTGCTCCGATGAACGTGATTAGGCCGAAGAAGATGTACGTGCCGTAGGTGATGCCGGCGAGCATGTCGGGGGTGACTTGGCCGACGATGAAGTTGTTCATCCAGTCTATTACAGGAAGTTAGAGATTTGATGATAGGAAGTTACGTTCTTTTCTTTTGGGGGAGAGTGGTTCGGAGCAGGGCAGGTGGCTGGTTGTTGATACTTACTAGCAGAAGCGCCTAAGGCCGTTCCTTTCGCCCGAGCACTCAAGGGCCAAATCTCAGCGATGATGATCCATGCACAAGGTCCTGTAAGTCCGTTAATGAATCAACCAGTTCTCTCATCCACTCCTATAAGCTTGACCTACCCCAGGAATAACCAAAGTGGACAACGAACAGCCACACCATAGCGACAGCAGCCCAGCCGGCGGCTTTATGCGACTCCCACTGGTTCTCGTTCTGGCCGAAGATGCCGGCTATGATGAAGTGACAAGAAGCCATGCCAATGGCACCGGTGATCAAGACGGGTTTGCGACCTAGTTTGTCGATCCAGATGACGGCGGGGATCTTCATTCAATTTAGTAAAGATGTAGGTTACTCCAGGGTAGATTCTTTGAACAATGTCTTCGTCTTACCGTTGCGATGAACATGGCGATGCCGACGACTCCGGTGGCTAAGAGCGAGGTTGTATTGTTGCTCATACCGAGCTGTGCAAAGATAGACGGTGCATAGTATAAGACAGCATTGACTCCGGTCCATTGCTAGATTCTCCCCATTAGGTTTAGAGTTGTTGACATCGAACAAACAAAAGACTTTACCTGAAATGTCATGGTGACTATAACACGGGTCAGAAAATCATTGAACAAACCCATTCCATAACTCAGGTCAAATACGTACCGGTGGCGACCATCACACGCCTAAACATCGGCCAACTAGTGAACAAGCTTGCAAATCCTGCAGCTTCCAACTTGACATAGCTCCAAGTGTTAGTCCTCTCTAGATGGGGGAACTTTTCCTTCTCGGTGCGTTTTTCAAAGAGACTCTGGGCTTTGATTTCAAGGAACTCCATTTGCAGAAGAGGGTCGTCTTGGGGAAGGCCACGCAGGCTAGTCAGGACTTTCTTTGCCTCTTCTTCCCTATCATGGTGGACAAGCCATCGGGGAGAGAAGGGCATGAAAATCATACCAATGCCAAGGATGGCAGCTGGCACGAGTTGCAGGGCCAAAGGTAAAAGCCATGCGGCATCTTTCTGGCCGGGCCCGGTGCCTCCGATGTGGTTTGTTCCGTAGTTGATCCTAGCAGATGTTAATATGTTGTAAGACCGAGGAGAAGGACGAAGAAAGTACCAGAAAGAAACCTGCCACGGAATCTATTAGCCAACGTGTGTTGCATCGAGATTGCGATAGCACTTACCATGATTCCAAAAGTGATTGCAAGTTGCTGCAAGGCCACCAGAGACCCTCTGACTTCCGGCGGTGCAATCTTCCGAACTTAGTTGTGACACTGAGGTCATTGCAAAGGCCATCTTACCTCCGCATTGTACATGGGTACGCTCATGGATAAACTGAGATGCGCAGTCAGCTAGAGAGCTGTCAAAACTCGCTGCAAAGGGCCTCGTATTACCTTCCTACCCCCATACCCGTAATAAATCGACCTCCTAGAATATTCGAAGAGCCTCCATTATTCGTAGCGGCAGTGGTCTGGACTATCACTCCAATGCAGAATATGCCGACATTCAAGAGGATCGTGTTCTTGCGTGAGATTCGTTCGCAGAGGATCCCGGAATACAGAGCACCGAACCAGGCACCGAGTTCAAGGATAGCTATTCCACGCCTTTAGTATCCTGTCAGTAACCGAGGGATTTCCTTCGAGTTTTACCTGTCAACCATCCCTTTTTGGTTTCATTGGTTACGGCCTCTCCCATCTAAAGAAAACCGATTAGACGGAATGCGACAATGGGGACTTTGGGAGGCTGTACGTGTTCTTCAAAGGAGTGCATCACCACTATCCAAAACAGACTGTTAGCTTAAAACCAGGTCGCCTACACCTGCGCAAGGTCAGATAACTCACAGACACCGGAAAAGACGCCCTTCACGACGCATGCTCATTAGCCGCGATCACCAAAATACAACGCTTCTCCTACCTGATTATACCCGTAGAGAAGACTGCCGCCATCATTAGCACTTGAAATCATGCACAGACAAGAGCGCGGCACTTTACCCTCCAAGACAAGCAAACATAGCAACACCGAAGACTTTCCGATTCTGTACCAAACCTGCGAAACCCGAGGGACTTCGAAGAGTTGCTTTGCGGATCTGCGCCGCGGCATCCATTGCCGCCGAGGTATCAGCGCCGCCCATCCTGCGAGATTCTGACCGAAAATGTTTCCAGATGTTTTGATGAAGCTTCTGGCATGGAGACAACCATGAAGGATTAAGGGTGACGACTAATTCCAGACGGGGTAAGAAAGGAAGCACGCCAGGGCAGAATCAGCAGGACTCCATTTTGGCTATTCAATTTTCCCGCATGATGTAACAGAAGAGGATGCCATGGCTTGACTTTATCCCGCATTGACATGCACTACCAGGAGCAAAGATGTGCGCTCAGACATGAATAGGTCAAGAAATGGCCCAGTAGGACTGACAGGGTTGCAGCGGTACGCTGGGAAACAACCAAGCCTTAACCGCCATTTGGCTCGTATAATATGCCGGGTATATGAATCGGTTGAATGACCGGCTAATCTGCGTGCAAGAGTATTGGATATGGCCCGGGATGGCCTGGAGGTGGCCGACAGACAAGAAGGAAGGCCAGTCGACCTGGACTCGATTGGGACTAGGTAGTCACTACACCGTAAGCCGTCTCATGTTTCTCCACCGCGCTGCCTCACTTCCTTCTTCATCCACCACTAGCGTTTACCAATCATCGACAGAGAAATTATTAGCTTCTCTTCTCTTCTGTTATCGTCTGTTTATGCATTTCCACATGATGGCTTCTTCTATCGATTCAGAGTTCAGTCAGGAGACGCTCGAACTAATCCAACGGCTCACTACGGCTACAGGACTTGAAACAGTTGATAACGCAAATCATGCGTTAGTCTGGTTATGCTTTGCTGATTGGTTGAGCAAGCTGAATATGAAGCGACAGAAGCACATCAGCTTGCAGGGTTTTTACGGAATGGACAAGACGTCGTTAAGCAGTTGAAACTTGGCTCGCCCGCACACCCCAAACCGACTCTGATGACACTACTGATTCTACTGAGTCTGCACCCTCACCTGCCTCCCAACTTGCACCTGAAACTGCATCTTGTTCTAGCAGCATCCCCTCAATCTTCACCAGAGAAGCCTCCGAAGAGAAAGCGGAAGATGAATGATTCTGAATCTCCAAGTGAAGTTCCGCGTTTGACAGGCGTTACCCCCCAAAGCTCTGAGTTGGCTAGAGAAGTCGCCAACGACCGAGACAGTGGACGCTGTCTTATAACGCAGATGGGAGAGGCAACAGAGTTCTGTCATATCTGCCCTTTGTCGTCGAGAGAAAAGCCCAGCAGTGAAACAATGGAAACCGCAGAGTCCTGGGCTCTTCCCGTAGTATTTTGGGGCTGCAAGACGACTAACATACGGAGACATGAGATCTGCGGGTCTGAAGGAACAGACGTACCCCAGAATTATCTATGCCTATCAATCCTTGTCCGCGAACTTTGGGGTAAAGCACGTTCCGCACTTGAGCTGATCAAAAGAGCGGAGGACGGGACGTCCTTAACTGTCCGATTCTGGTGGTTACCAGGCAACAAGTTCCGACCTGCTGTACCTTTATGTGCTCCTTCACTTCCTTCCTCTTTACAAGCAAGCTCCTTCGGTTCAAAGTTGTTTGACATCCTCACCGACGAGCCTATTTATTCTGGTCATCTTATAGTTATCAGGACACGCGATCCAGAAACTCTACCACTTCCGTCATTTGCACTTCTTCAAATGCAGTGGTTTCTGAATCGTGTCGCTGCACTGTGTGGTGCAGCCAATGTACCTGACGAACAGTTAGAAGATAATTCTGACCATTGGTCAGAAGATTCTTGAGACTTCCAAAACGCCCTCATTCTCAACTCTCAGAAAGTTTGCACCGCCAACTAACTTCTAGCGAGAATCACCCTCCTACTCATCGGCCCAGAGGATTCTACAAAGTTCGAGAGCTGGCTGCCGCTAACAAAGAAAATCTCTGCTTTTCATGATTAGTCCATGTGTACTTTAATTCGTTAACAGTATTAATGAAGAGGGCCAGCATATCATCCTTCGCCAAGGCTTGGATATGAGGAGGCGAGACTAGAAGCACCAATTAATACAAGTTCTGCTTATTGCCCAGGCCTCGGCGTTTGTAGCGCTTCCCTACCCCATCCGAGACTTGTGTCCCACCGGGGAAGAATTATGGAGAGAGAGTGGTTGTGCGAAAAGCCACTACGAACGTGATCACTTGTTTTGCGCCCATGATCTGGTGGCACTGATATTCAAGATGCAAAAACTGGGACAAGCTCAGCCAAATGAAAGGTATTGGGGATGCGTGGAATACGTAAAAGGGAAGGCCTGCTGTATGTACGATTCCATGAGAACATGCATTAATCGGAATGATGAGCCACAAATGATCAAACATATAAACAATTTGGCAGAGCCGTGGTTTAGCGCTATGCTGAGCTCTGAAGAAACGCACATAGCGGCGCTTTCTGGCGTGACCATCGTTATGGAACAATTTCAAAAGACCCAACGAGATAGCTTATCGATCAAACCTGTAGACAACAAGTTCGCGATTCCCATTCTCTCCGACCAGGTAATGTTCATTTCCGTGGATCTTGCCTCTTCCCACAAGTTCGAAGACTTCGTCCTGCTTGAGAGTAAAAGTGGATGTTGGCGTTCGAATTGTTAGAAACATCTTCAGATCAAAGGGCCATGTGATCGGTGACAGATGAAGGCAAAAGCCAACTTGTGCCTCCTCGTCAAGCACTTCGGAAACAATGGCATACCAAGGCTCGTCGCAGACGGCAAAAGTGAGTGGCTTGCTCTGCAGACTGCTATTTCCGCGATAAGGAGGCATCGTCGGGTCGGCATAGCGCCTCCAGCAAGGTCCATTGCCAACGATAGGAAGGCTGGTGACTTGTACTTGCGAAGTCCACTCGGCCGGCCCAACTAGCCGGTCCATCGGCCCCGTGCAATGGTTCTCCACAATCTCGATTGACTGATCGTCATCGGTTATATTTAGGGATTGTATACCAGGAAGCCCCCGTTGTCGAACGGAATGGAAGTCCAACTCCCTAAAGCCAAACCGGGCGATGATAGAGGGGCAATCATCTTCCCCATCGTGTCGCAAACGCCCAGAAGGATCTAAAGACGGTCTATAGCTCGATGGTTTGGAAATGTCCCAAACTGAAAGCGATTCAATGGGAGCATCTTCATCCGCAGTGTACAAACTGCGATTGGGTTGCCAGATGTAGATTGCGTAATGCGTTTGACTGTGGGAGGAATAGAACTTATCCCTCTCGCTCAAGGGGTGACCGAGAAACATGATCTTCCATTCGTTCCGAAAAGTGACCGACCAGCCGCTCGACGTCTTGTTGATATCAAACGACGACGCAAAATGGCGGTGAACTCCGTCACTGTCATTCAACCAGTGAAAAGCTTTGGGTTCCGCCCACTCGACGACGAGGAGTCTCTTTTGTAATCGAATCCTGCGCATGACCTTGCCGGTGATCATGAAAGGAACCATGAATTTCCGATCGCTCTCCAAATCTAAAAGAACTAAGGCCGAGTGATCCGCGCTGGGATAAACCACAAGGCCATCTTCATACGTCCAGAATGGTTCCAAGAAGGGACAATCGACACGCTGCATTAGATGGCTGGAGTGCATATCCCACGGCTGCACGGGAAACCATTCCCTCTCTCCGGAGCTACCGAACTCATCGCAGAGCTTGAATTTCTGCACCGACCGAGGTTTGCCGCGGTCGAGGTGGTCATATCTCGCAGCGATGCGGTCGAAGAGTCGACGCCAGTGTTTGTTTTCTTCTGCGGTCGCCAAAGCTGGACTCGATCTGCCTTCTTCGTGGAGCGCCCTGACTTCTCTGGCTAGTGGGAAATAGTCTTTCAGCACGGGAATCAGATTTGCGGAGTTTCCGAACGCCACATTCCATGACTGCGACACTAGACGGCAACGCACAATATCCCTGGGGCGAAGATGACTCAAGACCATCCAAAAGATTTCTCGCGGCAATTGGGCCATGCCCGGCCGTCCGGGGTTTTGAGCTCCTGGCATACCAGCCGGGGTCTCAGTCTCCACTGACATCGCGAATGTGGGGGTTTGCCCAAGGAGCTGTTTGTTGATGGTTCAGGAACAGGATTGGAAAAAAGTACACGAAGAGCTATTACCGCTCATTTTCAGATTGTTTTCAAAGCAAGCGTTAGACTCAGCAAACGGACATGGGAAGATGGACATGCCCAGCACCTTCCTGGAGAGAAAAACTGGGGGTGGAAAGCGTGGAATGCGGACTAACAAGAAAGAAAGAGAAGGAAGAAGTTGCATCATGGCGCAGGGTCACATGCCAAGAGCTTCAGGACACCTTGCGGATTTCCCCCTCCGACCCTTTTGATTCTCTTCGAATTCTCCAGCTTCGGGCCTGCATAGCTTCTCCATTCTCTTCCCCGTATCCCGAAGCTGAAGAACCGGTTTGATTTTCACCATGATACTGCAATCTGGTTCCGCGCTTCTCGTCGCGTCGCTTCTTGCGGCCCTCCCAGCAGTCAGCGCGGACGGTCTCTACACCAAGAAGTCCCCGGTGCTGCAGATCAACCACAAAAACTATGACCAGCTGATCGCTAACTCCAACTACACTTCGGTAAGATAATGTCACTGGAAGCTACAATTGCAGAACGTGAAGCTAACCGCGCTTCTCAGGTTTTAGAGTAAGCCCACCCTTCTCATGCCCTCTTGACTTCCTTCCAGCTTCTAAACATACCCCCCATTGCGATAGATTCTACGCCCCCTGGTGTGGCCACTGCCAGAACCTAAAACCCGCCTACGAGAAGGCAGCGAAGAACCTGGATGGATTGGCCAAAGTTGCTGCCATAAACTGTGACGATGATGACAACAAGCCTTTCTGCGGCCGCATGGGCGTGCAGGGTTTCCCGACGATCAAAATCGTGAGCCCTGGAAAGAAACCCGGTAAGCCCAGAGTGGAGGATTACCAAGGCCAGCGAAGCGCCAAAGCCATTGTCAATGCGGTTGTCGAGAAGATCCCGAACCATGTGAAGAAGGTGACCGACAAAGACTTGGACTCCTGGTTGTCCAAGGAGAAAGAGTCTCCCAAGGCCATTCTGTTCACTGAAAAGGGAACAACGAGTCCTTTGATCCGCTCTGTCGCCATTGAATTCCTTGGGTCCATCAACGTGGCCCAGATCCGTAACACTCAGGCCGCAGCGGTGGAGAAGTTTGGCATCGAAAAATTTCCCGCTGTCGTCCTCATCCCTGGGGGTGAAAAGAGTCACATTGTTTACGACGGCGAGTTGAAGAAGCAGCCACTGGTTGAATTCCTCAGCCAGGTCGCTGCTCCTAACCCGGACCCAGCACCCAAAGCCACGGGCAAATCGTCTAAATCACCCAAGTCCAAGACCCAGGCGGAAAAGACCAAGCCCACTGAGTCTTCAGAACCAGAGGTTGTTGCGGAGGAGGCCCAAGAGTCTCAATCGGCAAAGGCCTCGCCCCAGGCACCGACCATCGACGGGCTTGCCACCGCCGATGCATTGGAGTCTGCTTGCTTGTTGCCGAAGTCGGGTACCTGTGTCCTGGCGCTTCTCCCAGAACCTACTGACTCCGATGCCGAGCTGTCTGATGCTTCCAAGAAAGCTCTGACTAGCTTGTCTGAGATTGCACACAAGCACGTGCAGCGACAAAGCAGACTCTTCCCGTTCTACAGCGTCCCTGCCAGCAACGAAGGTGCTCAAGCATTGCGTACTGGGCTCGAATTGTCCCAAGATGGCAGTTCGATTGAGATAATTGCCATCAACGGGCGTAGAGGTTGGTGGAGACATTACGAACCCTCGGAGGATGCCGACTACGAGCTGGCACGCGTAGAGGCCTGGATCGACGCCATCAAATTGGGTGAGGGGTCCAAGAGCAAGTTGCCAGAAGGTATTGTCAAGAGCGAGGATGAGAAGACCGAGGAACACGATGAATTGTAGGTTGTGCTCGGGACTCATTTCTCCCTTTGTACATCAGCCAAGGCGATTGGCCGGAGTTATTTGTTAGTTGTATTGTATCATTGTATGAGGATGTCGCACTCGCATCACAAGCCATTCTTATACCAAACCGAGCGGAGTGAATATCTGACTACCAATTGAAACTTTCTTTTCAGAATGGAATAAAGTCAACGATTAAGCATATATACAATGAAACGCGTAGAACATCACCGGACCGACAAAAAAAAAGTCCAGGCAAGAAAATCTTTTATATCGAACCCAAAGAACCAGATAACACCGTCTTAACAATATGCGAATTCAACACGCTTGCGCTTTGCCTTGTTTTTTACATTTTGAAATGCCAACAGGCCAGATCATCTAGTTCTTTCCTTTCCGTCCCTCCGTCCCCTTCTTGATGATCTTCTGTCTTTTCGAATCGACCTCCTGGTCGTAGATCTCGCGCGCCGACTCGCCCTTCTTGCGCTTGCTCTGCTTCGCCGACTTGACGCTGACGGTGGAGGCTCCACCGCCGCGGATCTGCTTCTCGGCGTCTTCCCACGCGGCACTGCCGTTGTCAATTGCGTATCTGGAGGCTAGAAATCAGTTATTGTTCATTCGGGAGATTTGAGCCTGAGGCTACTGTCTCGGTGTTGTTTCGCTCTTTCGTTCACTCGAACGTTTCGAAAGTTCGAATTCCGGATGGAGGGAAGAGGGAGGGATGGGAGTAGTAGCTTACTGGTCCAAAGGCAAAGCATCGATCAGGGCTCTTTGCTTCTCACGCAGATCATCATCGACCTGCTGGCCGCCTTCACGGAGCTCATCATCCAGGCTCTGCTCGAGCGGCTTGAACCGGTCGTCGACGACCTCGTCGTGAGCTTCGGCGGAGGCGTGCGTGACGGGAATTTTCTCGGAGGGCATGGAGTCGGCGACGGCGCCTTCGACGATGGAGCGGAAGTGCGTGGACATTTTGCGCATGACCTTGAGGAACATGGCCAGGAGCTGGGACGAGGGCACGTTCAGTTCCTTCTCGAGCTGGTCCATGGACTTGCGCTGCAGGCCGATGGCGAGCAGGGTGGAAGTCTGGATGCCGGAGAGGCTGACGCGGTTGTTCAGGCGGCCGGAGAAGTAGAACTCGGCGATGGTGGGGACCATGTCGAGGATGACGTGGTAGTCGAGCAGGTTGTTGGCGTAGCTGTCGAGACGCTTGAGATCGAAGGGCGAGAAGGCGGAGTCGAGAGTGGACTTCTCCAGGGGCGGCGGGACGACGGAGTCGAGTTTGGCGCCGGCGTTGGCGGATTCGCAGATGCTCAGCGAAAGGACGGAGGGGAACTCCCGGAACTGATACGACAGCAGGGCGAGGAAACGCTTGTGGAAGTCGCGAGCGAAAGCACCAAGCCAGGCTGCGTCGTTGGCACCCGTGGACAGCGTACGCAGCATCACGCACGAGTGTTCGCCGGTCAGCTCGTTAGGCGTTTGGCGGAGGTATACGGGGGCGAAGGCAGAGCGCTTCCAGAATTTGTGCAGGGACGGGGTCAGGCCGTAGCTGACACCGAGGTAATCAAGGTGATCCGGGCGACACTCGGACAACTTGGCAAACAGAGGCGGCATGGATCGGATGTCCCGAACATGCACGTTGTCGTCCAGTAGGTTGGAGTTCGCCAATTCCTCGTCGGTCACTCGAACCATCTGTTCTTGCGGCTTGATAGTGTCCTCGGAAAGGTCGGTGAATTTGCCCTCGTAGAAGTCGGTGAGCAACTCAAGAGCTCGCGATCCATAACCCATGTTCAGATACTCAGGGTTGGTTGCGATGCGAACAACTCTGGCACCGGAGAGACCGGCGAAATCTTCGTCTTGGTACTGCTGGCTGACAAGCCACGGAATCAGATCACCTCCAGCACGCTGTCCACGACTCAAGCTGTTGAGAACGCTTTGTCGGCTAATGCGACCTTCCAGGGAGACCTGGATGACACAAAGAGGCTCGGGGAGCTTGGCGGCATTCTCGTCGATTGGTGGGACGAGAACGTAGAGCTGGTGGGCCGGCGCATCACTCATGAGCTGAAGATCATTAGGAGTGTTCTTGTAGTGGCTGGCAACGTAAAGGGCCATCATTTGCTGGAGGAACTTTTCAGAAACAGGGTGGAACGAGAACAAAGTGTCCCGGTTGACCTGGAGGAGCTGGCATTGCGAAGGGTGAGGGCAGCCCTGAGTGTTCATCTTGGACTTGGGCAGGGTTGCATCAAGACACAAGACCTTATTCAGCCACTTCTCAACCGAGTCGCCGGCAGCATATCTGATGGGTTCCGACAATGTGATCTCCCGCAGGGTACGTGCGCCCATGGACTTGCCAGAGTCCTTAGAGGCCTTTCCGGTGGCGCGATCAGCAACGTCAATCTCCTCCTGACCATTGGCCTTCAGGCCTCCCCTAGACTGTTCACGAAGCTGCTGGATCAACTTCAAGGAGAGCGATCGACCAGTTCCCTCATAACCATTGATAGTCGATGCCATGAACACGAGATAAGGACCCATCAGTTTGCGCACAAGAGGCAGAGGGATAGCAGCCGCCTCATCAATGACCAGGAGTTCGGCCTGTCCCAGCACGTGGGCATCCTGGGGCTGGATATACTGGATGGTCTGGCGGTGCTGACGATGGATGTTGACTCGGACGATGGCCTTGTTGAAGTCGGGGTTGGTCGACTGAAGGATGGTATAGTCGACGTGGTCCATGTAGCCAAGAGCGTCAAATCCCTTGAAAACGAATTCGAACAGGGTCTTCAAGTTCTCGGGGCTTGGCGATGTGATAAAGATGTTGCTGTAGCCATGGGCGACGGCGGCCGCAATGGCGACACCGAGAGCAGCAGATTTTCCGCGACCTCTCGCCGCAGTCAAAGCAACGGTACTCCGCAGGGTCTTCTCTGCAATCGCGTCGACAAACGTCAAGAGCGATTTGGCCTGGTCGACAGTGCGAGCGAGATTGACCAAAGGCCCAATCAGCTGAGTCTCTGCGAGACTTTCCTTGATCTCCTTCAACTCCTTCTTTGTACCCGTGCTGTTCGGATCGGTAGACTGAACGGGCGGCAGCGCCTTCACATTTTTACCTCCAGAAATTGGCAGCACATTCATCTCGTCGTCAATCACCAAGCATGAGTCGCAGCTACCCAGGGAAAGAATAAATCGTTCGTTGAATCGAGCGGTCACGTCGTCATGTGCCTCGGTGCGGTATCTCGAGTGAATATCCATCGACAATGTATACAACTGCTTCAAGCTGTTCATGCTCTTCAGCAGCAACAAAACAATACCACCACCTTCGACGGTTTCAACGGTTCGGGCGAGTAGGTTTGGCGTCATGGCTTCAAAGTCCTGCAAGATACACATTCCGTAGGTGTTTCCCAGAATCTTCTCCGTCTCCTTGTAGTACACATATCGGATCTGGTTGAGGGTGACGAACAGTTCAAACGGGTCTTCGGAGTTGGGCTCTCGGATGCCTCTCTTGACTTCCTTTTTGATCTTGGCCTCCCGCTTCTTGCGGTGACTGGTGAAACCCAGGAGATCCTTCTTGTAGGCCCATAACACCGACTTGTTCTGCTTGACATCAATGCTCGACATCAGATAATGCAGATTGACAATCACATCCTTTGCGCGATCACCGACGACGACGAAAAAGCTTCGCTTCTTTTCCTGGACGCCATTTTTGATGAGCGTCGGAATGCGCGAGTCAATAGCCTTGCGCGGCATGATTTCCACGGAATCTCCTCCTTTACCGGCGTCCGAGAAAGTGAGGGGGAAAGGCTGAAGCTGGTCACAGAGACTTTCTTAACCTCCGCAGGCATTTTTCTGCGCCGATAAAAAAAAAGTCACTGGCATACCGCACTGCCCTGTCTCACCGCCTGCCTGGAATGACACCGCCCAGGGAGTCGACCGGCACGTGCACCTCATTCCGCTACACATAAAAGGGAATGGCGCGGTCCGGCATGATGCTGAGGTAATCTCCCGTCGCCGAGAAATGCTGATGCCTGAGGCCTCCAATGTATGCATGACGCCGCGCGGGTTCAACTCGGATTCGAGCTTCCGACTTCTTTCATCGTCTCGTCCATCGACCTCGGGAGTAACGTTGCATCTGAACTCTCCTGATTTCAGTCTCTACACTCGTCTTTTTTCTTTTCAGATCGATAGTTGCACTCCATGATGGCTTTACTCTCTAAACAACGACTTGGACTGCCAGTGCAATCCTTGGAAAGCCCAAAGACACCGTACCTCTGTCGGTCTGTCCTCTGGACCCTGAACGGCGCTAAAGAGCTTAATTCGCTTAAGTTTAACAGGTTCTCAGTCGTTCGCCCCCACGCTTTACGCAGCTAACCCGCCTAAACTGCCTTGATGTCAGCGGCATCCCGACTGGCATTTGTTTTGGAGGTTTCGCGGTTTCAAACCATCACCGGGTCTCCAAATGTCGTCGGGGAATAATGCCGATCCATGTCCAGCGTGGCGTCTGTCACACCAACAAGACTGATCTTCATCGACCTTCCTCTTGGAAGTAATTTCAGGCCAACGGTCCAAGCTTGCCAGCGAGCGGCGCGACCATGGTCCACGCGGGCTCGTTGACGCAATCCGGTTCTACGGTCTACCGACAAATGACTCGCTCTTTGATCGCTCTTGATTTGTTGTTTGTAACTCAATTTAGATTTTCTTTTAATTCTTTATCTCCTTCCTGCCTTTCCCCTGCCGCGAAAATTAACTCTTCGCCTCACCCTTTCCCGTCCCCTTTTGACGTTCTCCACTCAACGAACCCTTTTTCTCTTCCTTCCCTTCCCTTCCCCTCCTCCTAGGCACCAGCCTCCCCGAAATCCCTTGCTGAAAATCGTCTGCTCGTTCACCTGCAGTGCCTGGCCCTGCACGACGTTAGTTGACTTCATGCAATAATGCCGTGAAATTTTCCTATGTCATTGGGTTTGCGATGCTTTGTTTCTCTCCTGAGCTAGGCCTTCGAGCCTCAATCGGGTAGGTCATGAGTTATGGATGCTTGCTCCCTCGGTCAAGCTTGCTGACCGGGTTGTCTAGGGTATTCTTAATAAGTTGCACATTTTTATCAACGACTTACACGACTACATTTGCCTTTGGTAAGTCAGTTTGAAGAAGAAAAATGAGAAATCTAGATCTTGCAATAGCGCAAGCGTGAGACCGAGTCATTGTGGCACTTGCGCACTTCTCAAAGTGTTATGCGACTGACAGAAATTGGTCAAATAGATCATCCTTTAAGCTCCGCCGTGCTGGCATGCTTCCTCGCAGGAATCGCTCTCTTGATTACGAGCAGGTTCATCTCCTATATACCGAAAGCACACTCGACGTCGCACAAGTACTCCGCTATTCCACTCACAGAACGCGATCAAGCGTCTGAAGAGGTTCCGTCGTCGCCCATTGGCTTAGGGGACCCCCCTAGTGCAACCACACGATATCCCGTTAATTGGATAAAAGTCGCCGTGGTTTCGAGCATCGGCTGCCTGCGGATTGCGCTTTATCGTCAGGTCACTTTTAAACCCGAATGCGCGCCTACGGGATATGCAGTAAGCGCATGGACCTTCAGGACCTGGAGAGACAAATACTGATAAGCGCCAAATTTCGGTGTAGTATACGATCCCGTTTTTTGTCGCATTTTACGACTTTTGGCGCAATCAACGTGGTCAATCGGTTGTTAAATTCACCACCTCGGATCTCCCTACAACTAAACCTCTCCGTGTCATAGTACTTGTTGCTAGCCGCACCTACCACTTCCTGTGTCGAAGTCGTTTGAGATATGTCACATCAGCCCTGTTCCTCACTACGGGAGGATATCTGTCTTCCAGTTTCAAAGATGGCCTGCAGTCAACCTATGTGTGTCCAATCATTTCTGGGCAGCATTCGCAATTGCAGGCGTATGCTGTAGTCAACACTATTCTGGACACGCTTCTTGTAATTAGCGCTGCTGAGTTGTCTCGGGAGATGACTCGACACCGAGACGCACAGAGGAAGCAAGCCCTTGCGTCATGGGGCTATAGTTTACTGGTGAGCTATTCACTGCATAGATCGATTAACGATCTAGGAGTCCATGCAAACTAATTTGTACCACCTGTAGGGTGTCGCTGTTTTCTGGACGGTGACAGGCTTGATAATGAAAGCTGCAATTTCTACAGATGATGCCGGTTTTGTCACTTCCCACTACCTGAGAAGCTCGGTGGGACAAGGGCTCTTGGTGACCTGTGTCGTTGTCTCGGCGTCTCACATCGTAAGTGCTGTCGGTTGTCTTGGTTCTGCTCAGGTACTCACCAATCAGATTCCTTATTATGGGGCCGTTGGAGTCTGCATACTCGGCGGCTTCGTACTAGTCTTCTTCTCTTGGACTTCGGTGCTTTTCAACGGACAAGAACCTTTCCCGCCCGTCCTCGCTTCCTGCGCTTTCGTTGCTTTACTCTTTGCGTTCATTGGAGCTGTCGAGTATCTATTTTCTCGGACAGCTTCTGAGGACGAGCCGGATTTCTTATATAGGTTCAACGTGTTTCTGCGGGTTCTCTTCTCCTGCTTATTCGGCATCGGGCTGATCTTGGTCGCTCATCAACCCGAGCTGGTCAATCTCCATCCAATAGACCTGCTCGTCTACGATGCCAGAGCACATCATGACAACTGGGCCAAAGCAGCACACAGTAGCAACAATTTGACACAAGCCGTTGAGCAGTATCGTGTGAAATACAACCAACATCCACCACCGTGAGTCTTGGAGCAAGTGACATTCCAGAAAGTATTATGACCCTAATGTTTATTCAGAGGCTTTGATAAATGGTATGAATATGCCACAAACAGGTCCTCGGTTGTGATCGACGAATTTGATCAGATTTACTCCAATCTACTACCGTTCCGCGGCTTACCCCCGCAGCAAATTCGCGAAATGACTCAAAAGCTGGCCACAAACCCCTACAATGAAGTAGGGGCAGTTTGCATTCGCAATGGCTCCGCTAGAGTGCAGGAGGGCATCAAGCCGACGCATGCGTGGATGGTTAGCAGTGCAGCCAAGATGATGGAGAACTTCGCCCAGTACCTCCCAGATATGGACGTGGTGTTCAACTTGAACGATGAGCCTCGAATTGCGGTGCCATGGGAGAAAGCGTCAGTCTTGAAAAATCAAGCCAGATCGCAGGCGCTTCCTCCTACCGAAAGTGTAGTAAGGGAGTGGTCTGCAGACCGTGCAGAGAAATGGAGTCCGATAGAACCAGCCGACCAAACAACAGAGACCATGTTCACCGACAGCTCCTTCAAAAACATCTTTGACCGCTACGCAAGCCTTGTTTGCCCGCCATCCTCGAAAGCTCGCTCTCAGCGTATCTGGGATCGACACAGCTTATGCTTGGGATGTACACGTCCTCACTCGATTGGTCAATTTCCTTCGGACTGGAACTTTGCCTCCGACATCTGTCACCAACCAGATCTGGCTTATCTCCACGGGTTCCTCATCTCGCCGGCCTCGTTCAAGGTCACCCAGGACCTCATCCCGCTGTTTAGCCAGAGTTCGATCTCCGGTTTTAACGACATCATGTTCCCGAGCCCATGGAACTACGTTGACAAGATCAAATACGAGCCCTCCGATGACCACATGGACCTAAACTACACCGACAAATCTAACGATCTATTCTGGATTGGCAGCACTTCGGAAGGCGTGAGTCGCAACGGCGAGTGGAAAGGCATGCCGCGGCAGCGCCTGACTCACCTCGTCAACAACAACATCTACAACAAGGTCTCCGTTCTCCTGCCAGCAAACGACTCCCAAACCTTCTCCTACCAAGTCCTTGACGGCCGCGCTCCCACCGAAACCCTCGGACTCAATACCACAGTCCACCTCACCAACGTCGTCCGATGCCGCGCAGACTGCGAAGAACAAAAGCAAGAACTGGGCACATCCCCATCCGTTGACTTCCAAAGCCACTGGGAACATCGGTATCTTTTCGACGCCGACGGCGCCGGCTTCAGCGGCCGCTTCCTTCCCTTCCTGCAGAGCCACAGTCTGCCTTTCAAAACCGGTCTCTTCCGTCAGTGGTTCGACTCGCGCCTCTCCCCTTGGCTACACTTCGTCCCCGTCGACCTCCGCCTGCACGGTCTCTGGAGCACCCTGGCCTACTTCGCCGGCGTAGATGTCACTACCCACGGGGCCGGCCCCAAGTTCCCCATGGAACGACACGACGTCGAGGGCCAGTGGATTGCCGAAGAGGGACGCAAGTGGGCCGAGAAGGCGTTGCGGAAAGAAGACATGGAGATCTACTTCTTCCGGTTACTTCTTGAATGGGGTCGTATTACCGATGACCAGAGAGATGTTCTGGGATATATACCGTAGGATTTCTGTTCTATTATCCCTCTCCTCCGGCAAAATTCTTTTTCTTTTCCTTCCTTCTATCTTTATACTATGCTCGTGGACGGCGCACATATGACGGGATAGATTGGTCCTTGTGATTGATTGGTGCCGTTGTATTTGTCTTTATCACCGGCGCGAGGGATGTCTGTCTTCGTGTCTTTGTCTGTGTGTGCATTTGTTTATTGCTGTCATGATGAGATAATGTGTACTTATGTATATAGAACGTCTTGCAATAACGATAACTCTTTCTAGTTCACTGCTCTACGTTACAAATTTAATTTGGTGCAGGAGTCTTCCATCTGAGAAATAATCCATCCAAAACGAATGTATAATTCAACCGAAAGACAAAAAAGAGGGTATAGTATGTACACCGAAATTATAACCACTTGAAATCATATGTATAGCCAAGCACCATTTCCATCCAACTTAAAACCTAAACCAAACCCAGTAGAACGAATGACTTTCTACGCATGAGCATGTCCATGGCCATGACCATGGGTATGGCCCCTGCGGTTCCTCTTCATGAACGAAGGAGCAGGAGGAAAGCCGCTAGGGGCCGGAGTGAATGAAGGAACGGGGAAACTGCTCTGGGGCGGAGTCGGCAGGACGTTGTTAGCGACGGCGTCGCCGGACTGGTAGACCTTGAGGGAGTTGATGGTCCAGAAGGCGTCGGTGAAGGCGGAGGGGTTGTTGGCCACGAAGTCCTGGCAGGAGTTGGCCTGGGTGGAGCAGGAGCTGGTACCCCAGGTGTTGCCGGCCCAGTCGCCGCAGAAGGTGGTGTCGAAGACCTGTGGGGAGTGGGTTTGGTTAGTTTGTCTTTTGGTGGCTATGTGATTGGGGGGGGGAGGAATGGTGAACGTACGATTTGCAATCCCTTGAAGTGGGCGTTGATGTCGCATTGACCGGCGAATCGTCCGTCTGGAGTACCCCACGAGGATGGATCCGGGTTTCCACTGCCAATGTCGGCGGGGACGTTGTCGTGAGAGAAATACCAGATGCTGATAGCATCGCCGGTCCATTCGGTAGCGTAGACACCGCCACCGTTATTGTTGAACCCTGTGCCGAATGACTGGTCAGAGGGAGCCTCGAGACCGCAGCCAGCGTTGGTATCTTGGCCGGGAGCCTCCACGAAACAGTTGCTGGTGGTGAGAGTGCCTGAGAAGCCGGAGTTATCGATGCTACATCCATCACTCGTGTGGAGCGCCATGTGGTTGTTGGTCTGGTCATTGACACCTTCGATGATATCGATTTCGCCGTTGTTGGGCCAGTCAGGGCCGACAAGCCAGCTATGGTTGGTGTTAGTAGAGGGGATCAGTCAATATGCGGTTACAAGAACTCACAAGGCAGGCCAGGTGCCGCAGATACCACCAGGCATATGATCAAGATCCAGAATGAAAAGGCCTTTGTCGTAACTCTGTGTGCTGGTAATGCGCACACTCTGGCGGCCATCCGCAGCCACGTTGGTAGAGTCCACGCCCATGTGGATGCCCTCATCCGTATTGATCAAACCGGCATTCTGAGCGGTGTCACGGTCGACATAGTTGACAAATCCATTGGTAGGATCCGGGTCCGTAAAGAAGGTAAACTTGTCAAAGAAACCGTTTCCGTAGTCGTCTTGCAGAGTATAGGCTGCAGCGGCAAGCTGCGTCGAAAATCCCAGAACTGGGAGAAGAGTAGAAAAGACCTGCATGTTGCTTTCTTTTTGAAGGAAAGAAGGAGCGTAAAGTTCTTGAAAAAGAAGATGAGGAAATAATCGAAGGGGGATCTGTAAATCCGCACAGGTAAATATATACAAGCAGGAAGTAAGAGCTCAAGGAACGGCGCCCCAAAGCCAGAAGACAAAGGAGTGTAAGAGAGTAGCCGCCGACAGGCAAAGGAATGTTACAGAGGAGTTTGATGTTTTATCTCGCCCAAAGCGGGCCACGATTCATATATACACAATGGACAAGGGACCAACGACAAGGAAATGTCAACATGGTCAATGCCGCTATTGAAGCGTGGCGCTCCGCCATGACGCGCCCAGCCGACCTGGCCTACGGACCTGCTGCAGAGCCCATGTGGACGGAGCATGTATCAATCATGGCGGCAGGCAAAGAGAAAAAGCCAATCCTTAGATCGGGGCTAGTTTCTGGATTGCAGGATTAATGTTTCGGAATTATTTCGAGAGTGCAACTAGAGCAGGGGGGCTGAAAGGCACGGCAAGGCCTATACACCGGATGACAGCGACTAAAAGACCGAGGAATTGGCCCCTTCGTTGGATGGCGAAATAAGGTTGGTGGAACCGGACAATTCATTTCCTCAAGCGTCCCGGTGATTGGATCTGGATGGAAGTCATTCTTTCACACTATCGAGTGTTCTGACACGACATGAATCAGATGGAAACCCATTCCGCCATTCAGCCGGCGAGGAGCAGGATACCTCGTGGAAGGGCGCACAACGAGCGACTCCAGTGGGGAAATTGGAGGGGACGATCCGGAGGCCATCTCCATTCAGAAAAAGGAAAAGAAGCCGTGATGCGAGTCAGAAGGAAGAAAGCCAAGCGCCGACAAGGTTGGTGGAGGAGAGAAAAAGAGGGAAGATCGGCCGGTCATCGAGCACTTTTGGCTCTTCGGACGCCCGGCGGCAGGTGACCGCACCAAGCCCTCTTGGGCAAATCCTCTCCCTCCTCCTCCTCCTTCTTCTTCAGCTTCATCTCTATCCCTACGATCGACAGTCATTTCCACCAAGGTCTAGCCGATTGAGCTGGTCCTACGATGGGCGAACATCCCGGTCCAAAGGGCCATGGGTCATCATCCTGTGACTCCCCACCGGTCAGAAAATAGTCAGAGAATCTCGAGGACCGGAAATGAACCGACTCAGTAGAATCAAGGCGACACCCCCAAAGTACTACTCTGTAAGCAACAAATAGTAGCTAATACGGATAAGAATAGATATGAAGAGGTATTATTAGCATTTCGACGCTCGTGGACATCTCAAAATCGCTCGCTCATTTAGTATGTACAGGACAAATCGGACAAGTTAAGTGATCCCACTCCGACTGGGGCGCGAAATGGCCCTGCTTCTGCGGCTTCGAAGGACCGAATTTCACCAGACACGGTCGGTGGAAGAGGTGTCGACAAGAGAATACTACCGCAGGCCCTATCGGCATCTCACGGCCATCTCCGTCAGCCCCCTGCATCTCATCCGCGTTATTATCCAACGACCCTTGTTGTTCCGCATGTTCCGCCTCGTGAAGATGTAACGTCTGACCAAATTCCGCTACGGCAGCGGCTTTACCCTTGCCCCGGGTAGTGGCCGGGTCAGCTCCTTCGTGAAGCTGGCGAGCGATACGACGCTGTTGGGCATCGGCCTGCTTTTGCTCCCAGGCTTGCCAGTGGTGCGATCCGACCCCTGGCCCCCAAATCCGCTGCCGGCAAATTTCACATACTTGGCCCCGTGGCCGCCATCCCCTTTGGCGTAGTCGCGCTACCTCGTCCACATGGACAAAGAGATCCCGGTCCAGCATGCCGTTGGCCAGCGACAGCAATGACTTCTCATATGTATAGGCCGAAAAGATGGACGCCAGGACGGCACGCAGCTCAAGTAAAGAGGGAGACCATTGTGCGGCACGTGTGAGGAATGCGCGCAAGATGCGAAGAAAAGCCACGTCGCTGCGCTCGTGAGTAGACGACCCTCCTACCCTGACTGTGCTGGAAAGCAGCGCAGTGAAGACCTGCTGGACGAGCCTACGGAAGGAAGTCATGAGTTGAGCTGCATTGCTCCCCATTTGGGATGTCATCGGCGCTAGATGGGTCAGTTTGTGGTCGGACTGTTCTTTTTGGATCAGCGCGAAGACGCTGCTGGTGGTGCGGACAATGGCTTCGATCAGATCCAACCACAGATTTTCATCAAACGAGAGTGGTTGATCCACGGTGGTCTTTCTGCCACCATTTCTTTCGACGTCTCGGGGCTTTTTAGCGGTCTTCGTCTGGCCCTGACAGAGCCATGATCCCACTCGTGTGTATTTGTCCAAGGATTCCACGAGGTCATCGATGGCTTCTGCGGTGCTATCCGAATCTGGGCTTTCTCGGATACTTTGAAGAATCCCGACGAGGCCCGATTCTAGGGTCCCCAGATGAGCGACAAGGCGGTCCATGGCGGCCCGGATTTTACCTTGCCTAGCCAGCAGAATGACAGCCGCATCCACTACTCCACTCTCTTCCATTGCAGGCATCAGTTCCTCGAGACACACATCGCCGACCCGAAGTTCGTCCACGAAGTCTGCGACGTGAGACGGGTCATATTTGCAGAGTAATTGCACGTAACGCTCGATCATCCCGTTCTCTACCGATTTCGACGGTCGGCCCTCGGCGGTGGGTTGCGATACAGGCTCCACGATGACATTCAGGTATCGATATTGCCCGAAAGTGTCATTTTGCAGAGCTTTGATCATTGTTTCGTGAGTCTCTGGTGCAAAGTCTTGCATTGTTTGGGCAGCTGCTTCGACATCGATTGCCACCAACTGACTGGCGTGGCTTTTTATCACGTCAATCACGTCGCGCCTCTGCTTCTTGCCAACTCGAGAGCCAGAACGAAGGCAGTCTTGTAGGCAAGTAAATATTGCCTTCTGTTCGTTCGGGTCTTCAAGGTAGGTCAGCACCAACTGAGGAAACTGCTTCTCCGAACGGTAGGTTGACTTTAAGATGCGGAAAAATCGTGCCTGCTTGAAGAGAGGAATCATGCTTTGGATGTCCGGTGGGTGGTAAAAAGAAAGTAGATACTCGGCACTGAGTTCGCAATCTTCCGCCATTTCCTGGGTCGGGTACTGGCACAGCCGCTCCAGGACCTGGTGGAGTGTGGTTCCCGAAAGAAGGATATATTGGGGATATTTTGGGAGATTGCGAGCAATGAACATGTCGAGATAGATCGTTTCGGTGAGGGAGAAGCTTGCAGGGGTCATGATTTGCAACAAGAGGCTGATCAGATATTGTCGGTTGATTGAGACTCCTTGGAACGAGTTCTCCTCAGGCTCTTGTTCATTCAAGAAGCTGTCCTCGAACGCTTCGTTGAGCATGCTCATGAAACCAGGCGTGTCGAACTTGAGCATAGCTTGGAGATCCAGGTACGACCCTGACTCTGCACCAGACGAATTCCCCAAGAACAGATACTCGTACAGGGACGTCTTGGCCCGGTTGGCTTCGGCTTCGTCCATATCATCTCCGGTAGGATAGATGCGACCAGTAAGAACAAACGAGAGATATGGAAACATCTTCGTAGCATTAGTGTACTGTTTAATCCCATTCACGGAGTCGCCATTGACCAACGTCTCTTGGGACGGAGCGAGTCCCAAAAGCTCCTGCAACGGGCTCACGTAGTCTCCCAGGCAGCGGTTCCAGACATATATAAAGGCATCGTATAGGTTATAGTGCTTGCATAACGTTGTGACTTGATCGATGTCCATTGTGGTGGTGTCAAGGAGGCAGATGATCTCCTCCAAGCGGCTGGCTGTATGGTTAGTAGTGAAATGATTGATGAGTGCCTTGACCGCCGTGGGAGGTAGGGATCGCACGGTCCCATCGATGATATACGGTTCAAGGGCATCAAGGAAGATTCCCTGCGAGTCATGCTCCTCATACCAGTTGAAGACCTCGTCCCAAAGAAAGTCTTCATCCGCCATGTAAATACAGGCGGAAATGGAAACCTCGGCCAATTCTTCGAGTTGCCGACTGCTAAGTCGCTCATTGTTCGCCTCAATGTTCTGACCGAAAGCATATTTTAGAGATGCCGACACCATCTCTAGGAGCTTCTCTCGGACAATTGGCTGTCGTAGGGAGTCTTCATCCGGCAAGCCAACAGTGAGTTTTTCTCCGCTGCCCTGATAGTAGGAAGTCGCCAGTCGAATGGCTCCGATGAAATCGCCCGCCTCCATAAGCGCCAGCAATCGATCTGCCCAGTTTGAGAGGCCTCCAACCAAGGCTTCATTGTGACCCAAAAGAAACAAACGCCCCTTGTAGGAGCGGAAAGACATGTAAAAGGCATCGGCCACCACGCCATGCATCGAAATGTCCTCTTCGTCTAACTGCTCAACCAGTGAGTGCAGCTGAGATGAAAACAAGTCAGCGTGGTAGATGTGTCGGCTAAGCAGGTCGATCGCATCGGTTACGCGCATAGAATAGTCTTCAAGGATAAGCAACTGCTGCGTGATGGTAAGCACTGCTAATACCGAGCGACTTAACCATTGGACCGCAACGATTGCTTCCTCCGCTTTCCATCGACTTCGTGCCTTGAACTCCAGACTTGGGGGCCTATCTCTGTCCGGCGCCTCTTCCGTTTCAAATTCCGATACGTCCAGGACCGTCAACACATTCGACCAACAATATACCAATTTTGTTTTGGACACTTGCGAATCCTTGCCCTTAAGTCGGATGGCAGGAAACCAGGCCAAGGCACCGGTCATTGCACCATGAGCCGTGACTTCCTTCGGACGGGGTGCTTTGTGCTGCGTTTGAGCTACAGGGGTTGTGGAAACGATGACCAGGAGGTAAGGCGTAAGCATAGCGACCAAGCCCAAAGAATCAGTTGGCTGCTCCACATTACCCAGGGGAAGAGGCGAAAATGCAAGCACCGAGCTCGGCTTGCGCGGGCGATTGCCATGCCCGACGTGCGGATATCGCCCCAGGATTCTGGTGGTCTTCACCGTCCGTCCTAGAGCGCCGGTGCCCCGGGTCGCCAAGTGAGAGAAGGCCATGCCTCGCTTGTCAGCCGACACCAAAGCAGTGCGTCGGGTCCCCAAGAATCCCACATGGATCACCGACGATCCGGACAAGTGTCCGTCCGAAGTGCGACTGTCAACTTGGCTCATCGGAATGGGCGGTATATGAAGAAAAGGTCGCGCTGACTTGGAGATTTCCCATGTAAAGATATCGCCCGAATCGTGACCTCCAGCGATCGTCGAATGGTCGGCAGAAAGTGCGAGCGATATGATCGCTCCGCACTCAGTAGCTAATGTCAAGAAAAGCCATGATTAGCAACTGCATGTGCTAGCAAATATAGAATTCCAATCTTACCCTTCGTTCCCGAGCCGATTATAGTTCGCAGGTTTTGTTGGTAATCAAATACCAAGATTATGCCTTTAGAGGTCCCGATCACGATACTCGTAGACACAGCCATGCAGGTCGGATAGCCGAAATTTCGCTTTCCGACTTCCGAAAACGCATGTCCAGTTATCTTCCTTAATTTGGTCCATCTTACTACATCCCAAGGGCCCTGAGCTTCGGAATCGGAATGGACGGTGGCCGGGGACAGTCGACTAGTGAGGGACGACTTTCGAGAGTGAATCTGAGCCAGAAACGGTGATGACGGGCGGAAGCCACTCAGCGACGAAGAGGAGAGCCGGGATTGAAAGCGAAGGTCGAAAGGGCGGTGCGACGGACTGGGGCTGGGGCTGGGCCGAGGGGAGCTTCGAAAGGCCAAAGCACTGCTGCTTTGCGAGGACAATATAGAACCCTATGGCCGTCAGCGAACGTTACAGACCGAAAAGCCAAGGCAATTCCGGCAACGAACATGTAGAGAAGGGGTATCATCAGGGGTTGAGGCGGTTTCGTCGACACTCCCGGGGGCGCCAGGCTGCCCGGGACGGGGAGAGACCGGAGCGTCGTTCGCATCAACGTCAACGGGAGGGGCGTTTTTCGCGGGAGTCAGGTCGGGACTGTCTACAGCTGGGAGATCCTCCTCAATTTGTGCCATTGAGTCATCTCCCAGTCCATTTTCTGGCCTCGCGTCATCCAGGGCGCCGTTGGGTGTTGAGCGGGGGTATGCGAGGTCCTCTTCGCCCAAGTCGAGTTCGTCCTCTCGTGCCCGGTCATCACTGCCCTCAATCATGGAGCTCATCGGCAGAGTATAGGCAGGACCATCGCTCCCACACCGATTTGCAATAAAGTGTCAAGGAGTACGGATCAAGGTCAAGGACGGCACCGAGTCGGTCTAGGCGGAATGGAGATTGAATCTCAACCAGGATGTGTACAGAGCTTCAGTGGGCGGATTGATCTGGATATGGGCGAATAAAGCGGAGCACGACGGGGTCGGATGGTGGGGGAATCAACGACAAAGATGCCCGATGGGTGATGAAGCGAGAGGCGCGACGGTCGGCTCGACGGCAGGTGGAGGATGCTAGGCTGTGTTGGAGTCTTGGAGACGACGAGCTCGGCGGGCTGAAAAGGTCGGGGAAACTGGCAAGCACGAAGATCAGTTGAGGCCTGGTTGCCTGGTTCCTGGGCCGTGCTCGGGTCACCGCTCGCCGTGGCATTGCCGTCTCCACCGCCGTTATCGTGCAGCTCTGGCGGCAGAGATCATACAGCCACTGCCAGGTCAATATCACCACAACCATTATGTTGCTGCCTCACTATTGAGGAGAGAAGGTGACACTAGGACAGATGACTTTTCTACATGCCACTTTGTTGCATTCCAAGCATTCTTCTTCAAAGACAGTTCCCGTGGTTGCACAAGCCACTCACGTTTTTATCGGCCAAATGTCTGTGATTGATCCATTATTGCCTCCACATTGGCCCGTTTTTAACTGAAACAGATCTCCCGTCATGGGCATTAACGATTTATAGTTATGCATCTGCCCAGAGAGGATTGTACCACATGCATACATTAACTATCTTCTCTTAATGATGTAATCAATCTCTAATGAGGAAGTATATTTCCATGTGCACAATCCCTGCATCCGATAATCCGAGGCAACACCCTTTAGAGAAGGAGCAACGGCTAGTTTCGGCATGCCACCATGTACCAAAGACTGCAGGGCGTAGGGCGTAAATCTAAAAGATCCAGCTCACCCCATAACCCTGTGAGCTCGTACCCTTACCTGGAAACTTGTTTCAGTATGGAGGCAATGACGGGATGGATCATCTCGGGTATTCTACATCCTCGGCAAGATGTCCGAGGTTCGTGATTTCTAATCATCGGTCGATTGTCGACAAGTCGGTCTGAGAGATAAGTCACTAGAGATCGCGTGTCTAGAACATAATATATCACCGCTTCCCTCACATCATGTTGACCTGCTTGAGGTCCACCCTGTCGCCCTGTGGGAGGGTATTGCTGAGACGGGAAATGTCACATTTCAGAGTCATCGAACATAAAGTCCGATGCCAGAATATACGAGAGCGCCCTGGCGCGGTCGAGCCCGGATTCGAACATCAGTTAAGACTCGCCCTTAAACAATACGTTCCAAAAGATAACCCTCATCCTCGAGAAGGGGATGTGACGATCATAGGAGCACATGGAAACGGTTTCCCGAAGGTATGGTAGCATATGCGCATGATCTGCTCGACAACATGAGGGATTGGTTGACTGACAGCCTGCAGGAGCTATATGAACCTTTGTGGAATGAGATATATGAGAAATTGCGCGCCGCCAATCGACAGATTCGGGGGATTTGGATTGCCGACGTAGCTCATCAGGGCCAGAGCGGTGTCCTGAACGAGTCCATCTTAGGAGATGATCGTACGTGATTGACCTCTTTTACAATAAACAGGCTGTTCTTGTTAACACATACACTAGCAAGCTGGCTGGATCATAGTCGTGACCTTTTCGCGTTGGTGAATAAATTTCAAGATGACATGCCCCATCCCATCATCGGCATTGGGCATAGTATGGGCGGAATGCAGCTGTATGTCTCTCCTATAACGTGTGCATGAGAGTGGCTAATCTTGAGACACTAGGGCTCACCTTTCTCTGATGCATCCGTCCCTATTCCAAGCTCTGATATTAGTCGACCCGGTGATCCAAAAAGGAAACCCCAGCAAAGAGCTTGCTCTTCCCACTACATACCGACGCGATTGGTGGCCATCACGAGAAGAAGCGGTTCAGAAGTTCCAATCCAACCCTTTCTACCAAGCGTGGGACCGGCGGGTTTTGGAGAAATGGGTTGAGTACGGACTGCGCGATACCCCGACCAGGCTGTATCCTCAACCCAACGAGAACGGCCAGCAAGCCGTGACACTGACCACAACCAAAGCCCAAGAGCTGTTCACATTCTTGCGGCCAGCTTACATAGACGAACGGTCAGGTCTTCCTCGCGGGACTCCGCAGGGAGAGGTTCATCCGAGTGAAATCGACGAATTTCCTTTCTATCGTCCCGAACCGGGGCATATATTTCGTCATCTCGGCGAGCTGAATCCAAGTGTTCTATATGTCTTTGGAGAAAGTTCGCCATTCTCCTTACCGGCTGCACGACAAGAGAAAATACAGGCGACTGGCACTGGACTTGGTGGTAATGGTGGTGTTTCTCAGGGGCGCGTGAAGGAAGCCATCGTTCCCAGTGGTCATCTCGTTCCTATGGAGAGTGTGGCTGAATGTGCTGCTGCCAGTGCTAGCTTCATTCAGGACGAACTATCAGGCTGGGAAGCACGAACGAGAAAGTTGAGGGAGGCCTGGAAAGGGGTAACTCAACAAGAACGGGTCAGTATTGATGATCAATGGAGGAAGCATATTGGGGAGCTACCAAGGAAGCCGAGGTTATAGACAAGTTCATTCTATATGACATAAATATAAGACTATTGACATAGATAGAACCCAATAAACGAAGACTTTCATGAAGACTTTCGAGCAAGATATGTCATAATGTTAGATGACGAGAATCAAAGAAAGGCAAAAAAAAAAAAAAAAAAAAAAAATAGAAAACAGGGCATAGTGCTACTGAACACATTCAAAGATAAACGTAAAGTGCAACCCCATCAAGTAAGAACAGTGTAAATCATTGGTTGCATCGAGATGCATTGCATGCATGGAAGGCTCCACTCGGATGCAGCATGCATCGATATAGATACCCAAGAATATGGAACCACCCGGACTGAGAGCATTAGACCTATTGCAACACCGTTTGACATCACAAGACACCAAATAGAATGCATCATCCGGTAAGATAGGTCAACGTTTCTGTACTGATTCTGCTGCATAAATACCTATAGACTACCTATAGAGCTTGCAAGGACTCTTTGCAAGCCTCAGCATTCACAACAATGGATCTCGAAAATTGGTTCCCTCCAATGCATGAAGACTTCATGTTTCTTGTATTTCTCGTGGGTTCTTACTGCATCATTGAAATATGGCAACAGTTTCAATTCACAGAGCACTTGCTTTCTCTGCAACTCTCGGAATTCACGATGTGGAGAATCGAAGCCTGGCTTAGAAATAGTCTGGGCCGGTTATTGATCCAATGGCTTTTGATTTTCGTGTTTCTGTCCATCGTTTACCTGTTGCTGCAAATCATGGGCCTGTGTTGGTCGAAGCTGGCATACTGGGTTGATAAATACATTATAAACCCGGTTAAAGAAAAGGCAGAAAGAAATGCAGAAGAATCACGTCTACGCTCTCTAAAGCGCCTCAAAGGAGCAATAGTCAATTCAGACAAAGAGCCCCGTCCACCCATTCCGAAGCCCCTCGAAGCAACAAAATCTACTTCAGGCATAAACCCTCGTTGTCCCCCCGTTCTGAAGCCCCTCGAAGCAAAACCCACTCCAGACCCAAAACCTCCTCTCCCTCCCATCGATCTAGACAGCCAGTTACTATCAAAAGCCCTCGATCTCGCTCTCCAAACCAGGCTATCCCCATTCTCCACCGGGTTCATCCACACGACCTGGCGCTCTAGTCTTCGCGCGCCGAGAAGCGCGGTCGTCGTCAACGAAGGCACAACCAGAATAACCAGTCCCGGAAACACCATCCCCATCGCCACCGTGACCGAAGACCGGGCGACGGAATACCTAGCCCACCGGAAGAAGGTACTACGCAAACGAAGATACCTCGCGACAACCCTCCCGGCCATCGCAGCCATGAGCTCTTCTCCGCCTAGCTGTAGCGCTAGACCCGCTGGGCCTGGGCAGCGTCTTGGACGTCTACCTACGATGCTAGAGCGCGCGGCGATTTGGAAAAGGTTGCAGAATAACTTGACGCGGCCGATCATTGGGAGGATCGTGGCGAACAAGTACACGCACACGGATGATCATGTCGCTTATGTGCGGCGGTGTCGGGCGCTCTTTGCGGAGCTGCGGGCTCTCAAGGAGGTTGAGGAGTGGATGGAACTTGATCTTCTCATGGAGTCGTTGCAGCAGGCCATGTTTAAACCGTTCGTTCGGTATATTGCGCGGGACAGGTATGTGTTATCGCTGGATGATGCTTATGCCAAGTTCATTGTTCATGAGGATGTGAGAAAATATTACGTGCCTCTTTGGTTGAGTGGTACGATGCCGGAGTTGCTTTGTGATTGAAATCATAGGGTTATTCTTCTCTCTTTTGTGGCTGGACCTATGTAGTTCTATTCTTATTTAATACTCTCATGCAACTGAGATATGGCTAGACAGTCATGCAGATACAAGTTCCTTGCATGTGTACAGAAATGAGGCTATCATGTGCACAGAACAATCACGAATAGCAGATCAGCAGGGCTGAGATTTGAGCATCATGACTAACCACAACCATGTAACTATGTACGACTCAGTGAAATGCAAGGGTAAAACACATAGAACAAAGAGCCGAGACTGAGAACAGAGAATGAAGAGCCAAATCTAGGGATCATTGTGTAAACAGTCTGACAAGGCGGGGTTCTTCAAGGATCGGGCTTGGCTGTTGTGTTTCCCCTCGCGGGCTCAGGAACAACCCTCTAGAGGAAGATCTTATTGGTTCTGGATTTGATTTGCAGGTTGATGCATGAAGGATGATCTTAATCTACTATAATCAAGAGTGGTATTTGTGCTGACACCTAGTAGTTACATGATACCTAGACCATACTTCCTCGCCCTCTATCTATCCCTTGTTTACCTAGGTAGATAATGTGAACACAACAAATGTCAACTTTCCATACTACCAAGTTAACTACCTGCTGATCACAAAATATAAACACACCCATAATCATTTACGATATATATATAAAAAAAAAAAAAAAAAAAACTGATTCCTGTCCATCATGCGCCGTCCCAACATGACCAAGACCCGAAGACCCGGTGCTCATTGGACAGCCTTCCACCACAACTAATGCAACAAGGTAGTATCCTCTACCTCTCGGCCTCGCCGTAATCACCTATAATCATTTCGTTCCGTTCAGCTCCAGCGGAAGGATGAAGGAAGCTTAGCTGAAGGATTCGGTGCCTGTCATCTTCTTAAATTCCCCTCGCCCTAATACCTATCCATTAGGTACAGTACACTCTCCAAGGAGGGGAACGGGCTGTTATTGTCAGTCAGGTTGGTAACTAGGTAGAACAGGGGTATGCGTGATCACAAGGGTCACCAAAATGACTGACTTGACTGGCTGATTATCTGTCTACTATTTACGAACATCCATAGGTCCGGAAATACTCCGTACTGCGGGATGATTTGATCATTTACTAAGTATTAAGGGCAGGTAGCCAATGTCTCTTTCCTTGGGAATTCGATCGATGGGAGGTATAAATCCTGGAAGGTGCGCTTGTTGAAAACGGCTTGCCTGGGTGGTTACTTTATCTACAGATCATGGCGGTACAGAGTTATTTTTTGACTTCTTATGATTCTATATAGCTGTTCATCTATTGTGAGCGCTCATACCTACATTACTTATACTGTTCATCTTTCTGGTTATAACTTTACCCTCTATATCTTAAAGAGAGAACAGAAAAAGTTACCGACCATGGCTCGCCCAACACTCCTTTCCTCTCTTCTAACAAGCTTCATAATTATCTCCTCCATCATCATCCCATTCATCACCGCCGCCGCCACAGGCGCAGACGCATCAGCAACAGAAACATCCTGCAACGGCCAACCCGCCTACTGCGACCGCAAATACTCCAACACCACGTACCTCGGAGCGCACGACAGCCCCTTCGTCGGCCCACTCCCCCAACACAACCAGAACCTCAACGTAACCGCACAACTCGATTTCGGCATCCGCTACCTCCAAGGCCAGACACACAAGATCGAAACCGACGACGCGATCCGCCTATGCCATACCTCCTGCCTGCTTGAGGACGCCGGGACGCTGGAATCGTTCCTCGTCACCGTCAAGACATGGCTGGAAGGTCATCCGGATGAAGTGCTGACTCTGCTCCTGACAAACGGCGACGGGGTGCCGGTGTCCAAGTTCGACGAGACGTTTACCAAGGCGGATATCAAGAAGTATGCGTTCGTGCCGGAGCCCGCGTCGGAGGTGCTGCCGATCGGGTCGTGGCCGACTCTAGGCGAGATGATCAGTAAGGGGAAGCGGTTGGTGGTTTTCTTAGGTATGTTCTGTATCCTCTGAAAGCTTTGCCTGGATGCCAGAACGAGTCGGGGCTCGTGATATTGACTCTGGTTATAGACTATGGTGCCGACGTTGCCACTGTCCCTTATATCCTCGATGAATTTGCCTATTACTTCGAAACCCCGTTTGGCGTGACCGACCGCAAGTTTCCGAACTGCAGTATCGATCGGCCCCCAAATGCCAATGCAGACGGTCGCATGTACATCGTCAACCATTTTCTGGACGTTGATATCCTGGGAGTCTTGATCCCCGACCGTCTGCGGGCCCCTAGGACGAATGCTGTCTCTGGGGATGGGAGTATCGGAGCGCAGGCCAATCTCTGCAACTCCAAACATGGCCGATTGGCCAATGTAATACTGGTGGACTTTGTCGATCAAGGCCAGGTGATAGCGGCTCAGAACAAGTTTAACGGGTTTTAATTATTCCATCTTAGACTGGATCACTGGATCGCTTTTTGAATGTTGTTTGGATGCTTTCTGCATTATCAAAAGATGTGGATCATTAGAGTAGTATTTCCTGACGTGGAATCGTCAATTCATCATTTCATCAAAATACTAGATTTCCAGAAATCAATAACCCAAGCATTCAACTCGTATCTTCTTCCAAATAAGACGGAAGCGGTTTATTTATCCTGCATATCCTTGAAGATCAACAAACGCCGTTAGATTCTAACAGCCAAATACAGAAGAATGACTTGAGATTGCTTGCCCGGAAGATATTCGAAAAGAAACTTATATAATGTAATGACATATGTCACTCTTCCAACTCCATTTGCATCTCGCGATCTGTACAGTTCCCCGAAAGATTAGCTTTATCGTTCCATCATCATAGAAACAATTACTACACTTACCCCAAACTTTATTCGCAGATGCAATGATAATCTCTGCCTTAGCCAGCAGCTTTCTGGAATAGCGTTCAGCTTCGCTAGGATGCAGTTGACTCTTTTGCGCTTTGCGCGGATTCGCCTAATACGGGTCAGCTTCGCATACTTCGACATCACATTTCGACATACCATCATTAGAACAGGGACAAGGTCCTTCGCATCTGCCTCTGCCAGGGCTCGCAGATTTCGGAATCCGTTATCCCGAAGCAACCGTGCGGTCCAACCCTTCACATAGGTCACCTGGGCCATCTCCAGTAGATCGGCACGAGCTCCAGCTTCCAATCTGTCTCGCATGTGATCGAGAACTGCCGCGAGCATGCCCCATCCCATCCGTTGACAGAACTTGACCATGCCGGCTGCAAATCCATGGCACTGTTGGGCCAACGTTTGAACCGCCCCACGAGGGATTCGATACCGGGCGGCGATTGTTGATAGTGGTACCTCATTGCTCAAATCGCGAAGTTGGAATGCAGTATATGCGCGACGGTATATTCTAGCGGTTTTCACCTGGTCTGGAGTACTCTCCTTCAAAGAGGCACCGCTCTGAACCCTATGGCAATGTCAGCTCCTTCTCAAGATATGCGAATTCAGCAAAGGCAGGCATACATCGAATTTACAAACCCGGGCTGCACGCCGACAAATTGTAAAGCTCGCAGCCCACTGTCATCAAGGATATCCAACTGGTCTCGAAAAGTAGGCCAGTCAATCTGGGTGTTGATCGCAACTTGGAGAGGGGTAAACATGTAAAAAATGTGCATGTCGCCGTCCATCACAAAAGCTTGCAAGGCTCGCTTCAGTTCTTCGTGAACAAAAAGACCATCCTCAGGAGCAAAGGCAGAAGCAACGACCGCTTGCCCAAGCAGTGTCGCTTCATACGCTTCATCGTCTTTCTGCAAAAGGAGCTCCTCATTAATCAGTTCTTGAAGCGCAGAGTTCATAATACTGTAGGCTAATTTCTTGTCGACCATTTGACAAAGCAGGGTGCATTTCACATATTCCTTGACTGCATCGAACCCTGAGACGAGCCCTGTCGCTATAGCCTCCAGCAGTGCCCTTCAAACATTGGTTAGGAATCATAGTATCCAAGACGCATGGATTGAATCGCTCACCTTTTGAGTCCTCTTTTTTCCGGGGCAAGACAGCTCTCAATTGCAGGCATATCGGCTTCTAACAGGTCGCATACAGCTTCAAAATCTGACTTGCCGCAAATGAGATATGTCTCGCCTACTTCGTCCTTTCCTTTGCGGCCTGCTCGTCCACACATTTGTCGTCTGTTTAGGTTAGAACGCACAATACATTATATCGGTCGAGGATCTTACAGCATTGCTGGACCGACCAAGTCCCGACCCATGCGTGCACCATTTATAATTACCCTTCTTGCAGGAAGATTAACTCCTGCAGCAAGACTGCAAGTAGCCACAAGTACCCTCAAAGTCCCTTGGTCATAAGCCTGTGCAATAAGTTCACGTTCTTCCGCAGTCATTCCCGCATCTGAAATCAAGTCAGTCTATAAAGCGACATCAAAAAATACAAATCGGGCATCTCACGATGAAATCCTACTCCCCTGATAAGAGTATTCTCTAGAGCGGGATCAAGACCACTAGGGAGACTTCTTAGTTCGGCAAGTAAATCGAGCCTTCTGCTCAGCTCCTCCGGGTCGACCATAGAAGACCCGGGCATTGCTTCGCTTATAATAGCCGCATGAATCTGGCAAGCTTGTCTGCTGCCACAGAATACCAACGCACCATATCCCGCAGCGGCTGTCTTCACAGAGAGAGCCACCATTGAATTTGTCGACGGGTTCGCAAGTTCTCGGAAAGTTGAAGCTTGAATGATTCTGTGAGGAGGCATGGTATCCGCAATTGACGTTGTTGTTGAAGCTAGTTTAGTAATTGTGTGAAAGAGCTGTCGGGACGTTGCGGCAGGGTAGATTGCATTTTCATAGACAAGATAGTCATCAATTGGAATGGGCCGATAAGTTGAGATATAGTACTCTGCATTCATCCATTCCGCTAAGACTTCTGTATTCTAGACCTTGATGAGTCTGTGAACATGTTATCCACTGGAAATTGGGCTCATACCGAAAGAGTGGCACTCATGCCGATGATTTGAATGTCTTGCTGTAGCAAAAGCAACTTGGTTACCATCAGTTCCATAAGGTAGCCCCGATGTTCATCGTCAAGCATATGCAGCTCATCTAGAACGACGACGCCTAGGTTCCCAATGGTACATTCTTCGATCGCGGTGTTTATCAATGAATTGGCCTAAGAAACAATACAGCAGTCAATGGGAGAATCAGCAGTATAGGAGCTACCCTGGGGTGCAGACCTTCTCTATGGTACAGACAGCGATGTCCATATCAGCCCAGGAGGCGGAAGTCCGGCTGCCGCCGAAGAAACCAGTGACACGTATCGATTTCTGCAGTTTCTTCCATCGCTGATAGTACAGTTTCGCCTGAGTTGGATCATCCTCATCGTCGTGTATATGCTTTTCAAGATCCTGCACAATGCGTCTGAGCCACTTGAGCTTCTCCTGCACCAAAGCAACGTAGGGTAGAACTAGAATTGCCTTGCAGGAGGGATTCTCTATGATGCGTTTCAGCATCAAGACATCAGCCACGAGGGATTTGCCACCGCCCGTTGGGGCTGTATAAATCAAATGCCGCTTCCCTTCCAGGAGGCCGGGGGCCAGCAAACATGACGACTGCCAAGGATAGATACTGCTGACCCCGACCGCCGCAAAATTCTTGACTAGGGTGGGAGGTAATCCATATCGAGGGTGTTGTAGAAACAAAACCGGATCTCTGTTTGACTCATGAATCACGGTATCCGTTCGTTGTTGGTGAGGATCCTGGGCAGCCGCCACGGGAGATATTTCACTAGCACCCAAGCGGTTCTTGGGAGCAGGGGAAGTTACACGATGACGAACGAAATCCACCGAAGGCGTCGAATGACCTGATTGCTTGGTGCTCGAGACTTTCAACGAGGTCTCGGGGGATCGATCCGGTAGTCGTTTGTGCCCAGCCAGGGGAGCTACAGTATACGCCTGTTGGCGAGCAAGATCAACCGAGGTTTGAAAGCCATGGGACTGGAATGGTTGACCAGGCTGTGCAGACATGCCTTGTACGGCCCCTTTTGTTATCTAGGTACAGAGTAGTTATCTAGTCAACGACAGAGGGTTTCCATCGATCGTATACCGGGAATAGGGAGGAAAGGCAGGACCTAGATGGGCGTTTATAAGATGAAACGACACGGAGTTTCACCCTCGGCAGGGAATGTTCGAGGATACAAGCGGGGATCTTCCAGTTCAGCCGATGAACAAATGAACAGATGAGCAGATGACCTCAGACCTCCCGACCGTTAGTTACGCAAGTGGACGGCGCAACGCGGGTGCAACGGACGCGTTTCATTTCGGGAAGGCGCAGACAGTCGCGGTGCCTCAGGCCAGTAAGGCGGCAGAAGCGGCACTGCGGCAGAGTCCCAGGCTCCCAGGCTCCCAAGTCACGACTCAGGCCGAGACTAGGCCAACTAGCCGGCAGCCTAAGGCGTTGACAAGCCGACAACCCTGCAAGTCTTCCAATGCGGAACGTTCCTGGATCGTCTCGTCATCCGCTAATCGGAGCCCTGCTGATCCGCATATTCCCATATGAATGGATCGGGGGGATGCCTGGTCGCTCCGAACGGGTTTAGCCTGCTTTTGCACTTTTACTGACCATTTTCCTCCGTCATTATTGTCATTGACTCGTCAATTATCATCCTCCGAGGTGATTCAGATTTCATGCGACCGCGAAAAATATATATCCTCAATGTCATGCAGATCAAACAACAAATCGCTGGGATCTCATGCTGACTACTCGCCCCTTCCTGTGGCAGAAAGGGCGAGCAACTAGAACCATCCCCCGACTCCGCCCGTTGATCCGTCGAGTCGAGAGCACAGACGGTAGCAGGTACACATTCCTCCGCCACGCTTTCTTTTTCTCTGCTCCGTACCGCATACGGGAATGAGCAAGGGCTACTGCTATTTATGAGGTGCGTCTTCCACAGAGCAGGATCTCCATAGGAAACAATTCCCGCGCAGAAAAAGCAGTAACTGCTGTATGAACGACTTTTACTTTGTTGTTCGCGTGTATTGTAGACCCTCCGCCCGACAAGGTTGATTGTTCCTACTAGGTAGCACAATGCGTAAGTAAATGTACAGCACAGTAGGCAGCTGCCAGTCACCTGACAGCTAGGCTTACTGGCCGGGACTCCAAGTAAGCGTTGTTTCTGATTGACCTTCCTAACCAAGCGCTGCGCCGCATGAGCAAATGGTGGCTTATGTACAGAATTATTATTATTGACATGCCCCTTGACGATAGTCCCAACTTAACTCGCCCCCGCCTCCCCTCACGTCCTATCGCCCAGATCCTGCTTTTGTGTTGTTAATCAACGACAACAACAATGCTTTAGAGTATTTGAGTTGATGTGCGCAATAATAAGCACACGGGGTCTAGTCGTTCGTAAAGGGAAAGTTTCGAACATCCCAGGTACGGATGTCTCGGCGAAGCGCGCCATTTAATCTTCAGCCTTGACCCGGAGAAATGGCCTGAAAGAAGAGGGGGGAAAAGGAAAAAAAGAAAAGAGGCCACCTCGAGGGACCCACTCCGCATTTGTTCAGAGGGAACCATACTAGTACGGAGTAATGATATAATTATCTACGGTGTACGGAATACCCAAGACACTTACTACGCCGTAATGTGTCGACTTCATGGATTTAATGATACAGATGTCTTCCGAGAAATCTCCAGCCTGGGAAATATTCGGCTTGTTCATTGATGGTTGAAGTATTTAGCTCCCTTTTCTCTTTCATCCCGGTCCGACGGAAGATTATACCCCAATCTCTTTTGTTTGCGACTCTACCACGTCCAACTTCCAACGTATTCAAGCGATCAATATGATTGGGTTTCGCAGGCATGTGATAACCCGAATTTCCAAACCATAATTGAATAATATTCTTGGTAAATGCGTTCAGGCGCAGGCCTCGCCGGAACATGGATGGCAGGTGGCTGGGTTAGTAACAAACGCAAAAGGTGGTCAGTAGTATTTCGTACAACATCCCTCGCAGTAAGGAATAATGCCACTTAGAACAATCTATCAGTCAGGAACAGGCGTGCTTGATTTATTTGATAAATCTACCGAGTCCTATCAACTCACCAAGCTACAGACACATCCTGTCGACGATTAGACAAGAGGCACGATTAGAATCGGCCATTCCACAATCCACATCAATAATCCCGAGCCCAAGGATGGGGCCTCTGCTTTCGGAGGTGTGGCAGACTAGTCGTCGATTGTAATGTGGCAACACAGAGTCGGGACGGCCAGCAGGCAGCAAATCATCGGCCATGGAGGTAATTTTTCCTGCAGCAGAAGACATCATTGGTTCGAATCCCGAGTGCTATATCATCCTCGGAGCACCCAAGGTACGTAAGTCGCTTGACCGTTTCGCATCATGGCGAGAGGGAATGCCAGTAGTGCGGCTTGGGGAGCGATGCAAGATTCCCAAAGCGATCTGATTTTACCAAGCAAAACAATGATGACGGAACTTTCGTGATATTTTGTTTCTTTTTTTTTTTCCCTGTAGCCCTGCCACACGCAACAATTGTACTCTACATACAATTAGAGAACTTGATCATCGATCAGCTCCAACCGGCTGGCAAATCAGTGTGTAGCCAAGAACGCAGGAAAATTAAGAAAGAAAGGAAACAAAAGAGAAGAGCCCCGTCCCGGCGGGGAAGGAAAAGGCCTTCTCCTTCCCAGTGCTTCCAGCCGGAATAGCCAACCATATTAATGACTGGGTTTTCCGGAGGGCGCTAGCGAAGGGTTTCCCTCCAGATTGTGTTATCATTTGACTCAACTTTACCACCAGGCGATCGGCATGCTGCCATAGCACATAACGATACCTCGAGGAGAGAGAAAAAGCAGCTACGTCCTTGGTTATTAACGTGATTAAAAAACAAGAAAAAAAAAATTCAGATCGACCCAGCGGCTATACCGTCCGCCCATCCGATGGCAACGCCGCCCGGCGTCTCGCAGACGGTCCGTAGTTCGCATAAGAACTCGCGCCCATGCCTAAGGATCTACTGTGTAGCTGCTAATCACCACTAGTTGGCTAGCACTGCAGGAGCCATGGAACCCGTGCCCTGCTCCCTTTTCGGTGCTGTTTCTGAACTTCTGAACCGAGTTTTCGGTCGTTTATTTGGAGCTTTACCATTTTCAGCGCCTCCCCATTCATGCTCTTTGAGGCCCTCTTGGGTGGTACAGAAGTCCCATTCTGCAAAATTGCCCCTCCCTGTGGTTTAGCTTCCCTTTGCCCACCCCGTAATTATTGTTGCCGCAGTTGGTTGAATAATGAATTCTTACAGTCGACCTCCCGTCAGGGGAACAATGTACGATGTTATTTATCTGCTTTCCTTCCTCCTTCGCTTCATCTTTTTGCTTATCTTTGTTGGGCTTTATCCTGTTTTTACACATGGCTTTCTCTTGATTTCTTAACATGGCTTAGAAATAGTTACAGCGTCTACCTACCTAGTTTCACCAGGTATCATCGAAAGCAGGCAGCATCATACCGATGTCATCTATATCTGTTACAAAAAGACGAACGAGAGAGGAGGGCCCCTACTCGTAGATTGGTCATCCACCCTCATCTTGGATCTTGAATCCTCCCCAAGCTGATCTTATCTATATCCACGCCCAACCCAGATAGTGATAATCATAGTAATAATAATCTGATTGTCAAAAGCCGGAGTCGTTGCTTATTGATTAGGCAGTAGGCCAACGGGATAAAAGCCAGCCGTTGTCTAGAAAGATTCCGATTAGGGGACTTGGGTTATCTGCTGCGCCTGCAACGCCATTTAAGTCGAAGGGCTTGGCAATTTGAATTTCAGATCCAACGCGCATGCGCTGCCCTACGTGACAACATTCCTGCCACAGATTATTGTGCATCCATACCCTTTGGGTTTCCCCCCAGTCGACTGTCCCTTTGCGGATACGGAGTACAAACCCGTGAGAAAGAGAGAGGAAGGGGGAGAAGAAAAAGAAAAGGAAAAGGAAAACGACCCAACCCTCGATGCTAGTTTAGTCTATCTTTGTAAGAAATATGACCATTTCAGCCCTGACCCAGTCAAAGAATTTTCTGAAATAAGAATCAAATAAAATTGTTCCCATTCCTTGAATCGTTTATCCGTTTATCTTCTGTTTCTGCCTTTCCCTTCATTCCACTCCCCATCCGTCTTTTCATTTTCTCTTCTTTCCTTCCCTTCCCATCCCATAACCCCCTCCTCCGCCATATACCGTCACCATCGCCATCGCGCTTCCCACCGGGTGGTTCGGTCCACTTGTCGTTCCGCCAGGACTGGCGACAAGGCGTCTATAACTATTCCTTCCCGCTAAGCCAGTTACTACTTCCTACGTAGATCATTCAACGGGGCAACATGCCATTTGAAGGCAGCAAGGGGAGCAATCACCGATCTAGCTATGTTTTATATAGTAACCTCCCTCCGGGGATAGAATTAATTTGAGGCATATGGATTGAATGATCATGATCCTGATAGTCAAGCCCCGAGGCGGGACCAGCGAGATGGCCACCGGCACGCTGGGCCCGGCCCAAGTATCAACCCATAATTCATGATTATTATTTTTTTCGTGCAAAGGGCAAGGAGATGGTCATCATGAATTTTCTCTGGTTCTTGGGTGGATGGAGGATCCGTCATATTAACACATCGGGACTAGGGGCGAGGACGTGGACTGGTCGGGATCCTGGACGGCTTTCCTGTGTCTTCTGTTCTCTCTTTCTTTTTCGCTTCTGCTCTTTTCCTCTTCCTCTTCTTCTCTCTCTCCCTCTCTCCCTCTCCTTCCCTACCGGCGACTCTCTGCCACTCTTGGCTTAGTCGCCTTTTCCTCTCTTGTGTCCCTCTACCCGACTCCACTGATTCAACCGACGTTTGTCCTTTCTCTCTTCTTATCCCTCCTCCCTTTCCTGTGGTGCATTCGCCTCAATATCCTCCTCAACTCCCATCTTCCTTCCCCCTTCGTTGCACTTGCATGCCCCCGGTCAGACTATCCACTAGTTCGAGTTTATTACCGGCTGGCTACGTCTGATCCAGTTTCGTCTACTCTTCA